TTTGCTTTTTCGGCGAGAAATCAAACCATTACATGGCAAAATATGAAGCACAGTTACATAGCACAGCAGTATGCACGATTCACTATCGTCTCTTCCGACATTCAATTTGTGAGCTCGCCGCCCCGTGATGTGTTTCACTTACCCTCCAATTGATTTTGATGCCCGTATTTTCATAAACGTTTAACTAAAACTGAACTCTCTCATCTGCAACCGAGAATTCAAACAAATTGAAAATAACAACAACAGCAGCAGCAACAGCAGCAGTAACAAATGCGTTTTCTCATATTAAGCGCCAAATTACGATACGATAATTTAAACCAGCAAAATTGGTCTTGATCTCGCTTCTGCTCTCGCTTGCTATTACTATATAGCAAAAACTAATTGCGGAAATTCAAAGAGATTTCCCCAATCAATTAAATTTTCATGCGAATCGTCGTCTCCCTTCGAGCACGAATCAAACAGATAGAGACTGATAGAAAAAAAAGCATTTATCTTTTCTATTAGCCATCGTCAGCATGACCGATGATGCAGCTGGATTTGAGATTGCTTCTGGCTGCTACTATTACTACTACTACTATTACGTTTTTGATGCGTACACATACAAAAATCTTTTGTGATCGTTTGAAGTTTCGTTCCTTCATCATTTCTTCGTCGTTCGATATTTTCTAGATATGTCAGTGTGTCTGTGAGTTTTAAATTGGCTAATATATGCATGTACGATGTTGGAAAACCTAGATGCGGTTGACGCGCAGTCCATTGAAAAGTGCAAACGAACGCGTGCTATTCCAATCTCTGAATGGCCCGTGATTTGCATTCCAATGCAAACAAATTACGAAACGAACATTTTTGCCTGAAAATGTGGAAGCAAAACGAGAGCAAAAAAAAACACAAGCGAAACTAGCCAACGGTTACGATTAAAAAATCGTTTAAACGTTTTCTTTGTTTCTCTTTCTTTTTCTTGCTCACTCTCGTTTGCAATATGTGTGTACATTTTCACTCACTGTGTACAGGCAAATACACAGAGAAATACGGAGGGGAGCGTAAAAGAGAGATTTATAATTTTCCGTTTTCATTAATTTAATGATGCTGAAGCATTGTTTGGGCAATACTTACTGAACAAACATTCGTTATGCAATACAATTCGTTGATTGCGAAGAGAAACCGCATAATTAGTTCCAACTCAAGTTATAATTGGAAAGGAATACTCGAAAAAGTGTTTGTATATGAGTGTATGTATATGCAAGTTTTAGTGTGAGTGAGAGAGCGGCCGGGTGCTGTATGATAATGAACACACCGGGCAAAGGCGCGGACGGGAACAAGCGCAGAGGGGAAAACATTAATTGAAAAGGAGCAAATTCATTTAGTTTAATCCCCGTGGCGAGAAAGAGCGAACGAACGAGCGAGTGAGCGAATGAACGAAGGAGCTAGTAGATGTAATGACATGCATATGTTTTCTACACTCACAAAAACCAATTAGTGTGGATTCCATTCACGATTAATCAGTGGCGGATTTTGTAAGGTCCTCATTAAGGAAGAAGTTTTTTTTTCCTTCGACATTCTACACACCTCAGCGCTTTCTCTCTCACTCACTCACTCACTCTTATACTTCTCAAACAAATGAACACTGACCTTAAGGAAAAATTTATTGAAGTTACGCACACGGCGAACCGCCTGGATTTGTTCCGTGTTCAACAATGTTGTAATATAATGGGCAGCAGCAAGCAAAGAAGAAAAAGAAGAAAAAAAAAACTGTTTAATCAGTTTATGATTTATGGCCATTGTGTGCTATACGCCGATGGTTGTGTGTACACCTGACGAGGATGTCTACATTTTTGATTAAAACTATGGTGAATTGCTTCCTCGTGCAACCCCTCGCCATCGCCGTCACCACCACCAGTACTCGAACTTCGAATTGAATTGAATTCTGGTATGCTGTGAGCGAGTGAGCGAGTGAGTGAACGCTATATGCCAAAATGAAGCGCACAGAAGTGTGGCCCGCACACACCGAAGAAATAATGGGGGAAGATGGAATGAACATCAATGAGAGATAAAATATTTCATTAGATTGAAAATGTCTATACGTTTACGTAAACAGAACTATTTTGCAGCAGCAGTAGCAGCAGTGGCAGCAGCATCCGGGATGCAATTTCATAAAAAGCCAAAATTTTCATTCCGTTCTTTGCTCTTTTGACCATATTGGTTTCGTTCTATATTGCTATTGCCACTGTATGGCATTGTGTGCGACTGTATAATGTATATATGGTCGATGCTTTCTCCCTCTTATTCTTTTGCTTTGTTGTTGTGCGGGCGTATGCGAATGGCATGGACTCGTTAGGTATTTGTTCATTTGCAACGAGATGAATTATGAATGGCCCGAAGTGAATATAACATGAAATAAAATTAATTACATGTAATTGAATTGAGTTTCGTTACTCCTCAAAACCTGTGGTATACATACAACGGCTCATCATCTTCATTTTCAAACACAGTATATGTACATACATCGGGATATAAACTACACAATTACTTAAAGTACGCAATGTTAAGGGCCGATAAGAAGCAATATTGCGTTTACAACACATTTCGACCATATGCAAACGGTTCTTCGTAGGAAAATATCAACGGAGATATTATTTTGCATTGTGTAGAGCTATGTATTTTTCAGTCTATCTCTTTCATGAAAAAGTACAAACAAAACCTGGCTTTAAACATAAATTGCCACTAGAAATGACGAGATTGAGAACACGAAAATACACAAACAGTACGAGAGAGACAGAGAGAGAGAGAAGGGGGAGAAGGAGAAAGAAAGAGATAGATTGAAAGCGACAGAGATAAAAAGTACGTCAGCGATGATAATGACGACGACGACAACAACAGAGCACGATACAATTTTGTGTACTAAATTGCCTGAAGTATTAAAACACGTGCAGCCAGCAACATCATGTCCCAACCAAGTGTCCAATTAAAATTTTTGATAAAGTACAAACAAATAAATCTTTGTTGTTGTTGCTGCTGTTGCTGGCAAAATGTGTATTTTTCTTCTATTCAGCTCGTTTTAGTCGAGCTCTTGTTTTCGTTCTGGCACTAAGTATGCTTCGGTCGAATATTGCATCGAATGCGTGTGTATACTGGACAAAATGAATCGACTTATATGAACCCAAAAACTGTGTGTTATTGTACATATTCACTATTTGGTGTGTATTATGAGTATATGCAATACGTAGATGAAACTATAATGCTGTAATAGAGATTATTCTAAATATTAGTTTGCGTGCGTTCATACTTTGCATTTCATTTTCGTTTTCATTTTCATTTTCACTGGTGTAGAGAGCTGTGAAATTAGGATAATACTATGGCAGGCGGCCTCTCTAATATATTGTACATCTTTCATTCGCAGTCGACGCTGTTGTTCTTGTTGTTGTTGTTGTCGTCGTCTTTCGTGCAAAGCGTTTGGCCAACGAACCCAAAATATACGTTCGTTTAATTTTAGTTTAATTAACTTCAGTTCCCCATTTAACAAGAAATTAATTAAATGAGAGAAGATAATGCAGAAACACAATTAAAAAATTGCGCACTCAAAAGAAAACCAGCAACGTATACTTGTAGTCAGTCGGTCACTTTTTTCCCTCTTTTTAGCCAACATACCGCAAAACCTTTTGTCTGGCCGATATTACATCGTTTCGATGCGTTTGTTATTGTTGTTGTTGCTTTCGTTTATGCGGTTTTATTTGAAATTAGAAAAGAGCTTTAAGCATAGGCATTTGTTTGACGTCGATACCGGCCGACGTTCATTTATGATTCTCAAAAGTGGCAGTTATTTAAGCTGATTTCATTTACTCAAAATTACGATCAAATTGATTACAACAACGAAAAAAAAAACATACCAATTTGCTTCGAATGCGAAACAAGTGTATTTGAAAAAGTCAAGAGTTTTCAAATTGCCAATTGAATGCAGCAGCAGTGCTGCACGAACAACATCTGAAGGAGAGAAAAACGAACTCTTCATCATTTGATTTTATTCGCAAATTGGAAAAATTGCTGCGTGATGGTTCAAGGTTGTATAAAGATGGAATACACCACATACATAATATTCCGAAACACTTCTTGAATGAGTTGTAGAAACGAAACGCAGTTTGATGCTGCTACTCCCATTGCTGGTTGTGAAATACACCCTCATCTCCGATTACACTGACTATATTTAAAACCGTAGTTTTAATTAATTTAATTAAAATCCTCTTGTACGAAATATTCACTAATTGGCCTAATTGGCTATTTCTCTTCAACTTTCTCTCCTTCTCTCTCTCTCTCACTCTCTTCCTTCTCATATTATAATTGCATGCGCAATACACTTGTACACCGACAATCTCTCTATATCTTTCTCTTATACACACATTCTCCCCACCTCATTCCTCTCTCTCCCCCTTCCCCCTTTTACCCGCAACGAACCAACGAGAACATAAGGTCTTGAAAGCATCTCTCTCACAAGGGTTCATTCATACAGTTTTCATCGTTTTTATTTTCGTCTTCTTCCTCTCTTGTTTCAATTTGATAATTTGAGAAAGTAACAAACACAAAAACGTCATTGCAACAAAAACTCGACAAAAACACAGGATACACGATGGAGTAAAAGATGTGACAGTAATTGGCTTGTTTTTCAGAGATATATTTTGATATCATTTATGGAATTATTTGCTATTAGGAATATTTTCTTTTTGTGCATGTGAATAAAATGAGCTCCGAAGAAAGCAGAGCCATTCCACTTTATACACAAATATCGATCCGTATGAATTGTATGAAAATAAATATGTTTATATTTTGTTTACATCCGTTGCCGATGTGCTTTTTAGAAATGTGAATAGAAATCAAACGACCCATACTTAAGTTCCTCTCAAACCAATCTAAGATGAGTTAGATGCGATTTCCCATGTACTTCAAACAAACCTTTTAGTTGATGATGATAAAGATTTTAATTCATTTTTTTCTCTTTTTTATATTTTCAGATCGAATTTAAAAATAGTGACCATTCGTGTTGGAGACTATACAATTTTTAACATAGACATGTGAACAAGCTTCATATGTGCAAATCTATCAAATTTGTAGCTCATATAGAGCGAATTCAAGAGAAAAACTCAGTTCAATATAAAAACAACTAAAGAAATTGTGGACATTAAGTTCGAAAAACACACACACACATACAAAAGATAGACTCACATCGACTTAGAAAATATTGATTTAAAATCAGATCTAAGTCAATTTTGATTTAAAAAGTGTACGCTTTGCCTTAAACTCCGTTTGTTATTTGCTGCTTCTGCTGCTGATATTTGTTTAGTTGTTCGTTTTTTATTGTTTTTTTTTTTTAAATATACTGTGTGTGCGTAAACTAACACAACCGTCAAGCTGGCCGCCTCCGTAGCAATGAATTCATATCATCCGTATGGGGATATATCATCACCACATCCACCTAGTCCGGATAACAACAATTATGCGTCGTCAATGTCGATTGGCAACGCCGGTGGACACCATCATAATGGTCATGCACAGCTCATGAGTTCGATAGGTGGCCAACAACAGGGTTTTCATCAAATCAACAACAATAATGCAATGATGAACAAATGTGCTGGATGTGGCAGTAAGTATTTAGCAAATTTATAAAGTGACAGAGACTCTTATCTTCCGAATTCCTTACCAATTTGTTTGGTACTGATTGCACAAAACTGTTTATTATCACAATATAGGTAAAATAGCCGAACGTTATCTTCTATCAGCAATCGATAAATTTTGGCATCACACGTGTCTGAAATGCACTTGTTGCGGTGCCACATTAGCCGATTTGGGTACGGTCTGTTACACAAGGGGAAATATGATACTATGTAAGGCTGATTATTCTAGGTAAGTTTTCACTCAATTTCTTATGTATTCGTGTCTTAATCGTCGCCATCGTAATCATTTGTCATCATCGTCGTTGATGATGATAAAATGGGTTTTCTACATCCTCAAAGCAATTGAACGTTAAGGAAAACTTATTTAACAAATAAACACAATTTAATGCTTTGTAATTGAACTTGATGAGAACAGCATAATAGATGCGGATTTCGTATACTGTGTCGTTTGAATGGAGAAGAAGAGGAAAAAAGCCCATTGCAAGTAAACTGAATTCAAAATTGAAGAGTTTCGAAAATTAATTACGTTTGCTAGAGAAGGCAAACGAAATATACAATACAGGCGAACATAAATTGCAATTTTGAGCACAAAGTCTGTCATCATTTTACTGACCACAATGAAATCGATTATCTCAACATCTATTTCTCCGTTTCCTATGCGAATGTACTTAAATTCACACATTCGCTGAAGAACTGAACAAATACACAGTTGCCAAATAGCAAACCGTTTTATCATATGTTTTCCCATTTACGTATGAAAATGTATACAGTGGAAAGCGGGAGTGGGTTTGAACATTTTGCCTGTTTACATTAGTTTTTAATCTGAAATTCAATTTATTAAAACAATTAAAAGCGCATACTTCACCACCAAAATATACATATATATACACCCACTCAAACCAGCCGTCATTCTCTCAGTGCAATTTTCGTTTCGGTCGCAAATGTGAAGTCATTCACTCAGTTTATGCGGCGACTGCTGCTGCATTTCTATCGTTTTGAATTTTCGACAGACAATTCATTCGTACAGCCATCGAAAGCAGGCAAGCAAAGGATAGAACGAAGATTGTGTGCAAAAAATCAAATAGATTGCATTCTCGTCGGCTCAAATTCAGACAGTGTGATAGTGATGATTGTGACTGGTTTTGTATTAGGCATGTATGTATACATAGCCACAAAACAAGCTGAAGGCGCGAAGCGATTCAATTATTTTACGCGCGTATTTAAAACAAACATACTTTGGCCATTTTGTTTGCTTTCTTTTCGATTGGATTTGAGAGCAAAAGTGGAATCGCGTATGTGTATATAGAATCTCGACAGTGTTTTTAACAAGTTTTTCGGTAACAGTTGTGTGTACTTTTCACGCGTTGCATATTCAATTTGTTTTCTATATGGATGTTTTCTCTCTCTCTCTCCCCTTCGCGTTTGTTCTTTTTTTTATCGGCTCCCTCTCTTGTCGTGGCCAAACAAATTGAATTAAACCAAAATAGAGCGTGCTATACAGAAAAAAAAACATAGATGAAAAAATCACACACACGAAAACTCATTTCCGGTTGACAGACTTAACAACGTCGCGGAACAAATAACGATATTTCTCTCTTTCGCTCGCTCGCATATATTTCGATTGAAATGTGTCGATTTTCCTGATACATCTTCCTTTTGTTGAGTCGATTGCCGATTTTAATGAGGTTTCTCTCACTCGCTCGTTTACTCGCTATATTCTCAAAAAAAAAAAAAAAAAAACACTGAAAATGTAAATCAAGTTCAACGTGTACGTATGATTCGACAAGTGTTCGAAAAAATGCATATTTATTAAGGTTAAAATATATTTCAATTTCCTGATTGCGAGACAAAAACAAGATATGAAATTCATGATAATAATTTCATTTAAAAAAATATACAGTTAATTAGCGAATGCGTAAGTAAAAAATGGGTTAAGGGAAATTTGTAACAATAAAGAACAGCAGCGGTGCGCCGAATCACAGTTGATATTTAATTTTGTATGCACTTCATCTAAGAATGATTTCATGTAAATTTATTCGAATTTCCGAACTAAAATTGAAAAATAAATGTTTGGCAAAAGCATTATACGAGAGAAAAAGAGACCAAATGAACTAGTTACATAAGCCAAGTTTCGCTTGAACTGACATCGATCAAATGACAAAAATGACACAAAAAACTACATACCATGTACTTGTACTATACACACATATTTGATAATCTGCATGGGAATTTCTTTCGAATGATTGCGTTTTTTGAATTTTACCTCAACTGAGATTGGCTTCTTCACACTCATCACATGGCACATAGTCATGTTTGTCAAAGGGAGCAGTAAATGCTCATTTTATACAGCGTAAAAAGTAGAAAAAAAAATACACAGACACACACTACCACCAGCCGTATAAATAAATGGAGAACATTCCACAACTGAAAGTGAAGTCGAAATAATATAGAGAGAACAAGCGAGCGAGAAAGCAGGCAATCAGTGAGCTTTAAATGGTGAATCAATGGTAAACTAATTAGATTGACATTCATGCTGTGCGCTCGATAAAACTAAAATTATCGCTATTGTTTCTGTGGTGTTGGCAAAATCACGCAATGAATTATTATCACAAAAGCTATTGTCGACAAATCCAGATATACGTGGTATATGTATATATTCACCTTCAATCTTTTATCTTCTCGGTAAGCGCAATTTTTCGTATACGTGTGAATGGCACACAACAGTATCCGATCCTTGTACAACGCTGGCAGCAACAGCTAGCAAAAAAGCGATTTTTTTCTCGCTTGGTCTCTGTTTTGTGTTTTTTTTTTGGATTATATTTATATGTATGTAGAGAGAATATTGTATGTAATAAAGCATCAAATAATTATACGTAGAAATAAAAGCACAGCCGGGGTAGTGAAATAGTGTTGTTATCTGTGTGTGATAAAATCGTTTATTATACAATTGAAATTTTTATGTAATGCTGACAATGATTGCGTTGATTCTTGTGATAGCGGTGATGATGTATTGTTATTTCTCTATCATGTAAATAACACGAGCATTTTTTTTCTCTTTATCTATCATCGTTGCTCTCTATGCACCTTGGTGCTACTCTACTGGTGAAATAAATTGTGGAATGCTCGTGCCATTTTTGCCCTTCGCCACCATCCATCCCAAATAATATTTTGTATCCGTGTATGCATGTGTTATCATCAAACAGAATCGACGTTGAATGGAGCAATATGTTGAGAATGCATGTGCAATTTATTATATTAATATAACATTTATTCATATTTTATGAAGAGAGAAAAGATACCGGCAGTTTCAGTGTATGGCGTCTCTCATTGTGCGTCATTATCGAGATATACACGCATTGTGTTGCATTATACACCATTATCACTATGTTGCACTATTCGCAATTGCATACATAAATGGGACATCCCCCGGTACACATAACATTAAACCTGCAAACAGAAAACAGATGCATATGGAAAAGTTGAGCAGAATATTCGAAATTTTTGATGCAATTTTGTTTTTTCCCCTTTTCTCGTTCGATGTTCATTTGTTCGGGCCAAAATTATTTGAATAAAATGGTTCATCGTTCAGTGATCGAATTTTGTGTATGGTGCTACTGCTGTTGCCGCATCGACCTATCTCCAAATTATCATTAATAATAATTCAAGCGGCATTAAGACCATCGCAATATTCTACGCCAATCCCTTGCATCGTAATGATCTCTTTGGTTTATTTGCTTACTCTTTCCCTGCTTTTTTTTCTGTAGCTATCAAGCTTTAAATTGATGGTTCCCATGTGTGCAATTTTTTATCGATATCGATTGTATGTGCATATATTGCTCTGGCTACAACTTTGCTAAAAATGGGCAAAAATATCCAAAATAGAGACGATAGGGATAGGCGAAATTCACATAATCAATTTCCCAATTAAGTCTATGTAGTTGCTGTGGTTCTAGATTATATTGGTTAGCGATAGTGGTAGTGCGGTACGGTACGGTGCGATGTTGCTCTCTGGCTTTCGATACACGACTGCATTCCGATTAAAATCGCTGCCATCGCATCGGACCCAAATGCACAAGCCATGTATAGCAACCGATTGTATGACTTTATTATTGTATGTCGATCTAATTGTTTGCTTCGTTTGCTAGCTATAATTGGAAGGATTTCAAGTGAACGCCACCAACCATTGCACCAATACATATACGTAGAGAGACACTCACATTTGCTCATACCAAATATCAGCAGCATATATACGTATATATAGAACACATGCCATCGAATGTGCTGTAGTTCTGTGTGCAGAAAACAAATTACAAAGTGTTACTAACTTATTTTTGGGAGGTTATATTTATGTGCTCTCTTTCTCTCGTTTTCTCTAGCTGTCTAATGTTTGTTGTGTTATCATCATCGTTTGAATGTCGATTGAAATGCGGGGCTAAAAATGCGCTGCGCTGAGCATTTCGGTAGTTATTAGTGCAATTATGAATTGAATGTACAATGAGTGGGTGCCAACGCCATTGTTTTTACACAAAATATGCGAACGAATATTGCTGAGCCTGATCCGAAAATTTAAATTATGAATCATATTTCCCAACTCAATAATACAAAATTCCCATTGTGTATCCATGCTCATTCTTTCTCATTCGTTCGACTTCCGCTTATTCGTTCTTATTCATTCTTTCTCCAACTTGTTTCTCGTACATTTTACATCGAACCTCGACAACATGTCTAATTAGGAACTTTAAACTTGCTTTCTAATTGGATTCATTCATCATCACAAATTCAATTTCATCCACAGGGAGATTTCCTTTTTCCGAATTTTCGACAAAAACCATATTTATCTAATGATCTTGCCGCAATTAAAAACGAAACGGAGCTCAAACCATCCCATATTCGTTCGCGTTCATACAATCTACTCGGTTGGCACAGTCATACCATTTCATGAAACCATACCATGATGATGAAAAATACAACAACGAAAAATTGAGTTAATCGCAAAACACTTTCGCATAGAATTAATTAGTTTACTTTCAATTTATAATGTGATGGTGAAAATGATTTGCTATGTCAGTTTTGCAACATTCAAGTTGTGTGCTCTGAAAAAAAGAATCCATTTTAACATGGGTACATTTCAACCCTTTCTTTAACAGCAGCCTCAGCATTACCGTCGTTGTGACGCATCCGTTGTTACTTTGCTCTCTCTCTCTTTCTACCATTCCCTTCCTTTTGCATACGTAATTTTATATTAAGCGTTTTTATTTTCTATTGCTTGTCGCTTCTGCAGTATTAAATATATATTATTATTATTTAGAAGAAATTGAATAAAGCTCTGTGTTTGACAATGCCTAACGTACATTTTTCCATGGAATATGTGTGTATGTTTGTGTTTTTACGTTATCCATGTCTTGGCTGCAGCGGCAACCGACTGAGAGTGCGAGAAAGCCGAGTTCAATAATGCAGAGTAACACATCATCCAACGAAATAAACAACGAAAAGGCAGAAAAAGTCCAACATAAAAAAAACACACACAACAAGGGAAAACGAGACAGATGATGAAAATTTAATTAATATTTTAGGAATTTAATTAAAACTCCATATAGTAGATATTCATTCACTCACACCACCCGATAATTCGCAGGAAACGGCAGCAGTGATGGCGGTGCCGACGATGGCGCGCACGGGCTCGTGTATTCCGTACCACGGCCGTATGTACACAGAAAAGAGAGAAAACACTCTCTGTGTTATCAAATTGGTATATTAAACCATAGATATATTACCTACAACCCGTGAGTCCGTTCGCCCGCTCTCTCTGTCTCATTTTCTCTCCCAATCTCAACAAACTATGTGTATGCCATTGCCACACGAACTCTCACTCACAATAAGCAGGATAAAACAAACGATTCGTTTGACTCAAATTAATATAATATAGCAATTTAATACGTCATACACATCACTTATTCCATAATATATAGCCGGGCGCGCGAGCTATGGCTATAGCGAATGGCAAACACAACGCATACATTGTATTATATTTTTCAAGAATGAATTATGTGTGCATATGGAACGATATTGCTTTATATATATACGCAGATATATACAGATATATTTTGCCAGGAGTTGTTCGCCGTGCGTGCACCGTCAATATTATACGCTGTCTGTACTGAACATATATAGAACATTTTCTCTCACACTCTCCATAACGACCAGCGAGAGCTCGTTGTTCGTGTGTTTTTTTAACTGAAAAAGAGAGAAAGAGAGATAGTAGTGGATGATGTTCATTTGCTGGAGATAAAGCATTAAATCTATTTATAATTAGATGGAACCGAATTTGAGTGGTAAGAGAGTCCATTCCTTCATTTCGTTCATATTTTTTTTTGTCTTCTTCTACTGCTCCTGTTTGCTTTGCGCTCACTTTTTTCTCTCTCGGTTATAATTTATGAATAATTTCCTCTTGTCGGCTGTTAATGAGTGTGCCACTCATAATCAAATGGCTTAAGGTATATATATATGAGTAGCATGAAGAGATAAAGGTAGAGGATCTGAAAATGATTTTGTTTGCTCGAAAATTTAAAATGAGTTTATTCATTCTGTGCAGCACTTACTCCATGTTGGTTGGGTTTTGGTTAAAACGAGAGGGAATGAGAAAATTACAATACATTAATATATTTTATGTCCGCACAATTATACTGAGAACATTGGCCACACACAGTACAACTCTTGATCTCATCTCTATTCGAAAACTGTTGTCTTTTCGAATATAGCATAAAATATTTCATTAGCGATGGATATGATAAACGAACAAAGTATGGTGTGTGTATATGTGTAAATAAAGTTATCTTAACATTCAATTAGCTGCAACTAGGTATATTCGTGAAAATCATAATGAATTTAAGTCATTTTTTTATTTATTTAAAAAGAAACATATTCTCTTTTAGAAACCATCAAATTGAAAACATTTTGTAAACTTTGCTAATTTCATTTTTTGCTATTTACGTTAATTTTGACCGGTTTGTTTTTTCAACTCATTTGTAGACTTTTTGCGCCACCACCATGTTCTGCATGCAATCAAACAATATCACCGAATGAATTTGTCATGCGAACAACGTCACAATCAAGTAATCAACAGTCGCCGAATCAACCAAATCCAATGCAGCAGCATGTATTTCATATAAAATGTTTTACATGCTCAAGTTGCACAGCTCAGCTAAGGCAGGGCGATCGGTAAGCTCATTTACTTTACATCTCTTTTTCCCAGTTCTGAGGCACAAACTAGTCACTGTGCTGAGATTTCAATTTGCATACATATATTTATCAAGTTGTTTATTTTCGTGTCTTTGCTGTTATTATTCATTTGTACATTGTTTTTTTTTCTTCATTCATTTATTTTGCATTTCTTTTTTTTTTCTTGCATATCTGTAGTTATTACATGTTAAATGGTAAACTGGTCTGCGAACAGGATTGGCATAAAATGGTGAAAGCGCCGGTAGCAAATAACAGCACACCGCCCGTCCGTAAAGGAAAGGTCGGTAGACCGAGGCGATCCAGAGACTGAGAAGTTGCACCGCGTTTGGGTCGACCGCCAAAGATACGAAAAGATGATTTAGACCGACCCAATCACATGAATTTACCGTTAACTAGTTTAAATAATCATACCAGCAATACATTCAATCGCAATTTAACCGACAGCAACCTAATGTTATCGAATCGTTCGGCCACTAATACAATGTTATCACCACCGTCTAGTTTGAGTGCATCGTCAGCAAATGCTGCTGCTGCGGCAGCGGCCGCCGCTGCAGCTGCTGCCACTGGTGGATCGATGCCAATTTCCAATGAGCATTTGTACAGTACATTGTACGGAAGGGAATTGGAATTGATGCGAAAAATTTACAAGGGTGAAAATCGAGATCATTTAGTTGAGAATCCATTGATGCATTCACCGCATCATCAGTCTCATAATCCAAACGATGTACTGCTGATGAAAAACGCTGGCTATGCCATGAACTATCCAAATGCGGCTGCTGCATCACAATTTGGTGGTTTGACCAATACACAGTATCATCATGCATTGTCACCGTCAAGAACACCACCAAAAGTGCATCATCCCGAACAAATTATGTCACCGGACAACGTTCGTATGATCAAACAAGAAGAAAAACCGATGCATTTTAATTCGTCGACAAGTAACTATCCGGGATATGGTGCATCATCAATGTCACCCACAACGATTTTAGGTAATATGTCCAATCCGATTGCATCATCACGAAAATATGATACCGATACCATGCACAAGCAAATGTACGAAGATCGAAAACTTCATGCTGGCTACGCAAATAAGGATCATCATCTTCACCATCATCATCACAATAATGATCAGAGCTATGGCGATAATATGTACTCTGATGTAATGAATGCATCAAATAACAACAGCATCAACAATTTTATGCATTTGCAGCAACAACATGAACACGAAAAGCAAAATCAACGACAACAACAGCATCAGCAACAATCGAACACAACGAAACACAATAATAATAGCCAATTGATTGGCACCGAAACGAACAATCACTTTTACAATATTAACGACTACGAGAGCACGGACAAAAGGCAACAACAGCAACATCAACAGCACCATCATTCATCACATCAATTATATCAACAAAATCAATTTTCAATTAATAATACTCCAAAAGATAATAATGGCAGTGGAGTCAACATTGCAACTGAGAAGAATCCCATCATCAATAATACGTCGAAATTGAATAATGCTTGTACTCATAGCAGTGATAGTAATAATACAAACAACAATAGTAACAGTAACAACAGCAACACCACCACCACCAACAACAACAACGATAATGCAAAGAATGTTCGAATGACATCTAAATTCAGTGCTGCAAGCCATGCTAATGAAAATGCTTTTGAGAATCCATGCCGAACGACGACTACGTTGTCATCTTCATCGTCGTCGTCGTTGATAACATCAACGGCCAAGATGTGTACAAAATCAATTAAAAATATTGATGGCAACACATCGAAAATCAATCCAAGTAAAATACAAACCGGCAATAATGCAACAACGAATTTATTATCACCACCACATTCAAAATGCGGAAATGATACAACAAACGATTTTATGCTACACATTCGAGTCAAAGAGCAAAAACAACAAATGCAAACGACAAACAATAATAGTAGCAATCGAATGGCCCAGCAAGTTGATTTCGATGAGACGAGCAACAGTTGCTCAAATTCTGGTGATGAAGATGCCGGCAATTATAATGACGATGAGGGTGACGAATTTATGAATTTGTAATTCACACAAATGCACACAAACACACACACACACACATACATTTATATATATATTTTACTTAAAGAAAAACCATTTCTCACAAGTGATCTCAATGCCAACGTCTTAGGACTGTTCGATTTAACAAGGTTCGCTCTGTTCGATAAAACGCATTAAACGCATAATAACTATTATTATTCTATTGGATGAAAGGATATATAGAGAGAGAAGGACAGACACGCAGAGAAAAATGCTCATGAAAATAAAGAAAGAAATAATAATGAGCATGAATGTCATATTTCTCTTTAAATTGTTGAATGTATAAATTAATTTTTGGCAAAGGCATCATTTGCATGTAATTTACTTAATTGTATCATTATGTCACAAATAAACAAAAAAAAAATGATTACATCTTAAAAAAATAATATTAATATAAATAAATACTAAAAAAAAAGAATCGGCACCTACAACTAATGCATACATTACATTATTAGTGCAGATATATAAGCAACAAAGGCAGTTTTTAAATCAATTAAATAAGATAAAAATTAAATGTGCACACAAGCTCTAAATAAAATTACATGAACAGCAACAACAACATTTAAAATAGGATACTATTAATGCGATGCGCACGGTGAATATTCTCAGTGACAAAGCACATTCACATTCACACAGACTCTACAACAGTTCAATGTTTCATTGCAAAAACTTATATAGTTAAAACAGAAAAAAGAACCAAATGAGATAAATTTGAAGAAAAAAAAAACAGCAAATTTATTTGGCACAATGTCAGAACACACGTTTAAATTACAAACCATAGAATTCCAATAGAAAATAAAAACCGCTTTTTGATTGACATTCATTTAGGTTTGTAGAGTTTTATTCAGTGTGTCCATAACATATAGAAATAGCACTAAATAGTGTCGATATCTATACTATATTGGTCCACTATATATGTAAGATATTCCGCAAGACACCGTAGCTCACGATAGAAGTGAGTGCGGACGGCAAACATGTTGACGCATACACACAGTTCTTTCTACTGCCGCATGGCAATTTGTGATTTTTTCCGTCTACACTGGCTTCGATCGTGCGATACGGTGCCGTGCGGCAATATCTTTCATATATAGTGGACCGATATAGTATAGATATCGACACTATTTAGTGATATTTCTATATATTATGGACACACTGGTTTTATTTTACAAACTGTACCGTTTCTCAACGTTTTACCGAAAATACTATTTTGTTTTTCAAATATAAGGTGCTTTCAATCCAATCAATATTAAGTCCTATTTAAAAGACATACATGTGCTTTGTTAATTACAAAATATTTCACTTGCACAAAAAATGACTACTTCAAATTCAATTTTAATTCTTGGAATTGATAAATTAAATAAACAATATTTTTCAGAAAATTTGAAAAAAATGGACCTTTCATTTTACAATCTTCAATCCCAAGAAATGTCACTTTCTCCAAAGAAAATAAACTCACTCAGACGAAGTGTGGAATGTTTTCTTTCTTGCAAATATAATGATTTTCTTTAGAAAATGTAATTACCTTTTCAATAAGGAAGATTTAAAGAAAAGATTCTGCTACAAAAAGTTATGAATGTCACCGTTAGCATAAAATAGGAGAAAAACAATTTTGGCACCCAATTTATCAAACACACACACACACACACATGCAAATTAGCATCTCCCGATAAGTACATACAGAGAACAACCAAATTGAAAAACCTGTAGTTCATAAAACAGTCATAGCGAGTAAAATAAGCAAACAAACAAAAAACGAATATCCCAGTAAACTATTACAATCACAACAGTACTAAAGAAGAAAAAAAGCAGCAAATAAAATTTAAATGAAGCAGTTAAGCAGCTTTAATAAAGAAAAAAGTTCATTTTGTCTGGTTTTCAGTCAAAACACTGGTTTAAAATGCCGCCGATTTTGTTTATAGTAGGATCATTATAAATTTTGTTGCTAGCAAGAGCCGGAAAGCAGCTGAATTTGTGACGAATTTGCAACGGAATTTGTCGATTTATTATCTTAAGTTAAGTGCTAACTAGTACACTATTTTTGTTACATAAACCAATTTTTAGACATGAATATTTGATGAATGGGTGCGCGGTAATGAAAAAGAAAATGAAAAAAAAAGCCTTGTCGGCTTAGATTTGATTCAAAGCAAACACTTTGCGCATTTCGAAACGAAGAAAATGAAGAAAAGGACGATGACAACAACAATTCAAGTCAATTTTAACACAGTGCATTGCCTTTTTCCCTGACAAAATGAATGTTAATGTTATACTCACAAAAAGAAATTTACTTAAAAGAAAAGAAAATTAATTACTTCTTTAAAACAATAAAAATGATATTGCATTCTGAACCATAAAGCACACACCCACATTGAATAGAACGTGATTTTGCGGAAGGGGACGACGATAAAAGAAGAAGAAGAAGAAAAAACAAAAAGATTTTTGAAAACAAGAGAAAAAAATAGACGTTCTTAATTTTATGGGAACGCATGTACACATAATATGAATGACGGAAAACAAAATTCATATACTGATTGAATTCGTATCCAAACACTGTAAAATATTTCTCTGGAACAAATTTAAGAAACAATCACATTTAATCAAGTAAAAAGCTATAAGTCTCTAAGAATATTTGAATGATTTAAAAAAAAAAATGAAATAACGTTAATGGGTATATAAAAAAAATACACAGATTACAGATGATGTTACTAAAATAAAACAAAAAAAAAACGACAACAAAAGAAATGTGAATGAATATTCAATAAAGATAATTGAAAAATTGGATGTTTCAGCGTTTTGTTTCTATCTTTCATTTTCGTGTGCATTTATTTTGATTAAGACTAGATCCAGGGGACAAATCAAGAGGTAATATTGCAATCTACTCAATTATTCCAGCTTGTATTATTGGCAGCTCTCTGTCTCTAAATTTGTTGAAACTATTTTCATGGCACCGCATTATGTGTGTACATCACGCTAGGATAAAAATGATTTGATACGAGCACAAAAAAGAAAACAAAAAAAAAACTTTTAAAACAAATGATGTGATGTCGTCAACGGCAACAGCGATGACGGCGGTGGTAGAATGCTCACGGAACAGAGAATTTTACCATTACCATTTTTCCATTTGTTGATTGTGCTTGCTGGAAAATGAAGCGGTAATTCATCATATTATTTTTCTATCTTCTGTGTTTTTCAGGGGCTGCTGCAATTAGCACTTAATTCTTTGTGATTCGTCGAGTAGCAGTTGTCAATGGCAATTGAAAAATCGTGTTCGCAAATTAATGAATCTATGTTGCATTAGCCTATCTGCGTTTAGTCAGTTTTTATATGAGTTGTATGTATGTGACTCATTCAATCGCTTAGTCTTTGCAATGGTATTCAAACATTTTCTATTCAAAAACTGTACGGGTTGAACGTGTGTGTCCCATTCTCTCACTGATGCACAATCATCCATACACCGATGACTCTCTAGTCGTATTTTGTACACAAAGTCCTCTATGTTTAAGATACGAATCCGAATATCATCTTCATTCACCGCCTGTCATTCCATTTTACAATTCACGCTCATTCGAATAAAACATCAATCCATGTTATGTGTGAGTCTTTTTTTCTTCGTTGCGTTCAACAACAACAACAACACACAAAAAAAAATCGCTTAAAAGCATTTTGAATCCATTTGACGTAGATGAGCATATTGTGTTTGTGTGAAAAACGTTCGCCGCAACTTTTCCAACTTTTGCTATGAAAGCCGAAATGAGAGAAAGAGGCAAATGCACACCAACACCACCGAAATACATTTGGAAAATTGATAACGATGATGACTGCGATGATAATATGTGGAGAGAGAGAGAGAGAGAGAGAGAGAGAGAGTAAACGAAAAAAAACACGTACACACACATAGCGTTCCTTTGGCACACGTGCAGATGTGCATTAGTGTAATTGGACACTAATCGAGATGAAACATTTTCGTTGCCCCGCGCGCGCTCTTTTGCTCACCCCGTTTCGCGCCAAATGCTCTATGGTTTGATAGAAATTTCGATGGACAGGAAACAAAAGTAATGATGCAAAGTTGACAGCTCTCTCTCATTCGCTCGCATCGGTATTCATCATCATGATAACACACATTTCCAGCACACTGACAAATATAGCATTAGCCGAATTGAATTAGAAGACGTGTGCATTTTATTTAATTACAATTCGAAAATTTTCCATAGATTTGCACGTGATTCACTCACTATCGCATTGAGAGATTTTGAATGAATTAAACGGCGAAGAGCAAAGGGCATTTACCACATCATACACTTTATGTTGGATTTTATACTCAATCGAATATAACCAAAATCTCTAATTTTCATGTTACCATCAGCAGAGCTGCTTAATGGTCCATTCGATGATTGAAATTTATTAAGGACTTTGTATATGATTTAATTAAAGTTAAAAGGGTCGAAAATTTACAAATTAAACAATTGAATTGATTTAACGCAAGTTTATTTGTTATTCTGTTGAAATTTTGAATGGAATATATGTGATTCTAGATTAGTCAATGATGAATTGAGTTAGATTGTTATGAAATTCGACATTCAATAGTGGGGCGATATATAAATAAAGTTTCAAAACAAGTTGTTTCGATAAATTTTTCATAAAGTCAACATCTCATTAATAAATAAAAATAATTTCGTTTGAAAGAAAAACTCTGTGACAATTTTGAATTAATTGAAACAGATTTAACGGCGCGAAGTCATTGAACGCAACATAAAGTATTGTTCACACGCACACTTTTGACAGCTAATCATTTAGCCTTAAATGTAAACAAAAAGCGTTTTTCATGCATTGTCATGAATGCAACTGTCCAAGTTTACATCGTGTTTATTTAACTATTGAAAAAATTTCGCTTATTCGACAAAAACATGGATTCCGACGATAACTGTTTAATTATAGACGAAAGTGTGTCAACAACCTCAAATCAAACTCGTTCTGAATCAGATGAAAATCAAAACGGTGCTATTAACAATAATGTGAATAACAAAGAAAGTGATGTTTCAAATGCATCGACACCAAAGCCATCTGACGAAACAAGCACGTCACGTTCAAAAGAACGTAGCGGTACCGAAAAATCGAAAACCAAAGAAAAAACCAAAACCACAACACCATTCAAAGAGAAAAGGCGCAGTTCATCGCATCGTGCACACTATATTCGCCTGTCATCGTCGGTATTGAAAGAAAAAAAATTGCACGTAAGCATAATAAATATAATGAATATAAATGAAATGAATGAAAACTGAGACATTTTTTCTAATATTTTAGATCATCGCTTACAAGCATCAGTTGTATAACATGCACTTTTCACTAAAAGGAAGCCTACTGATGGGCGAAACACCTTCAGCATATCCAACACCACCAGCATTTCCCGATCTCAGTTTGACACAATTGCTGCATTGGCCTGGAATTAAACTTAACATTAGTTTCGATCATTTCATATTCAATCATGAGATTAAAGACAATTGTGAACGTGACATTGTTTTCGGCGAAGAAATTTTGGTGAATATTGACAAGGAAACGAATCCATCAGAAACCAGATACCTTCAACAAGTACCATCTAGCAAAACGTATCCAATGGTGTCTACAGAATTGATGGAAACATACGTAAAAACGTTCATGGAAGCTGCACCGCATTATGATGTTGCCCAATCAAAGTTGCCCGAAATTGAACAATCGTTTGGAACAATAATCGATGACATTTCGAGCGTTGGAGAGTCTATACAAACCCGAGTAACGCACTCGCGTTTTTTGAATGGCCAAAAATATTTCCGCATTTTTGACAATGAGCCGCCAGAAAACGTCAATGCTGTCGGAGCATCCACCGCTTACAACAACAACGCCAATAAGAATAATTTGAAGGTTAGGTTGAGAGAAACAATAAACCCCGAGGTCCTCTTTTGGATTACTCATTGCCAATTCACATCTGATCAAATTAACCAATGGTATCATGATTTGAATGATTATTTCGATGGTTTATTAGTCAAACGCAATATGGCTAAAAAAGAATTGTTACGAGATCGATTCAAAAAGTGTCTCACACTAAAATGTGAAAAATGCAACGAAACATTTGATGGTGCTCTGTGGTCAGTAAAACTAAAGGATCACATCAAACAAAAGCATTTGGTCGACGAAGATTGGATCTGCGTAAAATGTTTGCGATCATGGAACCAATATGAATTGTTGCAAATGGGATGGAAACATGACTGTACAACTGGAAATTAGTTCAAAAACGAGCATAAATCAAACACGATGTTGCCAACCATTTTTTTTCTGATCAACTCTGGCCATTAAGTACCAAACCATATGCATATAATATGCAACAAAACGTCACTCATACATACATCATTTAGGAAACCAAGATATTTAAAAGAAAAAAAGCGATAAAGATAAACACTTAACTTTTTTGTACCATAAATATTCATCTTCATTATTTGATTAACAATTTTAGTACAAATTCCATGTAATGTCTTTAAGTATAATTCCAAAAAAACGCTTCGTAAATGAAACCAAATCAAATTAGACTATATTTAGGGAGTTATAAATAAAGAATAATATTTAAACTACAAAACAAAGTCTTCGTCTCTTTCATCGTCTTCGGGCTCAAAATCCTCATCTTCATCGTAGTCGTCTTCAAAGCGTAAGATTTTCTTCTTCTTTTGACCAATTTTTTCAGTGGCATCTTCGAGCTTCACTTCGGCTTGACTGGATCTATGATGAAACACGAATGACACACACTTTGACACATCCCAAGCTTGGCTGAGTATATTATCTGGTATGCCCCTGTTATTTGAACAGTGAAACCAATTGGCCAAATCTGATGTGCAGTCCGAATCAGGGGGCGGTAATTTCATCTGAACAGTATCCACACACCGTTTACACTTGAATCTGTTTTAATTGAAAATAATAGGATTTTCTTTATTGTAAGTATGATGTTATTTCGGACTGACAGAACCTTGAATTGAGGTAAAAAACATTTATATTTTCATTCCTGAAAAAATCATTCGTACAAAAACGTCGTGAAAAATTTCACTCATACGTCGTAGAATTCTTTTGATTGGCTAGTTTAATGAAGAGAATTCCATAGGTTTTTGTCGAGAAAATTTTATAAAGTAAAATTCTTTGAACTTTCTAGGGTTTTTTGGCCAAATTCTTGCCCCGTAATTAATTTTAATCTAAGTGTAATCGAAGACCTTATTAGAATGAGATATTGGAAAATTCTTTCGATTTGGTAGAGTCTTTGGCGAAAAAATGAGATAAAATGGAGTTTCGAAAATTAATCTTCCTCTTCCCTAGAAATATGACCTCGCACACTACTACAGTTTTCAAACCAATGAAAAGCGATTTATTTTGAAATGGTTGAGATTTATATCGATCGTGGATAAATTATCGTCGGTCATTTACTCAAAATCACTCTTGAATAGCATAATTTCCGTATGGGATGCAGACTTTTTCAGGAATATTATGAATTTTTATATGTTTGATATCAATTCAAAGTGCTATCATTTAAAAAGAGCCTATTTTGGCCAGACTTACATTGCATGAGTATCCGATACACAATTTTCATCCAAACTGAACAGATCACGTAGATCATCTTTTGTAAAGTGACGTTCACCATTTTCTTCGTTGTCAACAATTGTGTTTGATAATGCCTTCTTGTGGGCCTGGCGTTGAAAAATCTTCTCTTCAATGGTTCCCGTCTGAAATGATATAACCACCCATTGATTCGAATAACAGTGATAAAAATTGATGTAATATTACCGCAAGAAATCGATAAATGAAGCATGGTTTCGTTTGACCATCTCGCCACACTCGTGCCATTGCTTGATCATCGTTGGCCGGATTCCAATCTGGATCAAACATGACCAATCGATTTGCGCCGATTAAATTTAAACCGCAGCCACCAGCTTTTGAGCTGAGCATGAAAACGAATCGATCTGAGTCTGGATTATTAAATTCGGTGACGACTTTGCCGCGTTTTTTAATTGTCATTGTGCCGTCTAGTCGTACATAGCCATAACCACGCTTGCGACAGAGGCGTTCAAACATATCCAGTGTTTGAGTGTAATTTGAAACCAAAACGATCTTATCGTTTGTGTTTGATTTTATGCTGGCGAGCATAATGTCAAGAAGCATTAATTTCCCGCTTAAATCTGGCCGAAGTTCTCTGGAAATGAAACAATATAAGAATCGACAATAAAAATAAAGACAATTTTATTATACTTTTTGTTGTATCCTTCGGGCAAATACTTGGCAGCATTTTTGAATCCATCGGTTCCATCGGCAATTTTATCACCGACTAAATCTGGATGATTGCACAGTTTTTTCAGATTTGTGATATTTGCGAGCGCTGTCAGAGCGTTTGGACTTTTATCTTTGCCTGTTAAGATTAAAATAAATAATAATAGTTGAAAATCTTGAAATGAATATTGTTCACTCATTTTGTTCCAAATTACCCAAAACAGTTTTTCGAACACACTCCGATTGTAAGAAACTTCTATAAATATCGGTTTGTACTTTGCTCAATTTAACACAAATCACCATTTCGAATTTGACCGGCAAGTATTTCGTGAGAATTTGATTCGTACGACGTATCAGACACTGGTTCACAATATTTGTGAGTTCGGTCACTTTTGCGGCCGCCTTTTCGCGTTCTTTGTCGGTACAGTTTGCATCGTGACCTCGTAATATAATGTTCTCATAATTGCGTTTAAATTCCTATAAAAAAATAGATGATTAGTTTTTATGAATATTTCCATGAAAAACGAGTAAGGAAAGTGTGGTCTTTACAGTTCTCGTTCCAAGCATTCCCGGATTAACAAAATGGATCAAGCTGTAGTATTCGGTAAGATCATTTTGTATGGGTGTACCAGATAATAAGACTCTTCGTTTTGTTTTTAAACCCATCAGAGCGTTGTAGGTTAGATTTTCACAGTTTTTAAGGCGATGGCCTTCATCACATAATAATAGACCAACTTCAGATCCGGTTAGAATTTTTTCATAGTTTCGAAATGTTTCATAGCTTATTATCAAAACGGGACAACCGGTGCGTGCACTTTGACTTGCCATAAACTGTTCGAGACCTTTTATTGTTGTTTCTTTCGACGTATTCTCAACGGCAAATGCATTCACACGGTTGCCCAGCCATTTTCCGAATTCATTGTACCAATTTTTCACCAATGAACTCGGGCACACAATGATCGCTTTGACGATAGTCGGTCTACAGTCAGGACCTTGTCGCAATAATGTCCAAAGTAGCGTTATGCATTGCAATGTTTTACCTATAAAATGCACAAAATAGTAGTTTAATTGTCTGTTTATTGACATACTTGTCAAATGACTAAATGAACTGAAACTCACCCAAGCCCATCTCATCAGCCATGATGCATCCATTAAAGTCACCTTTTACACCGGTCACACACTCGAACATAAATTTAACACCTTCACGTTGATGTGGTCGCAAAATGTTGCCAAGCACTAAATCAAAATCGATCGAACAAATATTTACAAGACTTTTACACAAGTTACAAAAATTAAAGAACCAAAAATATTTGCCAGTCTTACCTGGATCAACCACGACATGGACCAAAATTTTCGTTTTATCTTGCATCAATTTTTCATGTTCAGTGGCTTTGGTTTGTTGATCGGGCGGTGTGTAAAGCACCAGAGCATTACAAGCATATGGATCATGAAGTGCTCGTCGAATAAGAGTTCGGGGCAAACCAAGAGAACGATTACTATTTCCATCAGGTACATAATCTGGAATGGGTACTTTGAACGGTTTACTCAATAATTTGGCCACCAATGCTTCATATTCGCTCATCGACTGTACTGGTCTTATTGTCGGTGCAATGCAACGGTTTTCCTTTTTATCTTCGCGACATTTTCGTTTTGCATACGGCGACTCAGACAATGGACTTTTGAATGGTTTCGAGGTACTTTCGCTATTTATTAAACCATTGCTTGTGTTTAGCGGACGGTTCAATGACAATTGGCTCGGTGCATAACTCCGTCTCTGTACAATTGAAATAAAAACATTCATAAAAATCGGCGATAATTTAAAGAAATAAAAAAATTCATACCATTTTATTTGTGTTAAATACACAACAATACAATTGTTTTGGCACGTAGTCGCGTGCGATATTATGTTAAATTGATCATCAGCACAATACCGTTAGCACATTTAAACACAGCGTGCATTCGTTTGGTTGCGATACAAAATTGAAGCCTGTACGTACTTGTTTTTGCTACTGTCATTAACGCAACAAATGAACTATAAACAATGATATAAAAACAACAATTATAATGTTTTGTACAGTAGCTAATAATGCTACAGTAGCTAGTAATGATGTGTTCCAATAATTTTGGAAATATTTTATGATTAACACACGATTGAATTACTTTGCGACTAAAGAAATACAGTTTTCAGAATAATTACGATGAAAGAAAAATGCGTCGGAATAGTTAGACGGTGTGCAAAGTAATGTTTCGTCTGCATAACTGTCAAAACAAAATCGTTAAGTATGAAACCTCACTTGGTTGGCGTTAAGTAAACGTCAAATGACAGCTGTAGTGTCAGAATGAATTTTTATTTCGCTCTTTTCTCTGCATCCAAAAAAACATGAATGGTGAACAAAACAGAATACATAATAAACAAAAATTGATTTAATTTTAATTTATTAATTTCGTTCAATTGTACTCCGGAGAGCAACGACAGTCCAGCCCAAGCGTTTAGTTTCTGTATCTCTTTTAACAATATTATAAAAAAAGCAATAATTTTATGTGATTGTAGAATCTATTTCTAAAGTGCCACATGTTTACATATATCGATTACTAATTTGTTCATCATTGTGTGAGACACACATTGCCAACGGGTCATCAAAAAGATAAAAAAAAAACAAAGTCGCCAAGTTCAATTGAATTTATATTGTAAAAAGACACACTGTCAATTAAAACGTGTTATTCGCCATAGCAAAAATACTTCGAATTGCAAAGAAAACTACATTGCTTAACCAAAACATGGCATTTACAACGAATACAAATGAATCGAATTCCATTCCGTAAAGGATATATGGATATTCAATGGAACGAAATTCAATTAACAACATAACTTTTCTGTATTCCACGAAAACATTGAAGCAATCAACGAAACAAAATGGCATTTAAAGATTTGCTCATCGTTCGAATCATTGCCAGTATTCCATTGAAGGTAAATGTTAAAAATAAAGAATTAATTTTGTTTTTAATAATAATTTCTCGTTTGTATTGTAGATCTGGACTTCATCAACTGCAGCACTTCTGACATGTTTTATCGTATATTGCTTTTACGGTTATCTTATAGCATTACTTCTATTCACTTCCACTGTATTATGTATGTTTTCCATTTTATTTAAATGATATTTCATGTTGTTTAACACGATTTCATTTGTTTTGCAGTTGTTTTATATCATGTTCAAGATAATTTATTGTATCATCCCGAAGTTCCACAACATTCACGAATCTATGTGCCAATGCCATCAATGTACAAAATGCCATTTGAAACAATTCATATTCGTTCTAGTGACAATGTCATGTTAAATGCCTTTTGGATTAGACATCCCGGTCAAAATGGAATGCTTGTACCCACCATTGTTTATTTTCATGGTAATGCCGGAAACATGGGGCATAGGTTACAAAATGTCACCGGCTTGTATTTCACTTGCCGTTGTAACATTTTGTTGGTGGATTATCGAGGCTATGGGCTCTCGACTGGATCGCCAACTGAACGGGGATTGCGGGCCGATGCTCGAGCTGTATTTGATTATTTGTTCACACGACACGATATTGATTTGAATCAAATTTGTATTTTTGGCCGTTCCCTAGGCGGCGCAATCGCAATTGATTTAGGTAATTTGTTGACTTTGTTCATTTTATATTTATTATCATCATGATTGACGTTTCATTTATTGATTTAGCCTCTGATCCGGAATATAATCAACGAATCATGTGTGTTATTCTTGAAAACACATTTACAAGCATTCCAGATATGGCAGCCGAATTGATTCATCCCGGTCTAAAGTATTTACCATCATTTTGTTTTAAAAATCAGGTATGAAAAATCATCCGAAAACAACTATCAAACAGAATTAACGGAAACATTTCTGCATTTTTTTACAGTATATGTCTGCATATAAAATTCACTTCTTTTCAACGCCGTGCCTCTTTGTATCAGGTCTGGCTGATACCCTGTAAGTATTTTCAAAAACTAAGACTTAATATCAGTTAGAATAATGATTGGTTATGTTTTCAGTGTTCCGCCACGTATGATGAGTCATTTATATTCAAAGTGTGGAAGTTTGCGTAAGGAATTGTTACAAATAGCAGGTGGCACACACAACGATACATGGACTGGAAGTGGGTAAGGAATTTCTTCTGATTTTTACCTATTTTCATTTTGTGCGATCTATATATTTATTTTAATCAAACCATTATCTTTTTTTGTCAAATTTCAAATCAGATACTACAATGGTTTGATCCGATTTTTGATGGAATGCAAAGAGCAACGAGGCCCACTCCAGAAACCGCCTACTCGAAACAAAGAAGACTGGCCAAAAATAGAAGAAGTCTAAGTATCTCTAGTAAAAGTTAATATTTAGATAGGAATTGAATGTTAAATTGTATCGATACCATGTAACCAAAATGGTAATATTTAACACTAACAATTTAAGGGCTACTTAATATCCATATACATGTAAATGAAATCGATTTGATTTGAGTGAAGGATAAAGTAGCAAAGAAATTTCATTACTAGTAAAAATGGCATCGTGATACGAATGGGCAATTGAGTGATTTGATTTGTGCTTTGCTGTTGATGAAAATCGGAAAAGTGTGCCTTTGCATTTTAATTAAATATTCAGTTCAGTTTGTGTTTTTAAAATAATTATGAGTATTGAGTACACAAAAATTTAAGTTGGCTTTTAAAATAGACTGATCAGTATATGTACTATGTGAAAATGTAAATTGGATCTTCTCTGTTAATGACCTAGTTAATCAAATAGCTCCTAAAACTGTTCAAATTAAGATTTATTTTTAAAAAGTTAGAATAAGCTCTCTTCCATGAGTTTTCTTTTTATTTATACCTCTGCCATTAAAAAAACACCTCACATATTGATTTTTGAAAATGAGATTAATAAATAAATTGGTTAATGCAAAAAAATTTAGGCATTTTTTCTTTCTTATTTATTTGTTGAATTTATAGAAGCATATTTTTTATAAATATTGTGCCATTTCAGATCGTGGAAATAATGAAAAATTGTAAATGTTACAATAATCGATATGTTGAAGGCACGTGGACGTATAATTGTACTGAAAAATTAAATCTCAAGGTGGAAAATGGACGCAAACAACGCGTCAATGCAAATTAATTGCAGAAACAGAATAAGGCAAACTGCAGGAATGGGTATTCCAAACAAAACATTCATGATGTCTATATTAAATTCATCCTTTGATTTATGTATTTAATTGCTCCACTTAATTATGACCGTACATTTGAATACACGTATTTCTTAGCGTGTTTTTTATTCTGTAAAAATCTGTCCTTGGAAATTATACTTTTTTATATCGATCATTTCAAAATATGCCAATTAATTCAATGCGCATTTACATTTCTGTTCCGATTAATTGATTCCACTTGCATATGTTTGCTTTAGTTGAATTTCTGATTCAGACAAATTCATACGCATTTATCATTTTTCTATACAAAAATAAAATAGTTATTCAAAGATACTGTTTCTTGACATCTTAAATCTGCTTTTTATTATTTAATTGAAAAATAAATACTATTAATTTCAACAAACATTTTTTGTGGAAAAAATTGATAAAAACTTGTTATCAAACAAAATGATGATCACACCTGAAAATATATTTAAGCGCGTGAGTTATGTGAAAATTTTCGCATTTTCATTCCTTTCCCTTATCATTGGAGTTGTATTTGCTGGAATGTTATTGCCAAGAATCATTCGATTTGCCATGAAATCGGTAAATGTTGAAATTTTTAATTTTTTCGCTTCGAAAAACAATTGTTTCATATAAATGTGATTGAATATAGCAACTTCGTTTGACTCCTGGAACGCAAACACGCGATATGTTTGTAAAAGTTCCATTTGCTATCGATTTTAACTTGTATTTATGGAATGTTACCAACAAGGATGAAGTCATGACCGGTGCAAAACCCATATTACAAGAAATAGGACCATACTATTTTGAGTAAGTATTAAATTTCAACTACAGCTTATTAAACAATATTTGAAATGAAAAAAATTGTCAACATTTGAATATTTAAGTCGTTTAACGATCTGTGTGATTCAAGTTCCTTGAAAATTTCAGTCTTTTTTTCTTTCAAAAGATCTTTTTTGTTGGAAATTATATTGAAAAGGAATTTGGTTTTTAATTCTGAATCGTAGGGAATATAAAGATAAAATCGATATTGTGGATGACAATGAAGAAGACACAATTGAATATGACTATCGGAATACGTATATATATCATCCTGAAAAAAATGGTCCTGGTTTGACAGGCGAAGAAATAGGCAATTTTTTTTAAATATTCTTCTTTTTTCGTGCTTTTTTGCATTTTACATTACGATTGCATTCATTGGAATTTTTTCTTAATATTACATTTCCTTTTTAGTAACTGTTGCTCATCCATTGATTTTGGCAATGATTCTAGCGATTAATGTTGACAAAGAAGAGCTTTTACCATTCATAATGACGGCTGTTAATGGAATGCTGCGTAAACCAACCGATATTTTTTTCACTGGCCGTCTATGGGATCTACTATATGATGGAATTGAAATTGATTGTTCATCGGATGCATTTGAAATAACGGCAGTTTGTTCGGAATTTGACAGTGGTGACTATAAAGAAATTCGCCGAATCAATGACACTACATTTAAATTCGCGTTCTTTGGCTTCACAAATGGAACTAGTATTGGTCGCTTCAAAGCACTTAGAGGCAAGAAAAATATTCGGGATATCGGTCGAGTTTTAGAATTCAATGGTGAAAGTGAAATGGATGCATGGTTTGAAGATGAATGTAACCGCGTCGATGGTACAGATGGTACTATATTTGCACCATTTTATGAAAAAGAGGAGGGTTTTTCAATATATGTACCTCAAATGTGTCGAAAATTATTGCTTGAGTATCAACGACCATCAAAATATGCTGGTATTAAAACAAATCTCTTCAGCTTAAGTTTTGATGTTTCACGATATGGGTCGCCAAATTGCTATTGTCGCAGTGACGAATATTGTCCACCAGAAGGTGTATTTGATTTATTTCCTTGTTCCGGTGCACCAATTGCAATTACAAAACCTCATTTTTATGAAGGTCAGTTGAATTTAAATGGAATCAATATTCAATTCATTATTATCGATTTACTTGATTTTAATGTTTCATTAGTTGATTTGGCTGAACGTGAAAAGGTGGTCGGTTTGAATCCAATCGAAGAAAAGCATAATTTTGCCTTGAAATTCTATCAGGTTAAATGGTTTTCAAAGCGGTTCTATGCATTTTTAATGTAAAAATAAATAATTAAATATTTCAGTTTGCCGGAGCCCCGGTTTCGGCGATCGGCCGAGCTCAAGTCAATTTTGAAATAGTCCCTATTGAATCTGTTGACATGATGAAAGATCTTCAAAAAATGTATTTACCATTGCTGTGGTTCGAAGAAGGTGTAAATTTGAGTAAAAAATATACCAACCTATTGTTGCCACTCATTTTGTAAGTTTATTCATACGAGGGTCACTATTTAAGTTTTTTCAAAAACATATATAAGACAATGGGGTTTCATCGAAAATGGTTTTATTGTTTTTCAAAATATTCGCCATGATGATCAATACACTTTTGCATTCGCTCGAACCATTTGTCATAGCATTCATGCCACTCCGAAAGTGATATCTCCAAAACGTGTGTTTTGAACGCATCAACTGCTTCTTCGGGCGATGAAAATCGTTGACCACGCAGTTTATTCTTCACGCTCGGGAATAAAAAGAAATCGTTGGGTGCCAAATCAGGACTGTACGGCGGATGACCCATTAAATCGATCTTTTGACCGGTCAAATAATCGACTGTTTGATGAGATGTGTGAGAGCTCGCATTATCATGATGAAGAATTATTTTGCGACGGCGTTTGTTTTTTCTTATTTCATCAAACACTTCGGGCAAACAAATGGTGGTGTACCAATCAGAATTGACGGTCTTACGATCCTCTAGTGGAACTGTTGCCACATGACCATTTCTCCCGAAAAAACAGGCGACCATTTGCTTCGAAGTGCTTCTTGCTCGAACAACTTTTGTTGGGTTATCTTCACTTTGAAAGACCCATACAGTCGACTGCTGTTTAGTTTCGGGCTCATACGCGTAGATCCATGATTCGCCACCAGTGACGATAAAATACACGGATTTTGAAACACCACGATTGAATTTCTTGAGCATTTGTTTACACCAATCGACACGAGCCTTTTTTTGAGCGATTGTCAAATTATGTGGTATCCAACGAGAGCAAATCTTTCTGACAGCTAAATGTTCATGTAAAATCTTAAATACGCTGGTCGCACTAATGCCCAGGGATGCCTCAATCTCGTGATATGTTACATGACGATCTTCCATTATCATATTTCTGACAGCATCGATGTTTTCTGGTACAACAACTGATTTTGGACGACCTTCGCGGAACTCGTCGATGAGCGATAGGCGACCGCGCTTGAATTCGTTGTACCAATTATAAATTGTCCGAAGACTTGGTACTTCATCGCCAAAGGCCAAATGAAGTTGATCAAAACACTGTTGTTGTGTCACACTCAATCGAAAGTGGAAAAAAATAATCGCTCGAAAATTTTCACGAGTAAAATTCATTTTTTGGCTGAGACGCAATTTACATGTTACGGTAAACAATACAAATAACGATCGAATGACAAAACGTTCTGAGAACGTTTATGCTACAAAATGTTAAACTTAACGAATATGACAATGGTTTGCATCGGGCAATACTAAAACATACATATTGAAGAAACTTAAATAGTCGCCTACGTATTTCTGGTCCTTGTCACACAAGTTGATCTGTTAAATTATACCTTTCTTATATTAAAACTTTAGCGGGTTGAAATTTCAAAAAATTTTGAAGTTCGGAGGCATTCTCGGCGGTATTGTTGGATTAGGTTTCGGTGCTGTCGCGTGTTATATGCAGATGGATGACAAGGATGAAATCAAAGACGATTTATCCGCCAAATCAGATACACAATTAAATAATCCAAAGGTACAATCGATAGAGGTCGTCAGTAATGAGTAAAAGAAATTCTGCATCAGTAGATTTCTAAATTCAACAAACTATTCATTTTTATTATTCAGTAACTTCAGTCAAGAGCTTAAAATTAAAATATAAAATTATGTAGAATTAAAAGATTCTGTATTATTGCTTTTTATTCATATGTAACTGAAACTTCTCTAAAACATTATTAATAAAGTTGCCATTATTCATTAGATAAATTTCACAAACAAACCCCAATTGATTTTGTTGTGTAAAGTCGAAATTGTGTGTATTTTTCATTTTGACTTTAATTTCGGTGTAAATAACTATGAAAATTCCAGAATTGACAGACGTTATTTTTGACGAATTCATGGGGAAGAAACTTCGTGGATATTGGCAACGCATTACAACAAAAAAACTTTTGTCAATTTTGGATGCACTTGAGTATTTTTTACGATTCAAAAATAGATGAATATCTTAACGACAATTATTTCAAAATTTTATCACTCTAGTCTTTGGACCGTATATATTTCTGGACTCTTACAGCAAAGCTGATAATAAATACATGTATTTATCCCAAATACATCAATTCAGATGCTGGAAGAAGTCCGGTTCACGAATACCAAGCTTTTCCTTAAGATCAATAATTGTATACTTCATGCGAAAATATTCTAAAGCAAGCGGGTCGGTTTTGATCAGGTCAATTAGTGCCTTTTCTAGAAGGTCACATCGCTCTGGTAATGTTGACATAAGGTTAAAACCACCCTGTAAACCCAGCTGATAGAAGTGCTCAAGCACCTTATGGATATCATTGTATGTTTTATCTGCTTGCTCAGTTGTATATGCAATAATCTCATTTTTGGCCTTTTCAAGGCTGCTTGACATACGCAGTCGAGTAGCGTCCACATTTCGATCGATTATTTCGCCAAGCATTTTTCGCGCATCAGTTCCTGATACTGTTTTTGCTTCACGGCCAACTATATTTGGGGCATTTTCATCAGTCGATTTTGAGGGCGATGACGTATTAGTGTCTGTAAACAAAAAAAAATTTTGAAGGCCAAACAAAAAGATGTAATGAGAATGCTTACTTTTAATGTCCGTGAAAAATGACTCGTGGAATGTGCTACGACGCTTTCGTCCCATTCCCATATTCATTCGCACGTTGCTTAATGCAGTTGTTGGTGTACTTAGAGCATTGCTTGCGTTTTGAACCTCAATTGTAGATTTAGATGTGATTGTATCTAAATTCGAAAAAGACATTTTTTAAGTCATATATCACTCAACTGAATAAGAAATCTGGTCGGACTTACTTTGAATGTGCCCACCAAACGATTCGAGAAATGTGCTACGCTGTTTACTGTTATGCATACCAAGTGGTTTTCTATTTTCAAGTTGACTATCTGCGATTCCTCTCTTCTGAGCACCGTCAAAATCTGTAACTATTACTTTGACACCAGCATCAGTTTGTTCGACTGCTTCAATTTTGGGTGCAATTGATGGCTCTAATGAAACTCTGGGCGTGCGTATTAAGCGAAGCTCAGATCGATTTCCATATGACATGCGACACGGTGTGTCAGCCAGAGAATCCATGGAAAAGTCGTGAATTTTATTGACTGGCATCAAATCGGCCCAACTATCTCGACGTTTTGGCGTTGAAGCTTCTGCGGTGGCCACATTATTGTAATGGCATAGATCAACAAATTTGGCAAATGAATCTCGGCTACCCGATCGTTGCGATCTGGCCGACACATACATTGGTGATTCTGACATCGAGAAATTTTCAGTTTGTTCGGGTAGTAAATTCGGAACTGTACCAAGACTCGGAATGAAGGCAACTCTCACTACCGTGCTGTCATGTACTCGTTTTGTATCAAGCGGTTCCTTCATCGAACGAAAATCATAAGAAATGACATCCCCTTTCAAATTGCCAGCCACACAAAACATGCCACACGGTGATAAGCAAACGGTTGACATTGGATGTGGTTGTTTGTATTGCTGAACCTTTAGACGCTTACCTATTAGAGACAAAAATCATACCAAATAAAATAACTGTTTGCCTAATGGCGAAATATACGCAAATCAATAACTCACGCAAATCAAATACATTGATGTTACAATCGAATCCACATGATACAAATAAGTCTTGCGAATCGTACATGGAAATATCACGAATGGGCGCATCGTGTGCTGTTTTCTCGTAGAATAGCTTCTTTTTTGTTTGAATATCCAACATAGTAATGGCACCTTCGTACGAACCGACGGCCAATGCAAACTTTCTGGCCGGATGAAAACGTACCAATGTGGAACTATAAATTTTTCAAATAAAAAACGGTTTATTAGGCCCTGCATTAGAATAGATTGGAATGAAAATTTTTGCATTTGATTTAAAGCACATGAAACAGCTTACATTCCACTCAATTTGAATGTGTCGGTGCGAATGCCAGTTTTGAGACCATATAAATTAATGTCGGCACTATCGTAAACGGCTGCCAAATATTCGTCCGTATTTGAATAATCCAAACCAATTACACTGTTTCCCACTCGATCCGGTTTGAATTTGTGGGGCAAAAATTCACCGCTCGTTACATTAAACAAACGAATGAAACCAGTAGTCATGCCAAGTGCAATTTCTTCACCATTAACTTTTGCGATTGCACCGCATGATACGTCGTCAACTTTTCGCTTCTTAATGCGCTGAATTGCATCTTTTCCATCGATGTTTATTGTGCGCAGTAATTCAAATCCAAATTTTTTATTGAATTCGACGAAACAATTTTTGCTTGGAATAACTTGAAAGTCAACTGCATCATTCGCAACATGCGAATACGAATAGGTTGAATTCAGCGTGGGGAACGATAACCACTGTGTATTCTTTGCTGTTGCAATAACATCAAACATAGTGTCACTTTTTGGCCGATGCTTCTGTTCTTAGCAAAAAAAATTTACTTTATTTTTAAATACGCATTACACGAAAATACAAAACGTAAAACAACATAAATAATAACCACAATTCAACATTTAAAATAATCAATGAATGAATTAAAAAAGTAGAATCGAAATACATGGATGGAATGAACGATGTAAACGGTAAAAATGTCAATCTGTTTCTTATAGAGATAGCACATTCAAAAATGTTTTACACTGATTCAACATTGGAATTTTGTTGAGTTTGAACAAAAATTTGACAGTTCGGCGTAAGAGAATGGGACATTTTTTCGTCAGAAAACGTTCAGTTTCATTTCAAATTATCCGTTCAGTTTATCAATCATAAACAAAGAAAATTGTTTTTTTTTATTCAAGAAAAATCAAAAATGTTCACAATTTGATTTCTTTAAAAATGAAAAAATCACATTATTCAATAAAAAATATAGCTTCTTCTTCTAAGAAATTATTCGCAATGAACAAACATATCAGTCGACTCGAGTTAGAAAAAATCCCTGTTACTATCACTGGCAACACTGTTCCCATTCAATTGAACGGAACATGTGTGTAAGTCTGTGTGTGGGATATTTCCTCCATTTCTCAATCGTATGTTATATTTTTGTGTATCTTGGTTAACATTGCACATCGAATGTTTGTATTTGTGTGTGTCGTGTCAAAATTGAATTTCTTTGTAAAATACCACATATTATATGAGCGAGAAACGTCAACATTCACTTGACTGTAATTATATGAACGAAATAATTTTTTGTTGCTCGTCCCTCAATCAATTTTCATTGCACCAAAGAAAATAATTAGGTGTGTTTTATTTTTTTTTAAATGTTTAATTGATCAGTGAACAAATTGGTGACGACACATCATTTATAAGTTATTGCGGGCACAACAGAATAGCGAAAAAAAGGGACAATATATAAATCGCATTTTTTTAATGTGAGAATTACCTTTGCACAAATATCAGTGTAATGTTTGTTTGTGTGTGCTCAATTTAGTGATAAATAATTTTGTGTGAATTCAATGCCAATAAGAACAAAACAAAAACGATTCAATCACATTTGATAGTAAAAGTTGTAATAAAAAAATATACTAAAAAGTGTTTGCTTCAATTTGGGGACGAGCATAGCAATAAAAGATTTTGTGTGTGTTCGTATAGAGACAAAAAAAAATCGCATCATGAATCGTACGGATGGGTTAGTACGACGAAATAAAAGTCGGGCCACCACAGAAAATGGCACTGCCGAAGGAAATGCTTCATCAGCCAATAGTGTAGATGAAAATGATGTGATCATCAATGACCGCGACAATGATATTGATGACACAGACTCAAAAGAAACAAGGCTCACACTAATGGAAGAAGTTTTGTTGTTAGGTTTAAAAGACAAAGAGGTAAATATACCTTTGTAACCTTTTTCACCATAAATTTTCCCTTCTTAATATGAAATTCGCAACATTTGTTCTCAATTCAAGAGAATTTCGGATTCAGTAGCAATAAGAAAATATACATCTAGCTCAACATCAATGAAAACAATCGATCGATAACTCGACCTAAATTTTCTATAAATTAAGCAAAACAAATGAGAAATTTAATTGAAGCCAATCGAAAATAAACACATAACGACCATTTGACACATCAGAAATGTAAATATGTGCTAACAAACTCATATGGATGGCTTAATGATTTGGTGACAAATTTAAATTTATCTCACTTTTATTTGAACATATGTATTCACTTCGTTCTTATCGAAATTGTATTTGTGATTATAGGTGTTATTTTCGTGAAAAAAAAAATCTGCGATTGTTTTATTACGTCAAGTCGCTGAGAATTCATGTGTATGTACAACACATTGCAAAAGATTGATTCAATTGAGCCAACTTGCTAAGTGTTTGTTCAAATGACTAATTTATTGGAGCTATTTTGTCCACGTTCAATGTATATTATCACTTCAACATGTATATGTGTGAAATCTTCTTCGGTTTTATAGATTTTCTACGTGAGTCTTCAATTCGAATCGGAAACGTGCGTGATAATCAATATGTTTTTGCATAAATTATTACCCCCTTCATGGCACTTTTTATTTACACGATGCATTGACCGTCGGTCATTCATTAAAAGCGAAACTTTGTTGTGTTTTTTTAGACAAGAACAGCACAAATCATAACCTGTTTGAAGTAAATACCGTTTGTTCTCACAGAGTTGTATACAATCTTAGAAGTTTCATTAACGATGTTATTACAGCACATTATTCACACAGTCTATCTCTTTCTTCCTCGGCTACATATTTATCGCATATCGTCATTATTTTGGTCCACATAAAACGCAATTTAACGTAATGCACAACACGAATAACGTTACCGTACTGTTTATATGTACATTACAAATCCGTGACATTGCAAGAGTACGCTCTCGTACAAAAGTAGAGATTCACAAGCTTTATAGCTATTTGGCATTTGCTAAAGCTTCTTATAGTCTTTATCTTTTGGTTTTTTTGTAGTGAAGTTATTTCAATGGGTAAATGGTGCATTTGAATTTATAAATACTTAAGTAGTTAAACGACATGCACGCGATATCAAACAAGAGATTTCAATTGATTGAGTGGGCGGCCATAATATCAAGCCTTTAAAAGCTAACCAAAATCATCTTAAACATCCATAAGAATGCATATTTTTTCAATTAACGGATCAAAACTTTCGACCAGCAATGTACGTCTAAACTTGTTGATTGTATAGCGTTTGAATTGCACCGATATCAGCATATCATATTCTGCATTGCATACTTTGTTCCAATTTATTTATGGGTTTTTGCTGAACGTGAACAAAAATTTGTACTATCAAAATATTTATAGTTGTTGATGTTGACGTTGTAGTAACAATAAAACGTTTATGAACAAACATACTAAATCGATGAAATGGTTTCCGATGATAAACCCACAAAAGAGCTTATAAAAATATTTAGTTCCTGCTATGAATGTTTCGAACAAAGCAATTTCTTATCATTTCTGTACATCCGGAAATGAATGAAAACGAATTTGAATTTCATATCACTAGAGCTTCCGACGCTCTTAGAAACCTTATCATAAACAATACCTAATTTGAATAATGTTTTTCTATTCCTCTCGTAGGGTTACACATCATTTTGGAATGATTGTATATCAAGTGGCTTGCGTGGCTGCATTCTCATTGAGCTTGGTCTGCGTGGCCGAGTCGAATTGGAACGAGCTGGTATGCGCCGAAGAGGATTAACATCGCGTAAAGTGATTCTCAAATCTGACACACCGACTGGTGACGTATTGCTGGATGAAGCATTAAAACACATTAAAGAAACTGAACCGCCAGAGACTGTTCAAAGTTGGATCGAATATTTGAGCGGCGAAACATGGAATCCATTGAAATTACGTTATCAATTGAAAAATGTGCGTGAACGCTTAGCCAAAAATCTAGTGGAAAAAGGCGTATTGACGACGGAAAAACAAAATTTTCTACTATTCGACATGACAACACATCCGCTCAGTGATAATGTAGTAAAATGCCGTCTAGTAAAAAAGGTATATAGTTAACAATTAAATGTTTGGTCAAGAATTTAACTAATTCGATTTTTATTTTCCGTATAAATCAGATTCAAGATTCTGTGTTGACCAAATGGGTGAATGATCCACAACGGATGGACAAACGAATGCTGTCACTAATATTTTTGGCGCATGCAAGTGATGTTCTAGAGAATGCATTTGCACCATTAAATGACGAAGACTATGAGCTGGCCATGCGTCGAGTTCGTGAACTACTTGATTTAGACTATGAAAATGCGGCAAAAGCAAGCACACAAGAAATTATGTGGGCTGTGTTCATGGCATTCACGAAGTAAACAAACAGCAGTTAGGGACAAATCAAATCGATGTATTTTTTAAATTGGATTTTTTCTGTTTTTTTTTCTCTAATTTCATCCTCTTTCTATATTATATTGTTAATTTGCCACTGAATAATCCCCGATTTTAAAGATAATAATCACCTTCATAGAGTAATATTATAGTTAAAAACAAGATGAAGAATACTAAGAACACGAAATAACGCTAAACTTCAACATAAGCATTCGAATATATACTTAATATTTGATGATTATTTGTTTGGTAGATGAAATGTTAGTTTTGGATTCTGTTGTTGCAACAACACAGAAAAAAAAATCACCAAAATATGTTCGATTGCTTTTATACTATGAATAAACTTTTTGTTACGTGTGAGTTTTACATGTTCATAGCACCATTGTGATTTCTGACCGATTTTTCAACACATTCACACATACAAAATAATCCTTTCACTTGCAGGGATTGTCATGCGAACAAAAAAAAAATTGGAATATTTGTGAAACGCAACAGAATTTGCAAACAAAACGAAACGGACAAACTGACATTTTCAAATGTAATTTTATTCTTTTTTTTAAGTTATTTCAACTAGTCCTGGCTGAACTATAAAATATCCAGAAAAAATCTACAGATAGAAAGTAAGAGACAGTCGTATAAGTTGAGATACATTTTTCGTAGTTGAATTTAAAAAAAAACACACACAAAAATGTTTAATTGTTCGTTTTATGTGAATGAACTTTAGATTATAACGTTCAAAAGAACTAAAAAAAAATATCTAACTCTAGAGATTTATGTGGCTGTCTTTTACCTATAAACTGTCAAAGTAACAATTTTGAAAATTAATTTTTCGTTAAGTTAAATTTGAAATATTTTTATTTTATCAATCATTTATTTTGAGGGTTAGAGAAGCAATAGGAACGAACGGAAAAGAAAAAAAGAGCAGAAATTGTGTATATAAATAGGAATATAAATTAAAAAAAAAAGAGAATAAATGGAAAATTTGAGATCAATTGAGAGTATAATTCAAGCCAACTCTACGCCAAGTCATGCAACGATTTAAAATTGACTTTTCTTTCGAATATACATGAATACGATTAAATAAAACGATTTTAAAGAAAACAGCAACAGAAACACAAAATGCAATTTTCTATTTTTCATAATAGGATTTAAAAACGAGTACTATATCAAACAATTTAGTTTTTAATCAGAGACCGAATTTAATTCCATTGATACGAATTAAACATTTGGTTTTTATTTTCGACATAATAATTTATGCAGTAATTAGTAAACATTCGCATCCAATTGCAAAAATGTCATTCATTCCGCTTAATGATTGTTGGTTAAAACAGAAAACAACACATAACAACGGACATTAGAAGTATGTTTTCTTTTTTAATTTTAGACGCGGTTAATTTCAGATTAATTTTTAGTTGGACATTCAAATATTTCGTCATTGAATTATCTATTGCTTTTTTTTGGAATTCTGACATTCTACTAATGTAATATTATATATGAGCCTGTATGAGTTGTCAATATTTAAAACTTAAGATTATTATTGCATACACACACTTGAGACATATTAACAGAGTCTGGCTGATAATAAATATACCGTAATGTGTCCAGATTTGTAAACGTCTTTGTATACAAAATCAAATTTCCGAATGATTGAAAACCAATAAATTTAATAAATGTAAACAATAAAACCGTTTTTCTTGTTTCGTTTTCCAATCAATTTCAAATATTGTTGCAGTTCTTTCGTTTTCCATAAAAGGCAATTCAATGTTAAATCGTGATTTGAATAAAAATAAATGTACTGAGATATTATGCATTTTATTTGATGAGATTCAATTAGAATCGTTTTCATAAATTCTTCAACCATCTTTATTTGCATGTGATATATTTTGAAATCATTGCCATTTTTCGATTTTGATCCCATGATTGTGAAAACTTTTATGATAGCCACGATTCATGTATCGTATCCTCTTGAAACTTGGCCAGAATTTTCGACGAAGTCAAATGACCTTCAGCATCTATTGTAATTCGAGTGTTGATTTTCTGAAAACAATACGAGACTTTAATACTTGCATTTATGTATAAACTTATTTTTCACTCATTTTAAGCTAAAACAAATACATCGCAATGAAATTCGACTATATGTCACTTGAAGACAAAGTTAGTGCCCAAAACATATGCTGTTTGTATGCTTTAAAATCTTCCTTCGTCAATTGGATGGATTTTGTGATAAAGCATACATACACTGGCATATAGTTTAATAATCGAACGGCGAATTATACAGCGAAGTGAGCATCAAGTATGTTTTTGTGAACTACATAATGTGTACCTTGTGCAGTCAAGTAGGAAAATCGAGAAACTTGAGCTGAATACCAATTTTAAACCATAAAACTCCGAATCATCGTTGAACGACCATTGGTGAAATGTTTTCAATTTTTTTTTGCTCGGTAAAATAAATTTCCAAACATTTTTTGATTTTCGGAAGTGATGAATCCATACGTAAGTGGTTTTTGCAATTTGCCTTCGGTAATTTAAAACCTTGCCTGCTTCACAGCTGACCACAGGAACAGCACTATATACTCATTGGTATATAGTATAGCAAGAGTACATGTAGTTGTTTGTTTACTTATCCGTTAAGATTTGATTTCTACATGTAAGTCTACCACATCGTACATCATTTGAATGGTTATGCGCTTCTGAAATGTACAGATTGATCGAAACGTGCGCATATAATCTTTCTTTTCTCATTTATTCATGCAAATAAAATCAACAGGCGAGAATTCCTTCCTACGGTAGCATCATTCTCTGCACTTTTTTTTCTTTTTCAAAGCATTAATAGCAGACATAAGTCACTCCTTTGGCAAGATTTCCTATACACAATAAAGTCAGTTGTTTTGCTGGGATAAAAACCGAAAACATATAAGGTCATGAATATTATGTACCTAAGCCAAAGGCATGGCTAATGTTGTGCGTCTTCTTTCCAACATGATTTTGTGTATATCTATACTGTGCACTGTGTTATAAAAGTTATTGCATTTTTTTTGCGCTCTTTTTGTGTGATTTGTTGAGTAGCTCATGAAAAAATCATCTTGAAAATGTGCATGAAAGACAGCGTATCGCATGCTGAAAATGGTTGCCGCATATTTCGCGTATTTTGAACATTTTTAAAAATACATTTCAAGCACCCATGTTACGAATTAAGTTTGTCTCTGAATAGTAAAAGAATGAAATAAAGACAATTAAGCAGTTTCTTCTTGATTAATTTAATTATTAATGTGTTGTGTGTTTCTATCTATTCCCGAGTGTTAAAAAATCAAGGGAATTTCACTTGATACATGATTGATCGTTCTTTTCTTACATTTTTGGAACAAGACAGCAATTCTTGTTTTTGGAAATACCGAACACTTAAAAAAGTATCTACTAGAAAATTTTCCGTGCATAGAGTAGTATTAAAATCTTATGGGTATGTGTTTGAAGTACTCATTGTATATAGACGAACATATCTATATCATTACTAACTTTTGATTTGAAAACTCTGCTCTGTTAATGGTATTCTTGAATTGGATGCTGAGCACGTTTGAACAAGCAAAATATTACAACACATGTACCCAAATAAGAATAACAAGCATTACGTTGAATTGCATAGCGCGTAGTATTGGAATCGGAATCAACAGCTGAAGTGCGAGTTTTATAGCCAAAACTACTCTTAAAAAACTTAAATAAATGCTGCAAGCGTACATCAGAAGCGAATAGATGCGACTAACAAACCTACAGCGAATGTTTAACGTTTCAATACAGCTCTCAGTCAAATTGATGGTTGTAGAATCGCACAACTCGATGCGATAGGTTTTGGTATCCAAAATGCTGTTACATATTGCAATATGTACACTGTACATTGAGCTGTGTAATGTATGTAAAGCGCACACCTCTGTGCTCTCTACGTATGGAAAAATTGTTTCATTGCACGTTCATGACCAGCGTTAGAATGTCTACTACTCGGAACAGACGCAACGAGTTGGCCAACAAAAACGGCACAAAGCAAAACATAAAAAAGACGCTTCATCCGTTCAAAAGCACACACAATTCCTCATTGGAAATGTACATACTGGTATAGGTAAAACCGTAAACATTAAAGCGCGCGACAAATGGATGTATGCGCACGTTATGCAGAGAAAACGAGACAGAATAGCAATAGCTCCACAAAAACAAAAGTTCACATAGCATGCGAAACATCAACAGCCAAGCAAACATTCAGAAAGAACAACACAACACATGCCAAACAACAGGCCTCGCGATTGCTTCGAGATGTATACAGAGCAGTATGCGGATAGCAGTTTAACAAACTAGTATATTTTGTCGCTTCGATCGGAATAGTTCATTCGTTTGTTCGTTCTTCAGTTGATTTGTTACGGTTTAGTTAGTTTCGCGTTTTTTTTATTCACATTTTGCATTACGTTGATTTCACCCAAAACGGGCTAGCTAAAAAGCATTTACATTAGATTAGACAACGGCCAAACAGCCATCGACTCGATTTTTGTGAGCTTCCAATCTATATACTGTGTGAGTTTTGATCTCTTTGTGTGGACTGTATTCGTGTTTTGATGTGTGCATACAAATATATATATATGTACGAGAGCAAAAAAAAAAGTTTTGTTGCTTGAACTATTTCACGATTGTTTGATTTAAATATCACCAGTGTGCACTGTGTGTCCAAGTTTGAAGCACTAATGTTTTATTTTTGGCTTCTGTTTTTATTGCTAAACATTTACCAGTGTATGGCTGGCATTTATAATTCAAAACGATACATTCTGCTGATGATTTACTCTGTGCAAATTTGTTAATGGTGATTGTCGGCTATTTATATATGATGATATAAATTAAATGATTTTGGACGATTAACGTCATTGTTATTTTCTTTATTTAAATATACTGTCTCCGATGCTTTTTTCTTCTTTAAATATCAACCATGTTCCGTGTAATACTTGTTGCGTTATTGATTATTCAAATGAAATGTGACCAATTTTTTTTAATGTCTTTTGAATAATAGAAAAGATAATGATTAATAGTTTATTAGCTTTGAACATATAATGAATAAAATTAAAACAAACATTGAAATTAAATATCAATTTGGTGAGAGTGAATTAAAGTAAAAAAAGACCTTGATATGATTTCATTTTATTTGTCACCATAACGAAATTAATGCACTACACCACTTGCACTACACCACTTTGCAATGCACAAATATACATAGTGTTAAAAATGGCAAAGTAAAAAATATAGTGAACATGCATTTTAACCCAATTTTGTTAATAATTTAGTTAACATCACCCAATCCAAAATGAATGTGCCATAGTGTGGAATAAAATGAGATTTACTATGTGAAATATGCGAATAATTTAATGAAACGCAAAGCCAATTTTAATAATTGTACATATCGAAAGCATATTTGTGGCAAGTCATTTAATTAATTAACCCATGCACGTAGCAAAAATTCAAGTGAAACTAAAAAAAGAAGAGGAAAATAATGGGAATCAAATATTTATATTAACGGCTAAACTGATATTGCACCAAGACCAAAGATTATTGCATCCAACAACTTTCGCATATTTGCATTCACCTACGTAAAAGCGTTTCAATGCCCAAAAAAGAACAATTCAATTGCGCTCCAACAAAATACGTTGTGGCCAGTGGATCAGTGGGGGAAACGATAGTAAAAATAAAATTTGATTGAACCAATGTGGCAAGGAACTTATAACTTCTTTAGCTTTGAAAATTAATATGCATAATATCTGTAAAAATCAATTGAACACGGCCGACCGAGAAAAAAAAAATGCGTCAGTTCTTCTCTCACTTCAAATTAATTGAAAGTACGGCCGTTTTCTTTTTCTTTCGACCAGCGAATGATATGATAAACTTGTATGCAATTTATTTTCGAATTAATGTGAACGAAAAAAGAAATAGACTAATGCAATAAGCATAAGAGATGAGCAGTCGAAGAAAGAAGAGAGGAGCATCGGCAACAGAGCAAAAAGTCCACAAAGCAAGCGACAACACATAGATAAAGGCAAAATAAAGCATGCAAGACAAGACCGTCAACATGATATTGTTCCGCGTTGCTGTTTTTGTTTTATTTTTCAATCTTTCTCAATCTAAAGTCGTTCACAGTACCGTTGATATTTCTTTTCAATAGAAATTCAGTTGTGATGCACGTTTTGTACGTAAAACGAATATATATTCATGCCATTCATGGTGTACCATCTAATTCCCTCTATCTCTCGCTCAATGCGAACCATTTCCGTAGTTGTAGTCTCTTTTTTTTTCTAAAGTTGAAACGTCTTTGATTGCTGAGCTCGTCATCGTCTTCGCTTGCACAAACTTTGGTTAGCATTCATTTGAAGCTTGACACAAATGAAGAAACATCAGTCCAACCAAGCACAAATGTCGTCCTCCCGTTCATTCTAACTTTACAAATGAATGGTGTCTTCTTTTATGACTTTTCTTTTATTAGAACTCGACGATGTGGTTTTTGGTATAAATGAGAAGAAGAAAAAAAATGTCAAAATTACCGTAACACTTACGGATATGTGCTATTATGACAAATTAAAAGAGAGAAAAATATGAGGTGAACAGAAAGAGAGCTGATGAACGCCATCAGCATTGTGGAAAAATGCCAGTTAACCGTATTAAATATATTTACTCAAAAGGAGCAAGATGCATAATATTTGACTTTTAAAATGAATACATTGTACTTCTATTCATTGAACTTTGTATAAACAAGTTATGGTCAATGCATATCAATTTATAACGATATGAATACCTGTGTACCTTATTCAATACCTTCAAATTCCATTAGTTTCTGAAGAGGTTTTTTTTCTATAAAATGATGTTGTGGCTTTAATAAGCAAAAAGCATATACACACAGGTGGTTACTACATCGATTTCAAACAAATGAAATGGAAACGAATATATCGAGTGGTCATCAATCTATCGATCTCACTTTAGCGGTCGTATGATGTAGCCAAAAAATGAAAAGAAGCAAATAACACAGTCAAAATAGCAGATGAAACAAAACAAAAAACCTGAAGTAATTGCGATTTGTTTCGATCTATAACAAAGCACACGCAAGCATTTCAGTAGTTCAAATATTGTTGTCTCGTGATGTACTCGTTATATATTTTTTTTTCATTTCCCGCATTTCTTTTTCTGTTCGTCTTCGTTGTTTTTTGTCTCAGTTCAAGCAAAATTCTTTAATAAAAATCGTGATGTACTTTAATACAAACAAAAAGCAACGATTTTTATTGCAAAATGATACACGTACACAAAAAAAGAAGAAGAAGAAGATATTTTTTCGTTTATGAACTATGGATATTTAATATGTAACAAACATTTTCAAAATCGATACGTACCGAAAAAAGAGTGTAATATAAATATAGATGTTACAATCGCTAGATGAAAAACATTGTCGAAAGAGTAGAAAAGAAAAGAAAATTTTGTGCGTTGTTCCGACTTTTTTCATCATCCATAAAGCCATTCGATTTTCTTTTGTATCGTCTTTTGTCCGTACGAGTTTTTTTTCATCATATTGTTACAGAAAGGCATTCCATTATTTGCGTTGCCTGCCATTCAAGTTGGTGGTACCAAGTTGGTACACAACTTTTGCATTATAACTTTCAATCTATTCAGAGGCTACCACTGACAATTCAATATTTCAAACGGTGAGAAAAAGCAACGGCTGACTGCTGTTGCTGTTATATAGCAGCAACCAATTGATCGATCTATTTTCAGCAGATTTCCAATTTTAAGCGTTTCCCAAAGTACAAAATCGACATTCACATACTGCTTTTTTTTGTTTTCATCGTTCATTTTATTGTCTTATTCAGTCAGCTTTCTCAGCGTTGCTCTGAATTTGATGTGACGACGTCAATCTGAAGAGCGTTCGTTACGCTGTAATTTACATTTCACTTATTTCACCGTTTACGTGCAAATCACGATGTTATGGTGGATGTTCGCGAAATACCCTAATTGCCGATTATTTCGACTAGCTTGAATTTGAATTTGGTTTGTCTCACGTGTGACATTCGATACGGTATCTTTCCTCGTTCAACCTCAACTTCATGGCAACGGTGTGCTTTATTTATTTTTTCACAGTCATTCGAGTGGTTAAGGCCCTTTTCAATGCACAACATATTTTCAATGCAAGTGCTTGACGCTCACCATATACAGGAATGGATTTACATTTGCTGGAATGTCCTAACGCGTTTCAATATGTTGGAAGATTCAGCATTATTTTTGATTACACATTCAATGTGTGTGAAATATTCATAGGTCAGGGTTGCAAGCATCCTCTTTCTCGCTACGCGTTCGAAAATTGTCGTATTGGAAAGGACAAGCTATATTACATTGAGCATGTTATGGGTATTGTGCGTGGTCAATGCCTTTCGTATTGGCATTTTGGATAAAATATTTTCCGTGAAATGGCATTTTTATCGGAAATTTATTTGTAACGCTTGATTCTAACGTATAATTTAATTTGAATAACACAAACATCTCTCCAACTATCATCAATTTCCCGCAGTGCTACAATCGCATATATTTTCAAATTGAGAGTTTTATCGGCCCAATTCGTTTCGAAGAAAAATATTGAATGAACGTTGACTCGACCTTTTTTCATTCAATGTTTTTTTTAAATGTTTATTTTCGTTTCAGACAGTTCGATATTAGATATTTTACATTTTCGGTATTCAATGGAAGATTGTGAAAAAAAGGAGATTCAAATGAAAAATTGATTTTCCCGTTGTGACGTACAAAACGCATCACATTGAGAATCGAGCATATTACACTGTTGTTTACAATCAAAGTACATAATATTAAAAACAAACTAAAGTAAAAGTTTTTACGGTCTGGAGCAGAAAATCGAAGGAAAAATCAGACGAAATGACGAGTAAGGGAGAGGACAGCAATACAACAACAACAACCGATGATAACATCTCATTAAATGAGGTAAATTCGCTAAATTTAGACTTGTTTTTATATTCTTATGTACTTTGATTCTAGGAAAATGAGGTTTTTTTTCTGTTCGAAATAAAAGTTATTGTTTTTTGCTGGTAAAACCAAAACAAGAAAATTGCGAATATGCGTGATCACGTATGGGCTGCATGAGAACTTGAAATTACAATTTTCCAAATAATTTTTGAGACACCCATATATTTAATTATATAAAAAAAACCATATCGTATATTTTCTTTGACAAAAAACAACATAGTTATTTGAATTTATGCTTATGAGTGAAATACTATACTTCTTGACAAGGTTTCATATATGTAAATTTACTCATTAGCTTCATACATGTATTATTCATCCAGTACATGTCCTAGTTTCTGTTCTATGTCGTGCGAAGCCATTTCCAACCACCGCCAATGCTGTCATTTAACACCAAGATTTTATTTCTTTTATTATAATTACACATGGAATAAGCATAATATTTCATGATAATTTATTGATTTTTTTTTTATGAACGCTTGCTCTACACAACACATAATAAATTGTAATATGAACTTGAAATGGATCGAAATATGATGTAAAATTCGCCAGGACCCAGTTGATTTACAAACAGCAAAGCTTATAATCAACAAATTCAAGCAGAAATGTCGGATGCAAAGCGAGCAAATACTGAATTGGAAAAAGGCCTACAATATGCAACGACAACAGCATTTCGCCATTGGTCAACTCAAAACCGAGCAATTAAATGCATTAACTAGGTAACAATCATATTTTTCCTAAATAATAATAATGACTTTATTTTATCTTCCCCACTTGAAATCTACATCTTAATTTTTATTTTTAAACCTTACTTACAAACTTCATGAACAGTCAATTATATCTGCTAGAGTCACGTTTACGGCGCAAACAAAGACATATCGCAAACATTTTGATTGAAACTGAATGTACAATTGTCAGACAACAGAAGATTATTGATACTCTGTCTAGTCGTTTGGTCGACTACAAACTGGATTCGTGTAGCGACTTCGAAAAGTTAAACGATGATGGTGATTCGGCAGTGGTTTTGGACGATATTATTGATTGTGATAGCACCAATTCATCGATTGCATTGCGGCGCAGACACAACGGAGGTGACATTATCCGATCTGTTTCGGACGCAATTGACAGTACCCTGAATAAATATTTGCCTGGTAATTTAAATCGACGAAGCAATTGTTATTTAAGACGTCCGGACATTTTGGAAACCGTTTATAGCGTTGAAGAAGATGCAGAAGCAGAAAATGCGTCGGAAAAACGTGAAAATTTTAAACGACAATCGAAACATAGTTCATACAACAAGTCGACACATGAATTGGAGAATATTGATTGTGAAACAGTAAGCATAAGTATTAGCGAACCGGCCACTGTCACATATCCACGAAATGTAGATAAAACCAAGAATGTCGCATATAACTATAATCGCATTATGTCGAATCATCGTACAGTGACCAAACCAAAAGATGTGAAATACAAACGAATAAACAAAGCAAAATCAAAAAGTCTTGAAGAGTTGCGGGGTCGGCTTAAACACTGGATCGACAGAGGCAATAGCGAATCACTTGATGCACCGAAACCAGCTCCAAACTATGTTGTTTGACATTCGATGAAGCCCGATATGCCTAGAAAAAGTATTTAAACGTACAACTACACAGAGTCATATATATATAAAGTATATATATGTGTGTAGATTTATGGAGGTGGCGATTGTGGTGTGACTAACACAAATAATAAAAAAAAAGTCGGAAACCTCAAAAAACCGCAACATTTCACCATAAATCCAACGCGCCATGTGCACGAATGATTCACCATGGAAAACAGTTTATCCAATTATTCGTTAACCAATAAAATTCAATCTTCAGCAATCTTTTTTAACACACTTTTTCTGTCTTTAAAGTATACATTTTATTATTGAAAGAAAAATGTTCATAAAGCCGATTAAATCGTTTTATTTTCATATATTTTTGCACAATCCAATTTTCTACATTTTACAATATCTAAGAAAATGAAACTTTTACCTCAATTTATACAAGGTGTCCAGATTTGTTGATCAAAACTTTCAGAGCTTTGGTTTTATGTTCATTGAAAATGTAAGAACTAAATACAATTTTATGATAGAGATGCGTTAAATATATAGCTTGAGACAAACTGTGGTAAATTGTTAAAAATCAATTGCAAAAAGCTTTCAAAATTAAACCGAATCACGTTTAATGTGCCGAGGATATTATCTTATTCTGGTGCACTGATCTATGTAATTAATTGCTATGTACTTGTTTAGTAGTTCTGCACAAATAAAAGACGCAATAAAAAGACACACACACACACAATTTGATTAATTCGACATTAATGCAAATTATAAAATCGATTCACCAGAAAAGTGTGATAAAAATTAGCTTTTGTAAAACACAAATAAACAAAATAAAACAAAACACAGCTGCTTGCTATTAAAATTACACATTTTCAATTGGAATTTGATGTGCAAATATAACTATGCTTCCGTTTTATGACTGAATAACTAAACAATTAAAACTGTAATACTAAAAGTTCGTTTGTAAGGAGAAAGAAGTTTGTGTCATGAAATTGTGTGAAATGAAGTCATCTTCAATGGCAGTGTAATGTCTGTTGAAAAGAATTAAAAATACACTGGTAATTGTTTCTATGAACTTTATTGGAATGGCAACATCTGGATCGTACTTATAGATTTTGCTGGTCTCGCTTTAATGGCAATGTCAATTGAAAACCGAGTAAAAATATATACTGTAGTTAAAAACGCATTTCAATGTACAGAAAAGGAGTTACAAAGATTTGCTATATATTAGGAGCTTGGTAAATGTGATTTTTTAAATGCAATTCAAAGACATGTTTAAATAAATTATAAATAAACACAAACACCGACGCAAATGTACGTGTCAAAAAATAATACAACTAATAACAAAGCCTCTACATAACTATATTTAAACGTGTAAAACTTGTAAACTGATGATAAAAAGAAATTCTTGAAATAAAATGATATTATGCAACTATTTGAAGTAAGTGTTGTATTTTATTGCCACTTTATATGGATAACGTTTTACATGTAGAAGGAAATTGAATTTATTATACAAACCTTATCTTTAGACAATCTCTTGGGCTTCAAACAAAAATAAAGAAAAAAATATACACACCAAATTTCAATAGTCAATTTTATTTCATATTTTTTTCATCTTTACAAAAAAGTTACACATTTCGAGGTTGGAATGTTCTGCACAACTGATTTCTTTGACATATCTGGATGTTTTTTTTTTTGCTCTTATTAGATCCTTGGCTTATACGCATAACATATAGACCGAATCAATTTCCTTTTTATTCGGTTTCAATCAAATGGATTTTGGTGGAATGATTTTTGCCTTTGGGTAATCCATTATTCTGTAACATTTTTTCATCATCTATAAATCGTTCATATTTCAATAAACCAATACCATTGATCTGATAATGGTTGAATAAGGTATCGTACCTTGATTTATGATACGTCTTGCGATAAACGAATACACATAAGAAAGTTCTTCGAAATGTTAAACTTCCGCAAATGTATGTTTTTTTTTAAATTATTTTTTTCGCTTTGATCCATCTAGAGATAATATTTTAAATGCAAATGTCTCGTTGAATGTCAAAACAGTATAATTTGTCGCAAGACAATTGTTTCCACCAACGAATTAAATTTAACTTGAAAGAGTGAAAGAAAAACCAAAATATCACTATAAAGAATACATAAATAGTAGTATTAACACATAAATTGTACAGCTCATTCGTACAACAGCATTTACAAGCCCATGAAAATATATTGAATGTATTACATTTTATAAAAGTAAAATTGAATTAAATAAAGAATAATAATTTTTGGAGGAAAACAATATAAAAAAATAAATAGTTTTGAACGTGCCTTAAATAAAATCGAAAAGTTTTTTTTTATCTTAGCGGTACTATGTTTATAGACTTGTGCGATTCGAATGTTGCCATTGTTTCATTTTAACTATAAGATTGAAATTAAATCGATAGAGTTTTTTTTCGATTTTCGCTTTCATTCGTTCATTCGTTGCTGCCTCCGTTCGTATTATTTTTTTGCATAGCGAATAAGCTATATTTTGTGTGCTACAACACTAAACAAATGGTGCATTATAGAAAATTTTACGTTTTTGTGGTAATGGTAATGGTTTTTCTGTAAGACCGGTTTGCTCTAAGAATGTATCAAACGACTTAACATTAACATCAGCTTGAGATTGTGACGTTGTTGATTTATTGATTAGTTTTTTTAAACGAGCTGGATTTAATAATTGTGCATTCGGTTTGGTGGACGTAATATCTTCATCTGATATTTGATTATTACCGGTTCCATTTGCCATCGTGCAATCTTTAGCAACTGTTATTGGAACAAAATGAATTGTGCTACTACTCGATTCAAGTGATGAATTATTTTCGGAGCATGATGTCAATGAGAACTCAGCATCTAAATTGTATTCAACTTGATCGTGCGTTTCTGATTCTTTACCATTTTCCAGAATATTTGAGGGTAATAATTTTCCATATTCCACGTCTAAGTTATACCAATCAAATTCCGCTTGAATGGGCATCAATATCTTATCATTTTGTTTAATGATTGGCAATGCTTTCATTGGATTCAATGAAATTGATTGTTGTTGTGTTGCTGTTGACTCAGCGATTGTCGTCATCTTTTGTTGTGTTATCAATTTCAATGGATTCTTTTTGGTACTTTCGTCAAGTTCACTTATAATTTTTGGTTTTGACAGTTGATTGGTGGTGACTGGTGTTGGCTTTGCTTTTTGTGCATTTATTTCCGATAACAAATTGGCGACCACAGCTTTTGTGGGCAAACAGGCCGGTTTTGCACGTTTTGGTGGAGACGATTTTGTCACATAATTATCTTGAGATATAACTTTTATGTGCGTGATATCTTTTTTCGGCGATAACAATGCTACGACATTTGGAAGTTTTGGAATATCGGCAAAAGTTTCATCAGTAATATCGGTTTTAGTTTCTTCACTTGCATGCGATGACACATCATCATCGGCATTTTTATGAACATCGGCAACAATTTGAACACTTTTAACCGTCTCTTGAACATCGCCAATTGAACAATAATCTGGTTCAGATTCGTTATCAACTGATTTGGCTGGGCTTGGCTGAACGGGGAATGTTGGCATTTTTAAAATTTGACGAAATTTCATGAGGTTGGGCGGCTTTGGTGGTAATGCTGGTGGTATTTTTAATTTTTCAGCCATTGACGGTTGTTCGTCTTCCAATTTTGAATCCATATCAACATAATGATTTGTCGAATTATTTTCGGATCCAATTGGTTCATACTCGTTGCTATATATAGTTGCATAACTAAGATCCTTTCCATTACATGCATCAGCAGATGTTGTTGACGCTTCCAAACGATACAGATTTAGTGAGCTATCTGACCGTGGACTTTGTACCATTACCATTGAATTTTGCGTTGAAAAATGTACTCGCTTTTTTAATGTGTTTGTCGCCTCTTTGGGCGGCGAATCAGTTAATGTATTATTATTTGAAGGTGTTGAAGTTGCAGCAGGCATATCTGATGTGATGTCGTTTCTCATTTCCATTATACCGTCCATAGATTGTTGCAATAGAATCTAAAGAATTTAAATAAAAAATAAATTATATTTTTGTGTTTCAAAAATAAATTCAATTACTTACTTGATTAACACACTCTAGTACAGGATTAACGGCATTATAACCATATGGTTTGGATACAGCTCCGTCCGAATCGTCCATATCGCTAGCACTGGCATACCAATCATCATTCGATTCAAATTTCGTTTTGCTACCCTCATCATCGTACTTCTTCAAAAATTGATTACTTTTATCTGATTCCGTACTAAATGGATTTCCGTTGTGTGCAGGGCTCGGTCTGGTTTCCGTTGTCATTTCACTATCGATTTTATCACTTAGTTTATTACCATTTTTATCACATTTTATTGCAACAGCTGATTTTGTTGATCGTCGCATACTTCCTTTTCGCAAAAGGCCGTCTTTTATTTTATTTTCAATTATTGGTTTGTGCTCCATTTGCTCGGATTGCGGTTGTAAACTCTCGGAGCTTCTATTGAACGACTCATCACTGCAACTGAATGCTAATTCAATATTTCTGGAATTCAGATATTCACGGAACGTTCCCGATGTACGTTTACTCATGTATCGTTTACTTCTTCTCACTTCCGACGAAAATACTCGCTGCAATCCATCTTCACTCGATGATGTTGGTCGCACAATATTTTCTGAAAGCATAAATATGTGTGAAAAATTATAAAATTGATTGAATCGTCAACACTTTTTTTCCTGCATGTTCTTACCTTTGTCAATGTCATCATGGCAAACTGGTCCATGCTTATTTACTTGAATGCCAACATCCACGGTATTCAGAAAATAATATTGTTTACGACAACTCGGACAGTATTGTGCAACTGGATCGATTTGTTCCACTTCATCATCTTTAACACCATATTTTTTACGCAATGAATTCACTTCGCTGGCCAATCGATTTAGCTGTGTATCCTTTTCGTATAGCTGTTGACGAATCTGTTTCTGATCGCTTTTCAATTTTGCTTCAAAACATAAGAGTGCTTTTGCGATTTTAGCTAAATGAATGTCACGCGAATGTTTCTCAATTTCCAATTCTTTGTTCAGATGATGTATCTGGGTTGTAAAATAGGAAATGAGATTTTCGCATTTACGCCGTTGCAATTGGTCGGCATCCGTTGAAGTTCTACTACCAGCATGATGGAGACGCGAATGCACTGTGTTACTATTGCCATTCAATGCGGAGGCATTCACTTTGGTTGTACCATTACTGGTGGGTAATCGGCTTGAGCTATGTGATGATGACATCTAAAATGCAAAAAGAAACACCATACGATTAGTTAATATTTGATAAAATAAAGTTTAGAAGGAAATAGAAAAGTAAGAACACGACACACTCAATTATTATTATTATTTATCTATCCCTTTTTCTTTCGTTATAATTGCACAAACGAATGGAATTGAAAAATGTACCATTTCATAAAGGTTGAACATTGCTGTAGTCCACAGCAAATGGAAATTCGAACGAACAACCGTATCGAGAAGATAGCTGGGCTGTTGTGTATTGTTGTTCTCGAGTTTGAAGTGAATTTGAAATTCGAATTAAGAAATAGAAAATGTGATAATCTTATTTAAACATTTGAGTTGTCAATGTTGTGTACGTATATGTCTGTGAATGTGTGTGTTCAATTGTTATTTTTGCGTTATTGCCTGCGCTTATATGTCGTGTCATTAGTTCTTTACTTTTTGACTCTGTACAATTTTTCTTGTATTGTTTTGTTTTTTTTCTCTTATCAATATATTCTTATCGCACAATTTAAACAATGAAATATGGCTTAAAAATATACCGTGTGTTCAGTTTGTGCGACATTCAAACGTAATAAACCATAAAGTAAAAATCCGAATACAATGGAGTAAAATATGGCATATAAACTCATAATTGCACATTTGTATGGCAATGGCATAGCATGTCATATGCACAGCAAAATAAACATATTCGATCATACATCTTTGACCACAACCAGCTGGAACCATATAGCCATGCAATACAATGCTCATAAAATTGCATCTAGTACATTTGCTATAGTGTACATTTCAGAAAATACCACAAAACCAGTAAATGATATACAAGCGGTGTGCCGGTCGATGGTATGTAAATGCGTGTAACATAGTTCAAATTCAAAATCAAAATAGACTCTAATATAATTTGCGCGTATGCAAGGACGGTAAAGCCATAAGATTCAAGGATTGCACTGTCGAAACCAATGCTCTATTCAGCGTTTTTTTTTCTCTCAAAGAAAAAAGACAACATTTTTTTTTTGCAAACAGTATTAATAAATATTGGCTGAAATTGATACGATCTATTTTTTTATTGAATTTTTTGTTATGCAAGCAAAACCGTTGTTCGAGATATGCCTCTAATTTTACCACATATTTCTATATATTTTAATGTAATAGTTTATGTATAGCATTATATCAACTACAAACATACGAATGAAATTTAATTTTGGTCTCAACCAAATTCAAACTCAAATGAGATGCAGAAACAAAACTTTTTAACTGAATGTCACTCAATATCAACTATTTCCGTTATCTTTTTATTCGGGCTGTGTCGATACACTGTAAGTGTCAAACACGTCAAAGACTTTGAGTCATTTTGATTAAAGATAGAAATGAATAGCTTGGCCAGTGTTGTAACCTTCGCACGAAAATATATTATCTTTTTTTGGTGTATTCTATCTATTCTATCTAATCTCTTGAACGCAATTCAAATAAGAGCGTTAATTACACTTATATGGAATTGATGCATGACTAAACGATCTCATTGAATTAAAGACTGACGTGAATTGCAAAAAAATACGATTGCACGTATATAAATTCTTATCAGAAAGCGTTTGTTTAATATAATAAATATGAAAGGAATGTGAGCACATCAATCTATGTAATTACGCTCGTGTCTGATTCCCTTAACACGTTTTCGTGGAACATTAATTTTCAATTGCACAATTACATACCATCGGATCTGTTTAATGATCTCACACATTATTTGGAATTTGAAATCGTATACTACAGCTTGTAAAATAAAATGTATAAAAACAACCAGACATGATCAGACAGGATTCAACAAACTCTACACAATAACAACGGGGTCAGACTTTATATAACATATCCATTTATAGAAATGTTTTACATTTTTTTTGTTTTTTTTTTATATTCATTTATGACATATTAATTTTGATACATTGTAGTATTATACCATTTCACTCACTCGACACATCACATCACATCCACTTGTCCATGACAAGAAACGGAATAAAAAGTGCTGACCTAAAACATATGGTTGTAATGCTTTCTAAGTAATTATATAGAAAACATTGCGTCCACGCAGCAGTGTGGAAATGTTAAAAAAGTAACAGAAATTAGAAACATAAAGACACTTAAAAACGGTGCGCTTAGCACCTAGCTCAAATTTGTTAACAAGTGATTACGTTAGAGAAATATACGATATTTCGGAGAAATTGTTTATGGAACGTAAGTTATGATTGCTTCACTGCACGGCCATTCACACAACGGGTTAACTCGATTCGAATGGAAACAGAATTAAAAAAAAAAACTTTCTCACAACCGTTGTTTGTATTTAATTGATAAACATCTGAATGCATTCAAAAATACATATATATTTTTTTGTTCATTTGAAAATACATAAAAAATGCCCATCATCTGCAGTGTCGTCAGTTTTTTTTTTGTGAAAACGAGTATCTCTGGGAAAATCTTACATTTCAGAGATGCTTTAATTCTTGCATACATCTACTGCTTTATTATAGGTAAATTCATAATCAAAGGAAAAAAACAACTGCTTGAACTTCGAACTGTGGTTTTAAAAAGACATTTTTCATATTTAAATTGTGTTTGCGAAAATAAATTTTGATCTCGTTTGCATTGATGATGTGATCAGTCATGTCCATATTACACAAACCTAAACAATATTGCCGCAAAATGATTTTGATCTTTGAATTGGATTTCGATTTTTTTTTGCTGTCCGCCACAGAAATATATATGTAGTCCAGAGTTTGGGTATGTAATTGTAATGAACAAAGAAAAATTAAATCTGAATGGAAACAACATCAGCGTTGATTAAGAAAAGCAAATATCTCAAAGCGATTATTATCGAAAGAAGTAACGATGGAGAGGAAAAAAGCAGTTCAACTATTCAACAGAGTGAAATATGAGCGGGCAATACATAATAAAATTGCAAGTCAAGCGAAGTTGAAAAAAAAACTAGCCAATTGGTTTGGTTGATAAAGAAATAGATAGCGAAACTGGGAAATGGTCAAAGTAATTGGATCGCAGCGTATGGTATTCGATTGTTAAGTTATTTCAATGCTAAACGAGAAAAGGTTGAAGCGAAAAAAAAAAAACCAACAACAGCAACTGACACATTATGTTTGATAGATTTCATTGTTCCAGTGCTTAATTGGAATGAAAATGAAAGTGCCAAAAGTTCAAAACAACATCTACAATGTGTGTGTGCCATAGAAAACCCACCATAAAGTCATTGAGAGGCAGAAAAACGGATTGAATTGAAACAAAAGGTAACATTTCATTTAATTTCATGGATCGCTTAAGGTAAAGGAGACACAAAGCAATTTGAAGTCAAAATGTTGTGTCTTAAATTGTTCGAAATAGCCAAATGGTTTTTTTTGGTCAAATAAAATCAATGTGTTACTTTTGTTTGTGTCTTATTGCGATGCAAATTAAACGCTGCTCACCAATACAATTACGACCCGTAAAAGGTCACGAGTCCACAAAACTCCGCCAACTCTTGTGCGCGATTTGAAGTGGTTTTGTATTCGCTGCTCACATGATCTAAAGTCTCAGATTGCAAACAATGTTTCCAAAATGGACGTGTATTATTTTATAGTAGTTGATGGAAAAAGAGAAATATATATGCTAAATGTGTTGCGCACATTGAACGCAAAAGGAAGTGAAGAGATAATGTGGCAAAGTAAAAAGAAAACAACCCGTATGATATAACTAGACAATAAATGCAAATGACTAATTGTATGCATGTGGAAGTAGTCTTTTTTCCATGTTTCTTATGGACTTTTTTTTTAGTTTGATTCAAGTGATTTGTAAACATACACAAAAGACAATATGATGATAAACGTCACATAAATTACAAAATCCATTATCGCTTTCATGTCATATATTTCCTTTGACATAGCATATGGAGTGCACGACGAGAATATGAACGAACCGCTGCGTTCAAATTTAAAAGCAACATAGATATAACAAGTGAGCAAGCAAGAAGTCGCAAACGACGAAAAAAAATTATTGTTTTATGAGTGCTTATGCTTTTACATTGGACGTCACTCAAAACTAATGATGAAATCGGCAACATCATAAGATATCATAACCAATATTGCTCGAACACAGCGAATCTCGACTTTTGACAAAGATTTGTTATTATATGGATTGAATAATTCAACGAACCTTTTTATTGTTGTGATTCTTTAAAAATATTTCCATATCGTGGGGATCGGTGTAGAAGATGCTTCTGCGATCGCTTTTTCCAACTTCGCTTTCATGTCGACGAACCGTGGCCGTAGATCTGATGATATTTCCATTGTGACCGTAGATTGAAGAAGTATTGCTCCCACTGCTACTTATGCTGCTATTGTTGTTGTTGTTGTTGTTACTGTTGCTGCTGTTGGAATTGTTGAATGCCATAGTAACAACGCTGCCATTGCTCAAGCTTGAATTTGAACTAGACGACCATTTCATTTTTGCGGCCTTTTCGGTACTAATTTCTGTCGTATTCCTTTTTTTTTATCGTTGACGCAACTGCAGCTTTATTTACACACTCGAATTCACGATAATTTATAAACGTTGAAAACGTTGAAAACGTTGATATATTTTCCAAGCGCGCCTGTCTGTATTCAGTATGGCGAAATAATATTTTATGTGAGCTTTTTCCTCTTGTGCATGTATTCTATATCGGGTATTTTGTCAGTTTGCGGCTTTTGTTTGTAAGTTATATTCACGCGCGTAACTCACAAACAACTTGAACACAAATTAAAATAGGCTGCAGAAGAAAGAAACACATTCACGATAAAGCACAGCTACAACAAAGAAATCATTAACTATTCAAAGTGGTGATAGTGGTCTCGGCTGAAATGTCTCAGGCGCACATTCACATACGATTTAATTGTAAATACTGAACGCTTTTCGTGTCCACAAACTATTTATCGTGTGTGTGTGTGTACATACAGTTTTTTTTGTTTTTAATTCTATCTGTCGAATTTGTATTTTATTTCTGTTGCTCTTTTTGCTCGCGTTCACTCGGTTCGAGTTCAGTTTTGAGTTTCATTAAATTTCTTTCACAATACGCGAAATAAAGGTGAACACACTGCTTATGGTGGTAATGCAATGGTAATAATAAACACAGCACTTGGACTAAAATCCGTTTTCTTTTTCTTAGTCGTTGGTTGATGCTGCTGCCAAAGTTTTTAATTAGTTCCACTAAACTGAATGTTACGCTATTGCGCTTGCGCTGTTGTTGTTGTTGCTGGTATGTTTTTTTTTATATTTCACTTTATTTTATTTACTTCTTTAAGTTCTTCAGCGCCTCGCTTGACTGCTGGTTATTAGCTACTGCTGTTTCGACTTGATTTTTTTTACTAGCTATTTTATTTTTCCGTCTTTTTCGTCGTTCTCTCATATTTCATTATGCGTCGCGGCAGTAAACAAATGAATAGTGAGGATTAATGAAAGCACGCAAAATATCGTATTAATTTTCAGTCAGTCCGGTACTCAAATAGTTGTAGCTTATCGTATGCAATGTGCGAGCATTTTATTGACGGTGAAATATTCATGCATAATGGCATTGGTTTGGTCGATTCATTGTGCGCGCACGGATTAATCAAAATCGAATTTCTGGTTTTTTGTTGTTGTATTGCGTGCGCTTGCAGAGTCTATTGACGTGAGTTTCAATTGAACACATACACAACGAACGATAGACACAAGACGGAACCGTGTAATTGAAAACGAAAAAAAATAGCACTTGAACAAAAGTTAAATCTTTCAAAAAATATCTAAGTCGATTTAAATGTTTCTCCAATGCATCTTCTTTTATTTCACAAACGGTCTATTTTGCAAATTAATAATAATTTTCACATTACTTTGCACTCACAATTTTTCTCATCGAATTGCTGAGAATCGTGAAATGTTTTGCTTTGTTTTGTTTGCTTGTGTGGGGACTACTTTTTAATCTTTCATCGCGCACTTTTATTCACGATTTTCACTACATTTTCGTGTTTCCCTCTTCATTTCTTTTTTTTTTCTCTTCTTTTTTAAGTGATGATTCCGTTTACTAATCGTAGAAATTAAGACAAATTTTTTTTGTTGCCAACGAAATTCAAAGTCTTTTTTATGTATATTCGGAATTGGCACACGTGTGAGCGAAACATTTATGGAAATCTTGCGATTGCGAATCGAGAGCACAAGAATTTAAACATGAATGTTCATACGCACATCACGATCACACACAACTCATTCACTACACGGGTTACATGCAAATCAAATGGATTAGAAAGAAATTGCAATACGCACACACGTTAAAATTGCAAACAATGAATGTGAATCAAATTCAAATCAGATTTTCACTATCACTGTAAACGATCACAAGCTTGAATATTTTTGTTGTTGTCTTCATTGTTGTTATTTTTGTAGCAGTTGCCGTTGTTTCGGCACGAAGTCGAAAATTATTTTATGTCTTTGAGTTTATTTGCTTATAAATCTGATTTTTTTGCTCTTAAAAAATTGGCTTGTGTTTAACGTCGCGTCGCTGTCAACATTCCAGCAAAACCAGAGTAGTAGTGATGACTTACGGGTTTTTTTCGTCTTTAAATTCAGCACACTCATTTACTTAAAAAGTGACAAGCGAGTGCGATATGCACAAACAACATTTGTTTAATGGCAAACCGATAGCAAAGTCAAAACATGCCGAACCACAATGCATGTGTGCTCTTTACCATATATGGGCGAGAGAATTTTTATTATGCTCGCATAGTCTCTGGAGAGTGTACGAGACGCATGAATCACTTCCCCACAAAAAGATTTTTTTTTGTGCTAAAAATGTCTGTGTACAATGAACGCAAGCGAATAGCAAAACGGTTATTTATTTTCGTTTCGTTTTGTTTTCCAACGACTCAAGTCAAACACATAAAAATTCTTTAGCGATTGTTGTACTACGTTTTAATGCCTATTCTTGGTGCTCATAATTTTTGTATGATTTTTTTCTTCTTCTTGTAACATCGTTTGTGCCGCTTCTTTGGGTGTTCACTTTGGACTTATTCTTCTGCCACTTCAAATGTTATTCTTTCCTCACGCTATTTCACGTTTGTAACACGGTCAGTTGAATTGAGAGACAAGACAAGCAATCTCCACGGCTCGGCTCTTCTGGCATTCGACCGGAATTTTGATTTTTTTTTCTTTTACTCAACCATGCAATCAATTATCTGTAAAACAAAACAAAGATAGAAATGAAATTAGGATACTAGATTTATAATTGTTTGAACTAAATGATTGGAACCGAAAGAATGGGGAAATTGCATTAAATTGTAACATTTCTAATACTAAAATGAGTAAAGTGGAAAATTGTAGGACAGTGCAAACAATTTGCGCATCTCAAACATGAAATGATCGGTTTCTATCAACCGAAACATGTTCACGTTACATGCAATGCAACGCGATAGAAAATCATTCGAATAAATTAAAACAATACAATAGCAAATTTGCTGCACTTTTCATTTACAATTTCTAAACAAACACAGGGGATTGATACATAAAAATGTGTCTTTCTTGCGTTTGAGTAAACCATAAATAACACAATTACTGTCAAAAATAGTTTCGAGGAAATGTAAATCAGCGTCAGACTCACTTCCAAAATAAAATTCACATTTAGAAAAAAAAAGTGTGATGGTGCACGCCTCCTTGGAACACACACATTTATTTAAGTTTTCTATATTGGAATTTACTCTGCAAATAGACTTGGCAACGATGAAAAATAAACGATCAACACACAATTTTTGATGTGAACTTTATGGCATTCAGACATAGCCATTCAGCTTTTTCCAAACAGTGATTTTTTTATTCATTTTCTCATCGTTATGTTCTGATTATATTCACATTTTTCTTACAACTTCAATACAATTAATTTGTTCCGCATTGGCGATTATCATAATATAATATGAAATATGGAAAATACAACGTTGTGGAGCAGTTATTTTTCAGCTCCAAATGAAGGAGAAAAACATTTCATAGATTATCTATGTTAAAATGTTATTTTATTTTATTTTATTTGCGTAGAGAATTCGTCAGGTTATTCGAATTTAACAAAATTGCCGATGTTGTTTTGCCCAAGTTTTCCTTGAAATATGTTCAATCAATTTTTTTATTTCCCAAAAGCACGAAAATTCAAAGGACAATAAAAAAAGTTACTTTACTTAAAAAATGTTTTTAACTGTTTCATTATTGTAACAATATCCAAAATAAAAATCTCTTTCGAATCGGTTGTTTCATTGTTATTCAAAAAAAACTTAAAGTAAGTAAATATTATAGCAATACAGCCGCGTTCATTACATTCTCATTATTAATTATTAGTGTTTAGTCTTTTCTCACCACACAGTGGTTCCCTTGCTGTTTGTTCGTAAAAAAATGGAATACTAATGATTTCGAAGCAATGTTCCAGTACATGGGCCACGACTAAAAGATTAAATTTTTACTTTTCCGTGCACATTAAAATGAATGCAATCGCTTTGTATTATGAAAAAATAAAAGTAATAATCATAACAACTCATTTTGTTCGTCTGTGACAGATGACACACATTTAACCCCGTTTTCATTAATTTTTTCCTCTTTCTTTCAAGTTTCTATTCTATTTTGTAGAAACCAATAGCATATATGCTCAAAGCGGACAAACCGGTGCGCCAATTTCCATAATTTTAGTGAAATTACAAATGCTGAAAAAAGAAACCAGAAAATCGCATTTCGTTGGAGATGTTGAACGATGCGGCATTAACAGCAGCGGCTGTGAAATCGTTAATAAACGAGATGAAGACGAAGACAACGACGAAGAATGAACGAAAAAGTGAACGAACCACAGATTAAATGGTCACATAAAAAAGCAGAGAATTAGAAACTGAAACTATTAGCCTAGAAGTGAATTCTCTTCTTCTTTGCAAGACTTGTCTATATTGTGCACACACAACGTACACATGATGAAACCAAAAACCCCGTTCAACATATTATACACACATAAACGTATGCATTCAATTTTACAAATGTGCCTCTACTTGCTGTGTCAGCCGTATTGCCTATTTCCTCTTCATTTGTGTTACTGAATTTAAATATCTTCTTTTCAAATGTAAATTATTCATTCTGATCATGTTTTTCTATAAATTTTGCTTGTTTAACTTCACTTTAAGGTCTCGGTAATCGGATCCACTTGGGCAATGCACACTACAAGATGATTTTCCGTGTTTCGATTCGTGTTCAGTGATTATATATATATATAATAAATATTGCATTGAAGCTACTTTTCACGCGATCATCAATTTTTATTTCATTCGTTATTGGTCATATCGCGAGTAGACATAGTTCGATCAGCATTCAGATACGTAATTTAAACAATAACCAAGTTTCTGAAATACGTGAGATATTGCAACAGCAATTCTGTTATTACTTTGTAGCCATCAATCTACAATAGTTGCAATACGATTGAACGGAAAAGATTTTGACGTCGGACATGCATTCTTTAACGAATAATGAAATACCTTCATTGACGATGAAGCCAAATTTTATTCACTTCAATTTGGTTTACCGTTTAAAAATTTCACATTCAAACTAATGAATATTTATTCAAATCATCTTTCTCTTTCGTCGACCACTTCTTTTACTTTAGACTATTGACTAGGTTGGTGTGGTTTCCGCATCAATCTGTGTGCATGAGCACATACATTGGACAATTCCATTTATTCAAACTGACCTTCATTTGTTTAAAATGAAATTTAGTCAGAAAACCAACAACATTGAGAATAAAATTACACTTAATTGAAATTAAAACGATAGATGAAGAAAAGGAGTGTGTGAAACAGAATGTAAGAGAGAAACAAGTACTCATAAAGATGGACTGCAAGTGGGTGCACAACAAAAAATTAAATAAATAAAACAATCTACAGTAACATTGCATGCCAATTTCTGGGCAATTCAAACCATTTCAAATAAAATAGTTTCATATACTTTTTCCGTTGTTTTCAACTTAAAATTTCTTTCATTTTAGAGTGTATTGTTATTGTTTTGTTCTGTTTGTGAAATAATAAAGTCATTTACATGATCTTATTGAATTACGTCGACCTCTGCATACTTTAAACTTCTGTTCTTACACTCGTTTGTGACGTTAGACTGGCACAATGCAATCAAAAATGTGAAAATAAACTTAAGTAGTACCCGTCTTGAGATTTCATCCAATTGTGAGCCGAAAACATAAACGAAAACTTTGTTGTATTCAATTTTGTGACTTTTGTTCACTCTTCTTCAAATGATGTGCTAGTTTATGTTGCGTTTCCATCTTTTTACGTTACGCATAAAACTTTTGTGTATACTATTTTAATACATTCGCTTTTTGCAGTAAATTATACATTGTACATAGTTTCGTTTAAGCTTTCTTCAATTGCAGACATTACTGCTATCGATTCGACGTACGTACACACAGTTTATTTTTCTTCAAATATTGATATAAATTCGTATCTAGTTATTAAATATGAAATTTTGTTGATTTTGTAACTTGTACTTGTTGTTTGTTGAACACATCTGAATTTTGATCGACGGCATTCGTACCAAATTTCATATTCACCGTTATACGTCTGGCAATAAGAAATATTGAAAATTCAAGGAAACTCTGAACGAAACAGACGGACAGAAATAATTTTGATATTATATTGTGCTCCTTGAAATTCTCACATTTTATGTAAATGACAATGATTATATGGCAAAAAGACTGTGATAAGAAAAACAGCATGATTCAGCATGGCTTCGGAAATTAAAAGGTGTTTGTGAATTAGGAATTTCTGAATACTATAAATTTCAGAGGTAAAATAGTTGCAATAATTCATGTCGCTTCTAGGAGAGAAAAACTAGAAATAAAACCTGGCCATTTTCATACAAGATGGATTATACTTTTTTGGCCTCATACAATTCCTTTCCTACACTATGGTTTGGTTTTTGATAGCTTGGGGTAATTTTCAGAATATGTTTTCGTTTTCAAAAATTCGAAATATAAAATAGTTGGCTTTGAAAAAATGTTTTTACTGAAAATGATTTCAATTCAATTACGTACATTATATATTCAAATTTCAAAGTAGTAAAAAGCAAAAATTTTTGTGAAAAATTATGAATCAAAATCGATATAAGGAAGGTTTGACTGGTCAAAACCGTGATGTATCTATTAATTGTAAACACTGCGATGAACAATTACTTACTTCAAGTGGTATGTTTGTGCAATTTGTTGAAGAAACCAACCGACAAATGTTGATAGTCAATCTTATGGGTGTGGAGCAAAATAGAGAAAATAGTGTAATTGTACTACCCCGTAACATACAAATGCAACCGTCGTTTGAGCCAAATACATTCGTTTTCGTTTGTAATTTCTGCCGAGGAATATTGGCAGATGCAATTGACTGGCAATCGATTGGACGATATGTTTACACATTAGGGAGAAGCATTGCCCTTAATACGGATTATGTTACACATTATTGTAACCGATATATTGGAATCGTCCAACCAAACAGCCAATTTTTCCGAAGAAGACCGAATCGTTGACGAATTACAGACGATATCATTGTATTTGCGGGTTATCGGAAGTAAAAATTTTATAAATAAAAATATATTATTGAATAAAAGTGCGCAGTTTCATTCCAAATACACAGTGCTCAGGCTCACAGAAAGTTTTAAAACCACCTAAAAAATGTAAGGTAATGCTTGAATGATTTATGGGCGCTGGCCATCAGATGTACATGTGATTTTTTGTATGGAAAATTTTGGCCGGTACTTTTAAAATGGCCGAAAATGATTGAAGGCCGGAGAAATTCTTGATTCAAAATATTTCATTAGGACAGAAGTTCGATGAGTTTTCTGTATTCTCTTGAATGTACGGTTGCATGTGATTATTCATTCGTCTGTATTTGCTAACATCCAACAATCGTTATGACGACTGACGCGCGTACATCTTACTTCTGGTCGCATTTGTCGTCGTCATCATCATCGTTCACAACTTAATTGTTAAAGTATCAATTTACGCGGCAATTATTCTGGTTTTCATTGTGAACCTATCTCATCTCCCTTTCACTCAATCGCTCTCACGCATAACAATCCCGAATATGTTTATGCTGTACATCTTTTTTTGGTTCCCTTTCAGTTCTTATTTCCAATGACTTGCATACCATTCTGACATTCACCGAAACCAAGCTTACAATGTTATTTCTTTTTTCAAAGCTGAAAAAAAGCGAAACACAAGAGAAAAGCAAGTAAGAGTTCGCCATAACAATCTACACAAACGAGGCAAACGAATATTTTAAAGAAATCGGTTGTCAGCGCAATTTATTCTCATCTTTTGGTATACATGCTTCATGATGCCCATTTTCAAACAAACATTAGCCACGATCACATGCTTAAATATCATTATTAATGTCATGCATTGCGCGCGCAAAACACGCATCAAATCTATGATAGATGAAATGCCAGTGATTACAATTTTGAGTCCGGTATACCTTTCATTATTATGTTTGTTTAATGGTCTTAATAACAGCAATGGAGCTCCAATCTCAAATAAATCTAGAACAAGCTTACCACAAAGGTGGCATGAAATGAATTGTGATTGTAGCATAAGACTCACAAACAAAAACAATTTCACAATCTTGATGAGGTATGTTGATATAATATAATGATCACACTCACACACATACATACACACAGTAATTTCCATTTTATCAGAAAATTTAACACATCAATTTATATGATGGTACAAATACGTGTGGCTTCAATCCTTCGTGTAATGCGTTCGATTTCGAAATCGAATCGAATTGAATCGTACACATTCACTGCGTTGCAAACATTATTCTTATTATTTCGTGGCCAATTACGTGATATTTCGACACATATCGTCATTAAACATGACGCTAGTTTTTTTTCTGTTTTTTTTTCTCTTCTTGTTTCGGTAATTTTTCTTATGTACGTAGTACGCACAGTGAGTAATTCGTTTTTCGTTTTAATTTCTTCGGTTCGATCACGATGCTATTCCAAGGTTCACTTAACTATAACCACACGCAATTTATTTTGTAATTTGAAATTAATCGTTGATAATTTCTTTCGATTACACAATAAGCTCTGGCCAAACAATAACTCGAGTTTCGGATGAACTTCTACAGAAAACCATGGAGAATAGTATTTTAAAAAAAGAGTCAACTACTGTGTAACAGTAATTCACGTTTTGTCAACGAAAAATAAACGAAACACACGATACATTTTTCAGAATCGGTCAAGTACATAATGTGAACAACGAAACATACCGCCGAATATTGATTTCATGAACATTGAATCGATGACGAAACCATGCGTGACAGAACTGCAGAATGCAATACAGACAAAGCATGTATTCTCTTACTTCTCGTATTATCCTCTCATCAAAGTTTGGAGCGGTTGTTGTTCATCAATTGCATACATTCGATTCGATATTGTGGCGCACTTCATGTAACGTTATACTCAAACCAACTGAATCAATAATAAGTCATACAAGAAATGAGAAGAACAATTATCATCTGTTTACTTTTTGAATATTTTCACTTGTGTCAGTCAGTCTAACTTTGAATTTGCATTTTACTCTCTTTGTAGAGTAAGCAAGCTACTGATTACAAGTGAGTTTCGATTCGTTCTGTATCTAGAGTTTCATTTTGTTTCTTTAAATGTACATATCTTGTTGGCAAATGATTAAGAATTAGCATAAATATGCTAATTTGAATCGATACCAAATGCCAATGATCGATTGCAATAATGTTAACGGTTCTCTCCACCTACGAAGCTGTGGGATCGCCATCGCGTTCTGTTTTTTATTTATTTTTCGATAAAAATCTGCAATCGTTGCTCCGAATCAATGAATGAATGCGCGAATTTTATGGGAATTTTTTTTTAGTTTCGAAAGCCAGGTTGTTAGGCTTTTATTATGGTAAATCGGGCTATTTATTCACCTGAACTGAATTTCCACTTTTTGGGAGAATAGTGTGTGTGTGTGAATGAAGATGGAATTTGGAAAGTCATTACTGAAGCAGAGTATTGGCTAAAGATCTCATATTTGACCGTTTATTCATCGTTTTAGATGGTTTTAAAGAAAAAAAATCAATAAGAATTTTTCGTCTTCGCATCATTTACATTTATTTTTGGAAGTTGTGCAATCGCTTTTTGAAATGCAAAAACTTAATATAAAATCCACCAAATCGTAATAAAAATCGAACAAAAAAGAGAGAAAGTCAATCACAGATACATTTATTATGACATCATCGCACCATAATTCTGTGTTTTGCCCGAAGGATAGGAATTTTTATTACAATTACGATGAAAAAACATGTACCTTTGATTTTTTTTGTGTTTGTATCGATCGTGCTTTCGCAGTTAAAGTGAATGTGGCACACATGACCTTATTTTTTCTCTTTCCCTCTCTCACTCTCTCGCTCGCAATATTAGGGAATAGCGATTGACAATTTTCTTTAAATCGTAACAAAAAAAAAAAAAACAATTATGCGTTCAATGTAAAACCCTCATACGTTCACAAGTGTGCGTATGTATGTGAATGAGCTGTATTTCTTTGGGTTGTGATACCGTAAATGCTTTGTATTGGTTACGTTTATTAAATCAATGTGTTTTTTTTACCATGGCAACCAGGAGGTCGTGACACAACAAAAACATTATGAAGCATACTTTCAACTATAGGCAAATTTGTCGAGCTCGATAATAATTAATTTGCCCACTTGGTGTTCTTTTGTAGATTCAAGGTAAATTGAATATTGTCCGAAACACGATCTATGAACTCTAACAGCACAAAACACACACACATACATACATGTGAAATTCTCTTAGTTTATATCTTATGCACGCACTATCATTTGTGTACTTCGTATTTTCTCTCCCGTCAACAATTTCAATGTAAATAGTTATGCCACATTACGTTCGAGTTTTATCAAGCGTCTTTTGGAGCGCAAAAGTTCCATTCAGGTAGGCAAATATACCAAACTAAATGCTAACAGACAGTTTTCGTGTACTAATACTACATATGTACAATGGTTTGGTTGCAGTGCACACATTTTCCAGTGCAGGCGATAACAATGGATATCGTGCCAACGAATGCGTTCGCAAATACAAACAAAAACAAAACAATTGCGTTTTTTGATAGTGATTGCTAATCGCTTCATTTGTGCAAATCATAATTATGTGTCGCTGGGCGTGCAAAGAAAATCGTTTTCGCTTTGATGCATTGAAAATTGCGCACAACAGATTCAAGACACGTGAAAATTATGTTGGAATGAGAATTCATGTGAGTATAAAAGCTGTTAACAGCTGCGCACACGTAAGTGTGAAGCATATATCAACCAAAAAAAAAAAGTTCATTCCAAAAAGAAGTTTGCAACTCGATGTATTAGCGAGGTGCCCGTATGGTTTTCTATCTTTCATTATACATACACACTCACACACAAGTTAGAATGGATTTCATTTGATGGCTGGCACAACAGAATCAACCTTGCTTATTTATTTCTTTTTCATTTCATATGTTTCTGATTACAAACAGCGATTTTTTTCTCTCTCAATGTTTAGCATTTATTTTTCGTTAAAATGTTTGATTATGAAAATCATGTTCAAATAATTACGCGCTACTCATTATTATTATTGTTATTATGTATGTATGCTGTTGCTATTTTGTGAATTGTACAGGCACATAATTTGTGCATAGTGCAAGCAAAACCATAACAAAATTATTATACACATTTTGTTTCGAAAACATCAACGAGAGAGAAACATAAAATTGTAAACATACATCTGAACGAACAAAAGGGACGGAACATAAATGAAAACATCTCAGTGATACAAATAGTTTCACAAAATTATATGAATAAAGTTAACTGAATTAAGTTAAATATTATTTCTGCACTCTATGGTGTGTATCATAAAACTGGATTTATGACAAATGAAATGAAATGAAATAATACAATCAAAATGTGAAAGAACAAAGTCTGAGTCACAGAAACCAACCGAAAATTGTAAACTGAAACAAAGCAACTGATGATGAAATATCCCATTATAGGAAGAAAAAAATGTGTTCGATATGTAAAGATTAAACAAAATAATCAACGAAAAAAGCAGGCACAAGATATGCGAACAATTTTTGTTTCTATACTTCATCTCGAACTTAATCGAGTACAAACAATTTAGCCAAATTTAAGCCACATTGTCATAAACGTTTTGGGTAAAATTAATGACAACAAAATTGATTTGAATCATGATTCTTTCAGTGCCTAGTTTGGTTGCCAAAAATACGATTTGTATCTTTACTTCGCACCCATAACAATGGATATAGTAGGTTTGCGCAATCGCGTCATTTTTTATTTTTATTGGTCAACGACCAAGTCGCTTGCCATAAGCATAACACATTTTTCGGCAATTGTTCGTAAAATAGAATAATCGAATTACACAATGGCCAACACCATGACATCGTGCGAAACTCAAACCATTTATGCGAAATATGAGATTAAAATTTGTTTTCAAATTACTTTTACCAAATCAAAAGTTGAACTGTGAATGAAATCGCAACAAATGCTATATTGTTAAAACTGGAGACAATTTTTTTGTTAAATGAAAGCATAACAAATCTTTAAAAAAAAATAGTTTAACCAACCGTTGTCCAATATGATTGAGTGGTACTCCGTGGTCTTTTGCCGCTTTGTCAATGTCTTACGATTGGTGGAAAAAGTGTTGCAAATCAAACTTCCATCAAGTACTCAAGTGTGATGTAACTTTGTACGAATTTCGTAATTTCGTTTGAAAGAAAGAAAAAAGCGTGTCAAACTATAACCAATCAAGCACTTTGAACGGATTTAATAGCGGCAATGCGATATTTGATTAGCACTATTTTAATTACTAACACAAAGCCCAAATCGATGGTCACAAATTTACAGTTTTTTTTTTACATTTAACAACTTTTAAGCACATAACAATTTTCCAGCACAATTTTCACCCACTAACAAATTAAAATACCACCAACGAATCAATTAAATGTTTATATTCCAATTAAATCATAGGTAAATCTATTTCATCCACAAAGAATGTTAATGAACGTTCACACAATGACAGCGATTTATTTACGTGAAATAGTTTTTATTTTTAAAATGTTAAATTAAAAAGCAAGTCGTTCAGGTTTGAATCGAACGCAACCGATCTGAACGAAATGACTTCACTTAATAAAATAAAATCGACTTAAAGTTTTTTTTTCTACACGAAGAGAGCGTAGTCAAAGTAATGTGTAGCCACCACACAAACATTGAATACAGGTTCAAATATAGACACATACATGTAGAAATTTGTGCATGTAAATACTCTTGCCGCATTCAGTACAATACGTTATACGTATTTCTTATTTTCACCATATGAATGTACATTGTACAACACGAGAAATAAACCTGAACCAATACTTCGCCATCGGCAAGTTGACGAAGTCGACATGTGAGTGAATAGAAACGAAACAAAACGAAAAAAAAACAAAACAAGAAATAGCACCAAATGATCTGATGTGAGGCAAACGAAGAAGGAGGAGAAAATATGCTAAATTGAAATAAAGCAGAAAACTCGCCACAATGCTTTGTATGCGTATGTATTTGTGTAGTTGGCTCTTTGCACACACAACAAGCCGTTAACATTGCAAGTGTATGTGCGTTTAAATTGATCCTCCGTGGTTCTTTATACGTTTACTTAAGCTGACTGGTTTCTTCTATCGCTGTTTGTCTTTGTATCAGTTTGTATTCAGTCATTCTTTCTATTTATTTCTTTTATTCAACTTTAGCGTTTTTTTGTCTTTTTTTCTTTAAATTTTTATTCTTTTCGGTTCCGGGGATTTTCGTGTCTTTGCACACAGAATTCACATTCACATTATTTACATTTATATTTACTTTATGTGTGCGTGTAGAAAATATACGAAAGACTGCATTGATGAAATGCTTATGAAGCTGCTGTTGTCTTCGACTATAGTCAATAAGTAAAAGGTAAGGTATGAACAGGGCTTGAACCCAACGCCGTTTCTCAATTAATACACATTTATTTCTTTATAATATCATTCGAATGTAGTAAAATGTATGAGAGATCTATTAATATTAATGGTCTTTTATATGTATTTAACTTTTTTTTCTGCTCTTTTCATCAATGATTCTTCTTTTGTCGCTATCTTTTCATTTCGGCAATAACACTATAGAAGATTTTTGACTTTTTTCTTCGTTTGTTTCTTCTATGTACGTTATTTTTATGGATAGATCAGACTGCCATATCTTCACAGTATGAAAAAAAATATTGCCTGACCATAGATTTGATGAGACGATTGCGTGTGGTGTGATCTTGGCCATTGAGTCTTATAAAGTCATAATCTATGTGGAAAAAAAATGCCAAATATGTATCCCACGCGCAATGAGCGTCAAAAATAACATGGAAGCTATGGTTATTGTCATAATTATGACAATTGAAACTAGGTTGCATACAAATGATGTTCATAACGTTTACTGTCTATTCAATTGTGTGTGCCACCGCATTATTTCAACTCTTATTGTTATGATTTTTTCCGGTATATCGGTATTACTATATGGCGGTATTTAATAGGTATACTTTCAATTTTCCAATGCAGATATTCGATTACTCAGATTTTCATTTATCACCGGCACCAATATCTTCAAAATCTTCAAAGATTAGTGCCATTCAATCGTTTGATATGTGTTGTTGCCCTTTCATTCTCGAAAGCATGTAACCTCGTTGAAAATTGAAATTTATGATTGGGGCATAGAAAAAGTATACAACAAAAACCATCAAATGAATTGCCGTCGAAACAAAACGATTGGCCCACATTCCAATGCGTGATGGCTAATGGTTGTGTGGCATTCAACTCTAAATATAAATACCACTTACGAGATTTTAGATCTTTCTACCTCTTTCCTCTACATCTTTCTTTATCGTCTTGGTTGTTCTTCAATCCTATCTACTTTTTGCCGGCTCAGAATTTCGTTATTTCTTGAATTTTCAATTGCCCGGAGCATTCTTCAGCAAAACATAAACATATTACATGTTACTGATGTGAGAATTGAAAGAACGAAATTTAGCAACCGAAAAAGCGAATGTCCAGATATGAAGCAATGTATAATCAAAAAAAAAATGTAGATGTTCACTTGCAACAAAATGTTCTTTGCAACCGGATCGTTCGTTGCAAAAAAAGGGGAAGAATTCAAAAATTTTCGTTAAATATACTATTGGCGCTTTTATGACCATTTTTGTATTTTCTTTTTGCAAACTTGATGTTCGGCAACTGCCATGCACTTTGAATGTTATTACATAAAATTTAAAATGCAAAAAAGATGTGCAAGAACAAAATAACAATCCAGCCAGTACCGTAGTCAGATACACATTCATGTGTGATTGTATATGGATGTTTCACCATTTCGCATTTAAGAAATTGTTCGTATTAAAAAAAAATATTTTTTTTTTTCAACGAAATTTTCGAAAATGTTTTTGAACGGTAATCATTTAAAAAATATACCTGGCTACGGCCCAGAATCCAGCAAGGTTAACTCGTATTCAACTTATATATAACGTATACGTATTTATAAAAAGAAACGTGGTAGTTGTGACTGCGAGCACTGAGCTTATATGTGGATGCCGAGCTGTATAGCAGCACAACAAAGACAAAATACATGTGACCGATATAATTGTAGGTTGTTGATTCTACCGTGCATCAAACCACACTAGCTGTGTACAAACATTCAAAAACCGAAGAACGAGAGCAATAAGTAAGAATGAAATATATGCATGGTGATTTCGCAAACGCATAATACAGTGAATAGAAAGTCAACACAAAAAGGAATCGAAAATTAAATCGTTCCAAAAATTATACTCTCATTATCGTCTCTTTTAAAAAACATTAAATTATTCACGAGATTGTTGAGAAAAAATATTGATCTGCTTGGCAGTTACTTTTTGGTGGAAAATAGTTTTTTATGACTCATCATTGGTTTGATTAATGAAATTTTTTCGATTCTCTTCATATGATCCATTCCATCCTTCTTATGCAATCATTCTTTCTATTCTTAGTCAAAGTCCATGTTCATATTTTTTTATTGCATTTTATCTTCTCTGATAATTCATTGAAGTATAAAATATTTCTTTGAAAGAAATGTGAATTTAAGAAAAAGAATTACGAAAATTTAATTTAATATTAACCGCTTTTGAATTCAAAAATCAAATAAGCATTTGGTTGCCACGCGTAACCAACTTCACCTCATTTCGTACACCTTTTCACACACTGACATTTCAAATCGCAACAGTTAAATGAACTAGAGTGTAATAGGAGCGGCTCTGTTTGTACTTATTTCGTTGCTACTTTTCTGTATAAATTTTGTTTCAAGTAAATTTCTGACGATCAAAATTGTGATAATAAAATAAAAAATAAAATTGTTTCGTCTAGTATTTTTGGTGTATTATTTATAAATTAAGTCACCTAATAGTGTAAGTGTTTATCATTTAATGTCACACAAACTCCTTGGGTTGTTTTGATGCAAACATTTTTCGTTTATATTGTCAACAGATTTACATGCAGAGTTTAGGATGTCACAAACGGAAAATTATGATAATTTGCTGATTGATTTTAATAACTTAAATGTGGGTGAACAAAATTCGAATAACGACTGTGCCGAGGAGAATCCGGTAAAACCAGAAGCACATGAACAAAATAATGAAATAAACACCACAAATACGGAGTCTATGGCATTTTTATGCGCATCACAGCCGTTGTATAAATTATTGAATTCTGAATCACCCGATGTGGCGGATAATAATCCATTTGATCATTTTGATAAGCGCGCCTGTCTGTCAGATGATCCATTTGAGATAGTTTCAAATGAAGCGCTAAATTCTACTGCCGAAAATGAATTTCTCAAGGTAGAAACAGGAACATTAATATCAATTGAATCGCCAATTGTGTTTCACAATGAGTTGGGGATTGATACGCAATCTAAAAGAGTATGTGATACACATGAATCCGTCCAAAATGCATCATTATCAACACCGAAAAATGTATCACCATCCGCGAAAAATCGTAGCAAGGGAAAGAGTAATTCATTGAATTTATTAAAGTACAGTTTATCGCATAGTCGTTTGGATTTTGCAACCGAAAGTGGATCACACAGCGAAAATGAAAATTTATCCATGGATGAAACATTGGCGAAAAAGCAAAGATCGGAATTAAATGTACCACGTGATTCCAGTACAGATGATTCGTTCGATGACATTTGGTCAACAAAACCAAATCTAATCGATTCTCAAACCGACATCGAATTTGATAGTGATATCGATAATGATATTGCCAAATTGAATATTCCAATGTTGAATATTTCGGTGGCAGAATCAAAAATGGAAGAGAGATTGACTTTAGATTCTGAATTCGTTGAAAATTCTGTGGAGACAAAGGCAGCCAATCGCATTGAAATTCTCGAAAAATTTGCTTCAATCAAACAAAAAATACCACAATCACCGTTGCAAAATGATACGATTTCAATGCCAATACACAATCGTACGGTTGATATGAAGTGTAGCCAATTTCCACATATTGAAGATGGACCGGTTACGCCAAACACCATATGTCCATTGGAATTGCTGCAACAACAACTATTAACACAATCTGACAATTCAAATCTACTCATAGAGAACTTGAAAAAATTAGTCGATAAATACGATGACAAAAATAAACAATCGACGGCCAAACATTTATGGGATGATTTAAGTTCCATTCTGACAGCAGCAAGTAATGTCAACGAAAATATTGAGCAACCGACAAAGTCAACTGAAATTGTGCCACCACAACCAATAAAAAGGCAAGGTACATTTAGCATTGAGAAAGACAACGAAGATGAAACAAATGATACTCAAGATAATGATAGAACGATTGATTCTAAAGAAGTTAACACAAACAACGATAGTGAAGTAAGTACAATTGATTCAGGATTATCACAAGTCGTGAAACAAATTCAGAATGTGCTTGGACCTCATCAAAACATAAATGTACTGCAAACAAATGCACAGTCTATGGAATCGTCATCGGCAAATCCAACGTATATTGTTGTAATGGCGCAGCCCGTAGCCGATTATGGTGGCAATGAAGAGATCTATCGATCACAACGTGATCGCAGCCAGTCGCTTACCATAAAAGAAAAACCATTGGCAGCTATTCGTGCAGCTCAGCAAAAAATCGGACAAACTCGCACACAAGCCGATACAGTAGCAACTCCAATCAAGCGTTCAACACTACAAAGACGCGGTTCATTCGGCGCGTCAAACAGAACAAAGATAATGACGCCTAAAAATGAAGAAAGTGATTATCAAAATCAGAAACAATCCATCCAGCCAGATACTCCGAAAGTATTTCGCCGTCGTTCACTTCAAGGGCCTTTGATGACAAAGCCACCACCATCCGATCCTGAACCAATTGCCCGTACAAAACCATTAAACCCACTTCTTAGACGGCAATCATTTCAATGTACAACATCAGCATCTGGAATACGTTCGCCGTCTCCCAAATTAAGTTCGATGCGTGGTCCATCACCTGCATCACTACGTTTAAATTCAAATACAACTGGAACATTGACGCGACGTAAAACGTTTGCAACCGATTTGGTAAAAGATTCACCACAAAAAGTAAAAACCTCATACGGAATTATGAAAAAACCGCCAGCTCCGCCTGCTGCACGAAATTTAAAAATTCGAGTATCACAAACAATGAGTGGCAGATCGAATGCACCGTTGCGAGCCGTTGTACCAATGAATCGCGTTGCATCTTCACTTTTGGTCAATGAAACCGTATCACCGGTTGAGAGTAATGGAATTAACGCTCTCATTACCAGTACTCCTCGCATTCCATCTTTAACGCCAGCAAAATCAAAAAAATGTATATATCACAATTAAATTACGCAGTCTTTTCAATTTGATTCATATATGTTTCTATCTTTTTTGTAGTATCATTAGCAGGGCCTTCAGCACTTCCAGCCGAATCACCAATTCAACTACTAAAAAAAGATCGAACGTATTTATCAAGGACACCATCAAAGCCGTCCATTCAAACACCTCAAAATAATGTGCCGAATCGTCGGCGTACCCTGTCCGACTATCGAACTAGTGTGAATAACAGTGGGATCGTTGAAACGGATCAAAGTGGAAAAACCGTTTCAAATGCAAAAAATGCTACCAAAACATCGACCAGTGGTCTGAATAAATTCACATCCAGAAGAACGGTAAGAAATGTTCATATATGTAATTTAAGGTCATTGAAAATTTTATGCAAACTAATAAAATGTAAATTATTTGTGATTTTATTTCAGTCGAGCATTGGTTTGAAACGAATCTCAAGTACAGACAGTAAAGAAAATAAACAACCATTATAATATTTTGAATATACCCGACGTAATTAAAATTACGACCATTTTTTTTGGTGAAAATAATTCAGAAACTAGAGATAAATTCAAGCATTTTTTCAATAAAAATTCATGTTCATTAGAAATGAAGTGCTGTTTCATTTAAGTTGCAATTCATGTAATGTTGTTTAAATCAATGCAAAGATAAAATCGAAATCAATGCATAATACAGATGTATGGTGACGTATGACGCGCAACACGGTACATGTTATATGCGACTCATGTGCGCATACAAGATTTCACAGTATTTCATATTTGTTGTGTGTCATATGCCAGTTTGTATAAGATGAGGGGTTGTTGATGCTGTGAGCATCCTCCATTCATGTTGTCTGAATGATGTAATGGATATATAAGTAAGACATAGTCAATATATTGTTCTCTTTCCCTCCTACTTCAACAGTGGGCAAAATTCAATTTTTCGTTCACATAAGAGAAGCTTTTTCGACAAAAATGTCAGAATATCTTGTGAAATGAAAATTAGTGCTTTAATTCGATTATTTATCGTCTACGAAAACAGGCAAATTTTCATTATATCACACAATAAGAGTGGATTAAACTGAAATAAACTGAAAAGTGATATCCCAAATTAATAAACAGCGAAGAACAGCTAGAGCTACCACGTTATTGATACATATTAAGTGAAAAAACTTTTTTTTCTATTCATTGATAACAGTGAATGCTCAAAAAGGCTCAAGAGTAGAGTGTATGTGTGTGAAAAAAATCCACATATCGATTGGTCAAAACATGGCTAATAATAATAGCAACATTTATGTTAGGCAATCCATATAACAACGTCAATCCAAGTTCCTGTTAATCGATTTAATTTTTATCGTACCATTTACTTCAAATGCGCCTTCCGAAAGGAAGTGAAAGTGTGATTGATATTTTGGCTTCTTTCACGATGAAAAGACAGAATGTTAGAACTTTGTCGCTGGTAGTGTGCACTTTCACGTACTTATTGATTGGAGCAGCCGTTTTTGATGCGCTTGAATCGGAAACTGAAAGCAAACGATGGATTTTTTTATCAAGTCAGTGTTTACATTGATTTTCATTTTGTGCTATTAAAACACAAATAAACATATTCTTTTTTACTATTGAATATTCAACATATTTATTTTTTTGTTTCGTTCAACATATTTCAGGCATAAAAAATACATTTGTTCGAAAGTATAACATTTCTGCAGAAGATTATAGAATGATGGAAATTGTTGTTATTGAAAATAAGCCACATAAGGCAGGACCACAATGGAAATTTGCTGGTGCATTTTATTTTGCAACAGTTGTTTTGGCTATGATTGGATATGGACACTCGACACCAGTAACAATAGGAGGGAAGGCATTTTGTATGGGATATGCAATGGTGAGTAATTGGTATTGGTAATATACAACTCGCTTGAATGGAATATTTCTATGGGTGAGATCTAAAAGAACGTATGTATTTTTTTCGCCTTAAATTTTGGAAAAGGAATGTATGTGTTTGACCAATTCTGTCTTACTGAAAGGGAAGTATGTTTTACACCGAAAAAAATTTGTAAAAGGAATGTATGTTTTTCGGCTGAATCAGTTGTTGATAAAGGAATGCATGTTTCGTACTAAATAAATTTTGCAAAAGGATAGTAAGTGATTCTGAATCAGTTGTTAAAAAAGGGATGCATGTTATAACGTATTTTTCTGGAATTGGGCTTTGGTGGATCCTCAGGATGGACCAGACTATGGTTTGACAATGCCCTGGCCCATCCTGAGGGTCCACTTCCAGAACTAGGAGCGGTTCTGAACGATCCTGAGGATCCAAAGCCCACTTCCAGAACAAAGACACTTACGTTCTTTTATACAAACGAAAACACTGAAACATGCATCTCTTTTCCAACAACTGATTCAGCCGAAATACATACTTTCTTTTTTCAAAATTTATTCGGCGCAAAACATGCATTCCTTTTTCAACAAGTAATTCAGCCGAAATACATACTTTCCTTTAAAAACTTTGAACCATGAAAAAACTTACATTCCTTTATTGCGACAAAATCGAATAAACTTGCGTTCTTTTAAATCTCACCAATAGATTTGGTATCTATCATTCTTCTATCTGATTTATATGAATAATATAGGTTGGTATTCCACTGGGTCTGGTTATGTTCCAAAGTATTGGTGAGCGATTGAATAAATTTGTGTCAGTGTTTATAAAACATTTGAAAATTTACATTCGATGTAAACAAACCGAGGCAACTGAGACAAATTTGATGCTGTTCAACGTGCTCCTATCTTCGGTTATTATTACTACGGGCGCTGCTGTATTTTCACGTTATGAAGGCTGGAATTATTTCGATAGTTTCTATTATTGCTTCGTTACATTGACTACAATCGGATTTGGTGATTTTGTTGCGCTTCAAAACGACCATGCGTTAACAAGTAAACCGGGCTATGTGGCATTGAGTTTGGTATTCATTTTGTTCGGTTTGGCTGTTGTTGCCGCCTCTATCAATTTGCTTGTTTTGCGTTTTATGACAATGTAAGTTAGCATACGATGATAAAATATTGGGGAATTTTTTTTTTGCTTGCTTTGAAATTCCAAAATGTTCATAATATTTTTGTTACAAAAACAGGCAAGCTGAAGATAATCGACGTGATGAACAAGAAGCACAATCATCTGCATCAAACAATGTTCTAATGCCTTACGATGATTCTTATGCAACTGGAAAATTGCTTGGTGGCGGTAGTCAATCCAACTACTATTCGGATATTGATGATCAAATAAGCACTTGCTCATGTACGTGTTTGGGCGGCACCAATTGTGCAAATCATGAACTTTTAATCGATCGCGGATATCATCCATCTGAAATTCTGAGTGAAAATTTAAGTATTAAAAGAGCCTCCGTTTGATTTGATACGTAAATGCGTACACAATGTATAATTCTGTAAATATGTAATATGATCATCATAAGTGTGTTAAATAAAACGTAATTTTTTTTTTCTAAATTTTAAATCGAGTGAAATTTATTGTTTTTTCCTCAATTTTATTTTTTTTGCGTTTCGTTCTTTTTATCGATTTTTTGTTAAATGAATTTATTTTTCAACGTTATTTAACATTTTGGAATCTACAAAGTTTGATCTGTTTAACGCCCTCGCCGGTTTGCGGAATTTGCACGATACATATTCCCCTTTCGCTTCGTATGTGCTGCCGTTGAAGCTATTGCCGCTGCTGTTTCACTTACGCATAAAATACAACGGCATCAACGGTAACAACAAAATGTGATGCAGCAATTGGAAGTTACATTCCAATGCCAAGTACAAGATGACGCACGAATGAAAGCACAGCAGCAGAATGCAGGAATATTTTCGAACATTTTTTGTTCACATAGTGACCCCCTATGACCCTTATACCCATGGGGTATAAAAATGTCCTCAACATATCAATTTTTATGCATTTTTCAACCCGATTTTAAAGCAAAAAGAGGTTTTTATTTTGATTTCATAAAGCGAAAAAAGGACGTTTAAGATTTTTTTCCCCAAAAATGGCATTTTTCAGATTTTTTCACTTTCAACGGCTGTAATTTTTTACCAGAGCGTAAATTTTTACTTATAAAAATACATACCATTGGTGTGGAGACACAAAATAAATGGGGGTTGATACAAATAGATTATTTTTTGTGAATTTCGTCGATTTTATCGATTTTTTTTTCAAATACACAATGAATTTATTTATTAAAGTAATTTAACATTTTAAACTCTACAAAGTTCGATCTGTAAATGTTATCCAATCGAACTGAAAGTTTCGGCCGTGTGTTAATGGCAATACAGCTGGCGACACTCTCCATTCACGATTTCCCATTTTTTCCAGTGTCAGCATACTAACATAACTAACTTTTTTCATCAGCTCTTTAAGTTTCTCCAAAGATAATATGGGATTCGTTCCCAACAAAGGTTGACTGTTTGTTTCTAAATTGACTGCATGCCCCACAATGAATATATTTTCGTTTAATATTTTGCTTAGCTCTTCGGATATTTTGCTATTTCGTGCATACAGTTCAGGAAGTGTTTCATGCTTTAGATCTTCAATACGCACAACCGGAACATAGGTTTCGTCAATGTTGTATTGAGCCAATAAGAGTTCCTCATACGTTAGAAAGGTTGGTATTTTTCTACTCGAATTACACCATTCAAATAATGCTGGTTCGATGCGAATTTTTACATTTTTTTGTGCTTTTAAACCTTCAAGTAATGCCGCCGCACTCTGTATGCAACGAAATGCTGGTGAACAGTAAACGTAATCAATAGTAATTTTCGCCATATTAAGCATATCACCTGTCAAACGTGCTTGATTCCAACCTGCAGAATTTAACCGAACATAGTAAATAGAAGTGCAATAGATATACATATGATAATCATACCCTGATTTGTTAAAGGAGAATCATGTTTCCACGTTTGGCGGGAGTTTATCTCGTGTCTTCTGTCTGGCAAAACTGCCGGTAGATTCAAATCTAGTCGTTGGTAACCATTTGACGTGATACAGAATTTTGTCCATTGTGGAAATGAATAGTCAACCCGTTCACCGTGCCGCATAATGAATATTTTTTGCGTTGAACTGAGTACTGGGAATATATTTCCTAACGTTGGATCCCATGCAATCATTCTTTTTTCGGATTCAATGAATTCTCTGGCACAATCTTCTAACGATTCTCTTGGTTCTCGTCGAATATTCGACGACCGAATGATATTTTCTGCACAGTTTATGCCGGAGCCAATAAATGGAACGTTTGTGTGCAATACCCAACAATCAGATTCTGGCACACGTTCCACATATCTAATAGGGAAATTTCCTCTAGAACCGGTTGTAATAGAAACACCCCAAATTAATTGTTCGTCCATTATTTTATTTTTTGTACCGGCCTCTACATCTTTTGTTGAAGCCGAAAAATAATCTCCAATACCAAAACTAAGATCTCCTGAATTATGAGCTTTGTGCGCTTGATGTGCTCGGAATATCTTGAATAATCATTACAAATGTGTTTAAGAACGGTTTTGTATTTGCGGGACTAAATTTATGTGCAAAAATTGCTTACTTGACTTTCATCTTCAATTGAATAGAGTCGTTTATCACGTGAATAAAGCCGCAAATCCCATTCGGTCGCATCATTTATTTCAAGTCTGCTGATGGAACTATTAAGCGTTGGCTTCTTATAACTGCAAGGTATGGTCATGTGAAATTCTTTCGGTTCATCTAATTTTGCGATTGCTGAAATACATTTGCCAAATAAATTACGATTTTTTTAAAACTTTCGTTAACAAAATTGAATTTCTCGGACTTACTTGAACTAGACTGTGTTGTTTTGAACTTGGAAATACAAAGAAGCTTACTGACTTCTGGCTGAGGACTCTCAGTTGCTACGATAACAAAAAAAAATCAAAGGATAATGGTTATATTTTTATAGAATGTTAAACAAATTACTTACGTAAAATTGCACGCACAATATCAATAAATTTATTTCCAATTCTTCGAAAAAATTGTTCGTCATTTTCTTCAAGGTCATAACCAATGTATGCTCCAACCTTCTCTCCTCTTTTTAGACGAATACCACGATTAAAATCGTTCATTTCATTAACCGTTTTAATAACAGCTTCTCTCAATTGCAAATCCTTATCGGCACGTATCTTCAATGCATGAATAGAAACTGTCAATACAAATTTTGTCTCACAATAAATTCAAACTGACCGTGAAAAAATCGACAATTGATATGTGAGGGAATCGGTTTTGCGCCAAGCTAAAATCACACAACTCTCTTGAATCGCACCAAAAAGTTGACAATTGCTCACCGAATGCGCCAGCTGGTACAGCCACTAGAGTATATTCTCGTTTCAGGTTGTCACTGTCTAAATACGGGTCTTTTGCATGAGATATTAACCATTCCATTGCTTTAATCGGACATCGGTTGCCGGATGCAGCCAGTGCTTTTTCACTGAAATATAATTTTCTTTCAACTAAAACTCAAATATGATTTGGTGAAAATATCTTTAAAAAATCACCTATTTTACAAAAAAAAAAAATCAAATATGTTTTACGAATACTTACACTCTATCTTTCTTTATGCCTAAATCTATAAGCGTATTTAGCGCCATATCGTCATTCGCCATTTTTTTGATAAAATAAATTCGATTTTATCTAATATTAAAATATACTGAAAATATAGTAGTAAGGATGCCGATCTTTCAATTATAGTTTTTCCCGTTTTTCTACTTCAAACAGGTGACAAAGCGAACACAATATGTTGTTACACAGAGTGTGTATGTTCGATAATGATAAGTTTTTGTTATGTTGACACACACGTGAGTGTGACGTACTGCGCATGTAAAAAAATTGAACTTCAAATGTATCGATGAGATGGAGAAGAATGTGTGTACGTCTTTATATAGTATATAACAAGACCTAGGTAAGAGAGAGAAAACTTTTGTTCAGAAATTTGTTAGGTTAAAAGGAAAACGATGCATTTCGTCTATATAGGCAATATTCACATAAAGTAACAAAAACGAATAAATCCTATACATTTTTTTATTCTATGCATAAAAACAAAAATTATGTCGATTTGGTATAGAATGGCGGAATGGAAATGCATTATGATTGCTATTCTAAAGATTTTCTTTATTAAAATATTAAAAGGTTAGTACAGTATTTAATCGAAGAATCTTATAATTTATTTACAAATTAATGCATCTGGACTATTTCTATGGATATTTTTTTGTGTGTATGTAGATTTTCGCTATGAACTAATATTTCGTTTTCTTTTTTTACTGTTGTTGTAATAATATTATTTATTTGTCGAAGTGTTATTGTTTTTGTCCAAGTTCTCGATTGTATATAATATTAATTTGTCAATTGTTGAAAACCTGTCGACAAATGTTATCAATTTAAATTTTGAAGTTCCCTTTTCATTTTTTCTTTTTTCGATGAATTATAATTGTGTTGGTGCATACTAAATATTACCATTTGTACAAACTCAAACTTATTATTGTGTGTGTGTGTGTATGTGTGTGTTTGCTTGTCCCTTATGTGTGTTTGTTTGTTTTTGTATGTGTATGTATGTACTTGTTTTTACAGAAAATATATGAAAGAAGAAGCAAAAAATAATTAAAATAAAACCATGTTAAAATATTCTTGTCTCATAGATCTGATTCGCACATGTTCCACCTGCCTATCTTTATACTTTTCTACTTTCAATTGATGATACTTGAATTTCAAGTATCGAATTAATAAAAAAAAATCATCGTTTGTATGTTTTAAACAATGTTACACCAATTCCTTAAAATAACAATATTTTTTTTGTGTGTGTTGATGGTTTGTTTTTAGAAAGTTCTTAATACTATTTACTGTTGTATACTAGTACACTAATATACAGTATATAGATCTATGGATTTTAGCCCATTAATTTGTGTAAATCTTTTGTTTATTATCCTCGTTTTCGCTTCGCCGAAAAACATGTACTACATCTTCTAATGCGTTTTGTTCACTTAACATGTATTGTTAAAAAAATCTTATCATTTACTATCGCATGGATGTAGTAAATTTTAGTTTCATCATTTTTAAAGTTGTTTCTTTTCTTTTTGATCAAGTGTCAGGGCATTCGCAAAGTGGTTAGATTTAGTTATATTATTGTATGTGGTGACAATATGTTTAAATGCCAGCTAAAACGACTTGTTGATTTTCTTCATTATCTTCTGGATCTAAAATTTCTTCTTTATGAACGATCATCTGTTCATCTGGATTGACTGCTGGTTGACGTGGGGCCGTTTGACCTATAATTTCATTAAAGAAATATATATTAATCGGTAAGTCATACAATTATTTTGAAGATCACTTCATAAATCAAATAAATTACCATATTTTTCATGGATTCTTCGATGCCTCTTCAATGCAAAACGATCAGCAAAAGCGGCTGTGCAAATTTCGCATTTAAATGGTTTTTCTCCGCTGTGTACCTTGGCATGATTTTTCAAATGAGCCGCCTGACTGAAGGCTGAACCACAAGTTTCACATCTGTAACAAACAAGAGATAACAAAAATGCCCATTTAGAAATACAATTGTAGCATATTACTACGGTGAAGTTGCTACTCACTTGTATGGTTTCTCGCCGGTATGAATGCGACGATGATTCCACAAAGTTGCATGGCGAGCGAATCCTTTGTCACACACTTCACAGACATATGGTTTTTCACCGCTGTGCGTACGTTCATGGTTTTTCAGGTGTGGCGATTGAGAAAACTGCATACCACAAGTTTGACATCTAAAATATGACAAATAACGTTTATTAGTCATTTATTTTTATCGATAGTAATATCAACTTGAATATATATTTTTTTAATGAGAAAATTTATCGCTTACTTGTATGGCTTCTCTCCTGTATGGATACGTGAATGGTTCTTTAAGTAAACAGCTTTGGCAAATGCAAGCCCACAAATAGCACATTTGTAATTCTTTTCGCCGCTGTGCAATTTTTTATGTGACCATAAACTTGAATACCGCGAGAATGATCCACCGCATATATTACAATGGAAAGGCTTTTCCTGTGGCGGTACTTTCGAATTTTTATGCCCACCGATGAATATTACACCGGAACCGTTGCATTTGTGACACTTTGTGACGGCTGCCATATTACGCTTTTTAACCGGATAGTAGCCAGCTTGATTTGATGTGCCGGCGGCATTTTGTTCGATTTTCGGCTGTTTCAATGCATGTTGATGTGACGAACCGGCTTGACCAATTCCAACAACATTTTGTGCGTTGATTACATCCATGGCATCCGGATTCATTTCGAATTTAACATCACCATCGGGTGCAACAAAAATTTGTGTTTGACGCTGTTGTGTCATAATCGAAGACACATCATTATTAATACAATTTTCGCAACGTATCAATTTTGGTCCCTTTCGTTTGGGATTCTGTTGCACCGGACCACCACATGTTATACACTTTATGGTTTTATCGATTTTTATATGTGTTTGATGCTGTGGCTGTTGATGGTGTTGTTGCTCTATTGTAAATTGTGAATATTTACCAAGAAAAAGAAAATGCTTGCGTTAGTTTCATGCAGAAAAATTTCCGATTGATTTTGATTGGAATGGGAAAATAATTATACTTACGGGCATGATGTTGCTGTTGAGCCGAATGGTGTTGCTGATGGTGTTGCTGCTGCTGTTGATGATGCTAAATAAGAAGAATATATTTTAGTACCATTTAGCATTTTATAGCTTCTTTGTAATTTGCTCAATTCGCTTACCTGTTGCTGGTGATGGTGGTGCTGCTGCTGATGGTCTGCCCCTTGTACTTGTTGATCCATGGCTATTAAGAATAGTAAGAATTTTCGTCAAATATCGTCCATTATTTTGATCTATTCAATGATATTGTGTTACCTTGTACTAAATTTTGACCAGCCTGCTGTGTAACCACAGTAATTTGTTGATCGTTTGTTCCATCCGTACCGTCTTGTGTGTGAATTCGTTTGTGATGATTTAATAGTGTCAAATGTGAGAACATAAGCCCGCATACATCACACTTGAAACTAATGTTGGAGATTGTGTTTGTGATGGGCTTATTAACCACTTGAATGCGGCCATTGCTGTCCACTGTTGCAATTCCGGCAACTGTCGAAGCTATAAATCGGTAAAAAGAAATCAAAATATATTAATGACGTGTTCCAGTGAATTACATTTTTTCCAATGCAGTAAAAAGTCAAGAAAATATAAAAAATTGAATATGAACCATTATTACTTTGACCGATTGGCATTTGGTTAACCAATGCATAATTTGCATAGCCAAACGATGGCGCGATGTAGCATGTTTTGGTGTCGTCGGTTAATTGGGCCAAATTAACCGTACTGGTATGACCCTACGAAATTCAATAAAAAAAAAAAAGAATTGGATTTCAAGTTATTGATAATATTAATTCATCAAAAAAAGAAGAAAAAACCACTAATATTACCTGCGATGTCGGTGTCAACATTATGATGTCTTATTTTTCATTAGCCAAGTACTTAACTAGCAATTGCTAATTCTAAAAATAGAAAAAAGTCCAAATTAATATTTCGAATACTTATTTTCTGTATAATTTTAATGTTTATCCTTCATCGTCCATGCGAACATTCATCAATTTACATGCATAAACAAATCATAAGCTAGCTACTCTATTTCAACAAATCCAATCGCAAATACACGCACAACCAAATCCGCACATATGTAATCATCTTCTCCGCGATGCAAAGTTTACCATCAACAAACGATTTGACAAAGGGTGAAAGAGAAAAAACAACAACAAACCATTAAACGAAGACGACAATAAAATAGAGCGTTGAGCGAAAAAAAGCTGTCCATAGCTCTCAAGCAAAAGTAGACAAGCACGGAAAAGAATGAATATAAAACACAACCAAAACATAAACATTCACTTCTTGTATTTCTTTCACACGCGCTCCCAATTTCTCGCTTGGATTGGATTCGATGATATGAGCGAAAGCGAAAAGTGTTTGTATATATCTCTCTATCGCCGTTGGTTGCGATGCACGATGATGGTTGTCAAGACCATAATTCGTTTGTATTGGTGTAAATTCTGCGAACGTGCTATATATATGTATGTACTAAAACATGTTGCTATGTGTGTCTGGGTCGATTGTGAGTGAGTACGAGAAAGTATGAACAATTGCCAAACGGACTGCTCGCTTATAAAATGCATATCTTATCTGTCTCTGTCCTGAATGGACTGTATTTTCGTGCTACATACAACAAGATTTTCGTTGTATTTCATTACACACGTACACACAGCGCAATATGTCACGCGAAAGTCTGCTTCGCGAACGAGAAAACGAGAAAGTGAGCAACGAGATAAGAGAGGCCAAATGAAAAAGGTAGAGCGGTTATTTGCGAAAGGGAGCAGATATGAACTTGATCGAGTGTGTAAAAACAACGACAGAGAGTACCAATCAGAGTAGTCTCTTTCTTGATTCTGTCGAAATGTTTCATTCACATCAAGTCGACTACTTCTATATTATGCCTTTCTCTTATTCTTCATAACTTTGGCGCGTTCGATGTTTACATCGAATAAATGTTCTCAAAAGACCATTCTGTCGTGTGTTGACGATTTGCTTTTATCTCTCTTTCTCTTTTGGTGGCCTGCTTTCGACGGATTTTTGATTCATGAACAAAAAAGAAACAGAATTGGTTTACACTAAATGCCCTTCTCTTTTCATTTTTAAGAGCGGTTTTTAGAATGTAAATTACTTAAGTCATTCCAATTGCAACGCTTAAGCGACAAATGATATGACATTTTTTGCTCAGTTGCTTTCAAATTGTCTGCGGAAATTTTCATTACTACCAACATTCAAAGAAATGTTTTTTTTTTTTGCGAAATGTATATTCAACATGAAATGAAATATACTGCTCGTTCCTGTTTTTTGACGGATGAAATGAGATGAAAGAATATTTTAAATGATGAGTTAAAAAGGAATTGTGAACACAACCGTTGGCACGAATATTGTGATGATAACCAGGCAATGGCATGCAATGTGTCAAACGCTACATGTTTTGCTCTCATTCTCTTTCGAAAAACTGTATTGTTCTTTGTCTCATTATCAAAGCGATGAGTAAGAGGCACACTCGTATATGTGTGCGTGTTTGTCTGTTTGCATTCTAAATCCATGCGACGGCACACTCGAAAGTATTTTCTACTCTTTCTCAGTGCGAGCAGTTTCAAAGCAACCAAGATTTCATTTGGTATGAAACGAAACTTGTGTTAGAACAGGATGAGTGATAAAAACAGTATGTCTTAGAGGTTGTATGATGTGTCTGCGCGCCGCCTAACACATAAGTTTTCTCTCGCTTCTTTTGTGTGAGTTGTCTCTCTCCCCGAAATTGTGTGTGTTCGTTCTGTCTTATTCAATCGTGCGCTCAAACATCAAATTGACGAGTTAGTGGATGAGGAAGAAAAAAATGAAAACAACTTCTGCGTTATTTTCTTCTTTTTCAGTCTTTCTACATTTCTTTCTCATTTCATTCTGGCTTGTCTGTGTCGCGCGTGATGTGTAATTCTTTTTCGTTTTTCGTATGTAAACGCATATGAGCTGAAAACAACATCGTACACATTCTTTCTCTTTTCTGGCTATTTTTATTAAAATAGACAAACACATATCAACATGTTATCATTTCGATTTTGTTTTGCTATGGATATTCATTGCAACTCGCATCAATTGTACTATGCTGACATAGAATTCTGAAGAAGAAGAGAAGTATAAAAAAAAACTCGCGCCAAATTAATATATGCTCCTAGCGAAACGTGTGACACCAATAATAATTTATGGTAATTATAAGGCGAGCGCACTTGTGTTTATTTAACGTGATTATATTTTGCAGTGTGCAAAAAAGCGAAAGGTGCACCGAAATGATTGTTTATGTATTTGTTCGTAATTTTATATTCGAATTTGCTCAGAAAGACAGAAACGTGATACGTTTTACAAGCTTATAATAATGATCAACAGTTAAGTTGGCCGAGAATTAACTAATCGAACGACGTTGTGTGTATCAAGTTAATGAACTAAATTCACAAGATTATTACGTTCTCAAAATGTCTTTCTGGTTGGATGTTGAACGCTTGCTATATTTTAATCAACAGAAAACTTGATTCAATTTCGTATCGTACACAATCGTATATATTGCAGTCAATTGGTTTAGTTTGAAATCGACGTACTTCGAACGGCATTATTAAATGAAAAATCAAGATAAAAAATTAATGGGGTTTTATCAAGTTAAACACACTTTAAATGAATTTGACTACGCATACACGCACGACAAATATCTACAATTCTAATTGAATGCGTCCATTACATACACATTTTTATTCAATTTTTATTCTTTGCGTACGATTGTCGATTTGTTTTTTTTTTCTCATTTTCATTACAGCAGTTGAAGAAAAAGCAACAACAACAACAACAACACCATCAGACTACTACTGTTGTTGTGGCGGCCACAGCAGTAGCTGTATAGTGCACATTAATAAATTGATATTTAAATAAATTACGACGCGCACAGATACGCACATTACATCCTCTATGCGACTCCAATAGCAAATGAACAAAAAATAATAATAATATGCACTTGTATATTATAATTTAGAAGAAAAAATTCATTGTTCCCAAAAATACATCAAAAATAATATATGTATTGTTGTTCCAGTTATCAATTAAATTAGTATTGTAGGTTTTTTCCTACAAAATAAGAACTTATTGAACAATTCACATTCCGATTTGGAAGTAACGCCAAAACAAAACCACACATTCACACATGTCCATAAATTCACAAAACACAAATTCGATCTGAAACCATTTCGTAATAATGCTGTATCTTTGAAAATAATTACAAATTTGTTAAGAAACCTCAAAAATTCAATCTACCCATAACCAAAACTTGATTTGACAAATTGTGCTGAATTTCTCTGTAAAAATGTTGTTTATTGCATGCAAATGCGACTAAAATGCTTCACTCTCACACCAAATTGATTTGAATATTTTCTTCTATTTATTATTTTGCTTCTTACATTTTGATTACAAACAACACAATTTTTGGTGTTTATTTTTTTCGGCGAGAAAAAGAAAAAAATAGAATAAAATGGTGAAGGAATATATACGTACAAGAAATGAAATGATTTTTTATTTCGTTTTTCTGTAGAAAAATCTTTTGTCTCACTTTAATATGGCTGCTCTTATTACGCTACACAAATGTATGACGCGTTGTGTGCTGTTGTGCCGTTTGTTAAAATACACCAAATAAATTGAATAAAAAAAGATGGAGAGACACCAAGAATGAGAAACACATTTGAAGCGTTCGAACAAATACACTGAACTGTGAACTAGGCGCGAGAGTGGAACGAGCACGTAAAAACCGACGACCGAAACGATGCGATATTTCATGTATGCGAGAGATATAGATGGCTTCGGTTTTCGATGCTTTCCCTTCATTTGCCTTCGTTTCACACCAACGTGAATTCGACGAAATGCACACCAATACATTTGAACATTGTATGCATACCCTGTATGTGTGTGCGTATGAGACGGTGATACGTGTGTTGGCAATTTACTTTCCCTCAAGTGAACGAAATAGAAACAACTATACGTTACATTGCAAAAGGTTGCAAGTACAAAAGAGACAAAATGATTAACCACTGAATAATTTGATATTTTAGTAGTGCTCGATGCAAATTTAAAGTTTGACATTTCAAATATCCCAATAGGGAAATTATAAAACAATGTTTTGCCTCGTGGTTGAAATTGTCAAATTCATTTCAACTGTATTGCATTGTTACGAGTTATGAATCAAGCAAAAACATTTTAAAATTATGGATTTGTTCACGGTTGATACGATTGGAGAACAAAATCTTCTTGATAAAGTCGAATACGACAATACGGAAGTATTATATTCAAACAGTAAAAGTGTAAATGATCAAAATACCGATGACGAAGAAGAAGATACCAAAGCTGTGGAGAAGAATTACGATTATCACAATGAAGAGGATGACGAAGATTACGATTATGGCGGTATGTTTTTTATATTTTATGTGAGAATTTCAATGCAATATTTTACTGAGTAATGGTTTTCCTCGAATATAACAGGAATTCCACCACCACCGGTAGATATCATTAGTATTTTGAAGAAACCTGCGCTATTTAACAAACCACTTTACGACAATGATGAATGCAGCTTGAATCAAAAAGACGAAGAAAGTGATTTAGATGCATTCTGTAAGGCCATGGGGTGGACAAATATAAATGGTGTTTTACCAGTGAAACCGGACAAAAAACCAAAACGACAATGGCAAACAGAGGAATTCGATTTAACCGATGTTCACAAGGATTTGACAAAGACAAATGTTGAAAAGGAGATGAGTACCAACGTTCTAAAAGGTATCCAGGCCAAGAGAGAGGTGAAAGTTTTGTCAGAACGTGAAGCACATCGTCAAAGAAAGGTAATTTTATATCTGACATTCAACATGGGTTTTTTTTCTACACAAATTATAATAATTTGAAATGATGTGACACGCGACACTGATTTATATCCACTGATATCAGACCATAGAACATGACTCAACCTATTTTGCATCCACTCCACTCGTTGAATCTTGGTGATTTTCTTTTAGACTAATGAAAGCATTGTAAGGCCAGCGAGACATTTTTAAAACTGCAAAGCAAATTTCAGCAGGAAAAGTTCTTTCTGAATTTTTCCCAATGACCTTTGTTTTGTATGTTTTAGTTGGCGTCAACAATCGATACCAGTCAGTTATGTGGTAATTGATAAACTTGTCGCCATACATTTTTTACATGGTTCGTTCTTCGGATTTGTTGCTGAATGCAAGGTGTTCATTTGTTGATTGGCAGAAATAGCTTTCTGTCGATGATCAAATCGATCTTGACAATGTAACAATTTCGAAAATTAGCCAAATGGAATTCTTTTTTTATATGAAAATGGGTTGTTCTATTCGGCTGATTGTGAATATTATGATGTCTCTTTAGTAATCTGATCACTTAAAAATTAAACATAACATTTAATTTTACACAAACTGCGCTAAATCATCAAACATTGTTTCATTGCATTTATAGGCCGAAGCATCAAAAACAAAAGGCAAAGATTGGTTCAATATACCAGCTACCGAAGTCACCGACGAACTACGTCAAGATTTGGAAGTTATCCAAATGCGTTCTGTATTAAATCCGACACATTTTTACAAAAAGAACGATTTAAAGACATTGCCAAAATACTTTCAAGTTGGTACTGTGTTGCCATCACCTTTGGATAAATACAATGATCGTGGTGAACGAGTGAGCAAGAAGAAGTCGCTGGTCGATGAATTGTTGGAGGATGCTGAATTTCAGCGATACAACAAACGAAAATATCAAGAAGTTTTGGCCGAAAAGAGAAATACTGGTTTTAAGAAAGCATATAAAAAAATGAAAAAATTAAAGAAGAAATCTTAATAAAATATAAAAAATATATCTCTCGATTTTTACCAAAAAAAACTACCACTTGGTTATTTTTAATCTATTTATTACAATTCATTTCTTTTTTTATTGATGTAAATGACGACAAATGTAATGTATTACAAACCACTACATATAAAATCTAAATTTTCTAAAAGTTTCAGTTTTTAGGACTGTTTGCTGCTTCTACACAGATGTTGTCGAGCTCTTTTATTTCCAAACATAAGTTGAATTCTTCTTTCTTTTTAATTTGTTCTGATCTTTTCAAGTGTATTTGAGGACACAGAAAATAAGAATGGCCTGTAAGTAAACAAATGCAATGCGTTAAAACAAAAAATAACTAAAAAAAATGATATACATACAAAGTGATGAAATATGTATAAAGAAAATTATGATTAAATATTCATTATATAGACCGCATATCTCCAGAAAATACTTCCATTCGTTTCTAGTTGAATCTTCTGCTGGATATTCCCTAAATCTACCACGACATTCATCTAAGTCTATATCTTCTATATTTGAAACGTCATAAAATAAATAAACTGGAAAATATCCCATACATGAATATGGAAAATAGTACCAAAATGTATAGAGTTTCATCCAACAAAAACCCATATAACAATGCACAAACAAAAACCATAAAAAACCGAAAGGAAATGAATGTGGACATGAATTGGTATCAGCCAACCATTTGTAGGGTTCTTTGCCAAAACATTTGCTTGTACAAGGATACAAGTTTTGACAACGTTCGCATGTTCCAACTGTATGAATGAAAATCGAAAAGATCGAATTAATTTTCAGTAACATGTTAGTATCAATGAATTAAAAATACGAACGAATGGTAAGCAGAATCTGCAACAACATGAAAGGAAAAAAATCAAACAGATCTGCTGGATGTTTAAAAAAATTGTGTATCATTTCAATAACAAATATTATACAAGCAATATAATGTTTTTGATTCCGTATTGTGGCTATTTCCCGCACTCGTTCTTCGTCACCCTATAGAGTTAATGTGTTTTAAAAGAATTTTATAAAATTGATTATACAAATAGGTTTTCATTAAAATTGATAATTTGTTCACTCACGTTATTAATAGTATAGTAAATCAGCGCGAAATGACTTATAACGTTCATTGCTGGATATGCGACAGCTGGCAGAATCCATTTTGAATCCCAAATTTCAATATCTTCCCAATGATCTGATAAAGATTGCCATAACAATGTCATAGAGAGTGCAGTTGACACCATCCATACGAATAGCATTGAACTATGATAGATTAATTTAAGATTAGATTCCAAATCCTTTCTCCCTACGCACATCACGGCGATTGCTATAAACAAAAATAAAATGTCTTACATCCGTAAGATGAACATGGGCATCACACCAGACATGACACTTTACCCTGTCAACCAAAGTCGCTCAAAACCTAATGGTTTCTATTCCTCGGCACCCCTAATCATCCTGTGAAGTCAGATTTTGAATTACTTTTCTTGTTTGAAAGTTATCGTGTTAACAAATTTTTGCGTACAGGGTACAGCGTACAGGGTACAGGGTACGCACATACATTCGGACATCGAAAAAACGCTAGATTCGTGTTCCCTGGCCCCAAAAACACCCAGAAAACACATTTTTTATGGGTGTTAATTTTTCGACCGATTCCAATACTTTACCTTACACACTAGGTGTGTGCGGAAAAGTAAAATATTATAGTTTATTTCCAATGGCTAATTAAAATTCATCATCATAAATACCAATGATCAAATTTAGTGCAAACCATAGTTTTGCAATCACACTTCCAAAAATATCCAAACTAGATTGCTGCGAAAATTAAATACACAATCGTAAAACTTATTGAAATTTATTCAATATAATTTATTCCTCACCAAAAATATCCATGTCCGTATATACACGATAGTTCCGATAACTTTTGCTAAAATATTCCATTGGTCCCAATGCTTTACAATTTTAAGTATTTTAAACGATATTACAACAATAAGATGAAAAAAGCATATAAATATCATTGAAAAGATGGATATAATCAGTATATAAGGCATATCATCAACTGTTAACTTTTTGCATCGGTTCCATAAAGCCAGATATATATCAAAATCACGAAACAAAAGCAAATCCTTGATATTGTATTAAAAATTAACTTGAGCCGATATTTTTTACACAAATAATATATAAACGTGAAGAACAACATAAAAAATTGTTTTTCGATTTATTAGAAATAACATATGCACATGCACATCATTGATATATGAATGTCAGAGAATGATATGTTCTTTAATATTTAGTGCGTTTACAGTTTAACTCAAAATCCATTATTAGATCACATGATATTGATCCAACATCATGTTTCAACATTTTAGTCGGTTTAAGCAAAAGACTATTGTAGGGCTAAACCAGGACCATATTTAAAAATAAATCTTCAAGAATTTTGAATGTATTGTATTTTCGTTCCAATAAATGTAGCTGTATATATGTGTGTGAAGTGGTATCATATGTGATTGAAATTTGAATCGCTGGAGATACCGGTGTACAATTGAACGCTCTAGAATAAAAACAACTTATTGTTTACTCGCATATCGAAACGGAACTCAAAACGGGTGCATATCAAAGCGAGACAATATTTAGTTATCATAGGAATAGAGAACATTGGCTTTTTATTATGCGAAATATGTAAGTTTCATTTTGTACTGATAACTAGCTACTGTTCTGCCTTGTTTTAGTAACAGAATTTTGTTTCGCTTTGATATGCGACGCAGTTTAACGATATAAATACTTCACACTCTCGAAGGCTCGGTATAGAACACACAAAAAGTGAAAAAAAACTTCTTATTCTCAAATTTCATATACAATCAAATGGCTTGTACCAGCGACTTTTATTGCGTAGTTGTGTGTGAATAGAATGTCCGTTGTAAACATTCATACATACAAGGAGGAGCAGGATAGCATTGGACAACGATTTGGGTGACAAAGATGACACATTTTTATGTTCTGATCACATCACATGATATAGACCATTTTGTGGTGTTCGAGAATTGCGAAAAAAAATCAGATTTTTTTTTCACTTTTCATGCTCTATACCGAGTCTCCGAGAGCTTCATATAAACTCGCCTTGCAATAGCCAAATGACGATATATCCATCACGATTGGTATTCGCTTACTATTCAATAGGCATCAAATAGCAAGTTTATATGAAACTCTCGGAGACTCGGTATAGAGCACTCAAACAGTGAAAAAAGTCCAGATCGTGATTTAGCGGTCTTCCGTGTTTTTTATACAAGCTTCCCATATAGATGGTAAAAATTGGCGAAAAATGAAAAAAATAATTACATTTTTTTTCTTCAATTCTCAAATACTACTCAATTTTCTATATCACCTGGTGAAATCAGAATGAAAAAATCGCATTCCATATCATCTAATTCACGATCTGGACTTTTTTCACTGTTTGAGTGCTCTATACCGAGTCTCCGAGAGTTTCATATAAACTTGCTATGTGATGCCTATTGAATAGTAAGCGAATACCAATCGTGATGGAATCAATAGGCGTCATTTGGCTATTACAAGGCGAGTTTATATGAAACTCTCGGAGACTCGGTATAGAGCATGAAAAGTGAAAAAAAAAATCTGATTTTTTTCTCAATTTTTATGCACAACTAAATGGCCTATATCATCTGGTGCGACTGATTGTAAAAATTTGCTATTTCTGTCACCCAAATCGTTGTTCAATACTATCTAACTCACCCTTACATGTTATTTCTCAATGCATGGCAATGTATTTACAAACAACGTTCTATTGACACACAACTGCGCAATAAAAATTGCTGATACAATCCATTTGATTGTTTATGAAATTTGAGAATAAGAAGTTTTTTTTTTTTTCACTTTTTGTGTGTTCTATACCGAGCCTTCGAGAGTGTGAAGTATTTATACCGTTAAACTGCGTCGCATATCAAAGCGAAACAAAATTCTGTTACTAAAACAGGGCAGAACAGTAGCTAGTTATCAGCACAAAATGAAACTTACATATTTCGCATAATAAAAAGCCAATGTTCTCTATTCCTATGATAACTAAATATTGTCTCGCTTTGATATGCACCCGTTTTGAGTTCCGTTTCGATATGCGAGTAAACAATAAGTTGTTTTTATTCTAGAGCGTTCAATTGTGCATACATAGAAATGAAAATCAGCGCCCTATTATATATTCACTTGGAATTGCAATTTCAAAGTTCTCTCAAGATGCTATAAGAACCGGCATGTATCATTTGGTCAAATTGTAAACAGCACATATTTTTGCTGCTTCGAAAATATCGGATTGCGAGCAAAAAAATAACATTTGTATAAATGAAAATAATCAAAAAAGACTATTCGAGCACAGTGTTGCAACTGATAGTTTAGGACTTTTTTTTAAATAGCTTAGATCGAGAATGAAAAAAAAATGATCCAAACAAACCAAAGTGGAGGATTTGCCAATTACATGATTAAATAAGTGTTTTATTGATTGTGAAATGATTTCACTGAAATCTGTATTCTATTTGATCATATCAAATCATATCTATCAAATCATATCAGATCATATCTATTTGATCATATCATTGTCAAGTTTGATACAAAATTTTGTTCATAAATGAATGTTAAAATTTTATTGGTGTTTATCCAGAAAATCCAGTAATTTGTTCGCAATATTTTCATAGCACTTATGATGTGTAGAATTTGTTGATTTTACAACAATAGGAACGCCCGAGTCTGCACAATGCGACACTTGTGAATCCATTGGCAATGAAGCCAGAATATCGACACCAAGATCGTTTGCCAATTCTGCCGTATTCTTTGGGTATATTTGTAGTTTTTCTTTGCAATTCGTACAGATTACATGACTCATATTCTCAACCAGTCCAATTAGCGGAACTTTCAGTGTTTGATACATTTCGGCTCCGCGTTTTGTAACATTCAAAGCTGCCGTTTGCGGTGTACTAACTAGTATTGTACCAGAAACTGGTACATTTTGTGCAATTGATAAGTGTATATCGCCCGTCCCAGGTGGAGTATCGATAATCAAAATATCTAGCGGCTTCCATGAAACACCTCTTAAAAGCCGTTGCAATGCTGACATTACCAATGGTCCTCTCCAAATTATAGGTTTATTTGGATCGATTAAGAAACCCATCGAAATACTGAAATAAAAAAAAAACATTGTCACGTTCATATCGGCGCGATTAGAATTGATATGTGTATAAATACCACTTGACGCCATAATTTTGTAGAGGAATCATTAAATTATTTTCATCGACAAGTGGAGTATCGTTCAAGTTCATCATTAGCGGTATCGATGGACCAAATACATCACCGTCAAGTAGTCCAACACGTTTCCCCTTCAAATTAAAGTCAATTTAGCTTAAACTTCTGATTATTTTGATCATTAAAATTTCATTTTTTACCATTTGAGCCAACATTACTGCCAGATTTACTATTAAAAAAAGGTAATGATAATTTTCCAAAAGTGTCCATTGGAGTAAGAAATAAAGAAATCACCTGACGTTGTACTTTTTCCAACGCCACCTTTTCCAGATGCAACCACCACAATATCCTTTACACCATCTAAATGCATTTGTTTCGGTAAACCTCGAGCCATCATTTCGGTTTGCCGTTGAGTTGGGTTCGTGCTGTAACTGGCACTGCTCCATCTCTATGATAGTTTAAAGAGATTTTACAAATCAATACTACAAATGATAGTTTATTCTTTTGATCTTCGACTTCATAAGTTTACGAAAAAACAAAAGACAAAAAAAAAAAATCAAAAATTTAATATATTTATGCAATTTTTTTGTTCATACCGAGCTGAATGTTCGTAAAATAAATCTCATTGTTTACATTATCTACAATTTTGTTTAAAAATGTTAGGTTAAACTAGTTTTGACAAATAATGACAGATGAAGCGGTCTGAAGAAAGTTGTTATTCAATATAAAAATCTTTTTCAAATGAAAATTTTAATTTGATAAACACAAGGTCCCGTTCGATCAATAATATCGCTCAGATTTTGGTTTACCGCGAATGCATGTGCAATGCTCGTTGAATAATATATATATTTGAACCGTAAATTGACAATTCGAAAGTAAACCGATTCTAGAGTTGATTTGATTTGCTACTTTTTCGTATACAAATACAAAGACAGACGCACACAACTACACCTACCGAATACCATACTGCAATATGTGAATAAAACAAAATCAAACTGTATACACAGTGTTAGATGTAGAAGTGGATTGATTGTGTCTCCCTCTAACTTTATCTCTGCTCGATAAGTCTGTCGACGGTCCTCGTTGTCAATGTGTTATAGCACACAACAATTGTGCATAGAAATTCTCTTCATTCTTAAAGTATTTTTCAGCTTCTTTTCTGTGTGTCTCACTCTCGTGCTAAGTAAATGGGCGGACAATCGGTTGAGTTGTTTTAAAAACTTGGAATTTATATTTTGTATATTTACCGAATTTTTTGTGTATTGTAAATTCAATGTCAACGTTTTTGTTTGATTAAATTCATATTCTAATGTGATAAAACGCCGTTTAACTCGCCAAACAGTCTACATATAGTTTATAAAAATTGCCACAAAAAAGTCTCAAATCTTGTGTCTGCGCTCAGAAAAAAGTGTAAAGTGTTTTATCAATTTTGGTTGTAAATATGTATTTTATTTCTGTGTGAGATAATTCATGCTACTATCTTATTGGCCATAAAATTCATTTAAATCCCGTTCACAAGCCAAACACACACAGAAAAAAATCTTCAAAAAGGTAAATAAGGAGTGATGTTAATAAAATTTCCCCATTGTTTCACAATTCATAAGAAAAGTAATTGACAGAAAATGTGTTCATTAAAGAAAGTGAAAAGAGACGAAATGAATCGTTGTCAATCAATGAATTAAAATCAGTGCAAAACTGTCTTCGGTATTTTATTAATTCCATTAATTGTTTTCCACTTTGCATTTTATCAGCCAAATGTCCGAATTTGCTATTATAAATGAGGTGCGGTTTTTGATTAGTTAAATAGGATGCGTCTTGTGCAAAAAGCAATACATCAACCGGAATATATACGCAGTACATCATATCGTTGATTTTCTATTGTTTTTATTTTTTACATATTGAAATTGAAGTGTATGGGATACTTATCGCTGGTCACAATTTCCAATGCAAGTTAATCGATTTGTTCATGGGTGTGTGAATACATATCAATTATTATTGAAGACGATATTGAAAAACATTTTTTTTTTCATGCCTAACAAATACAAACAGTGATTTCATGGAAAACATTTTCCAATGTTGTTGCTTCACACTTCTTTTATTATGAAACCATGATTTATCATGTTTTCGCTTCCATTATTAGTGTTTCTTGAAGTCATGTCATTACAATATTATTTGAATAATTTACAATAAAAAAATATTGATTTGCCCGAAATCAACAATTTGTATCGCTAGCTCATTGAAAAGAAAGTCAAACGAAATCCATACAAGAATACTAGCATGGCGAATATATATTCTGAAAACATTTTTTTTATTGCAAGACGTTGCTGTGCGCTCAAAATCACACAAACTGAATTATTTATTTTTATGGTAACCAGTAGACGCTACTAGGTAAACTAACAACAACAACAAAAATGGCAGAAAAAAGCATTTACCTTTCGTAATATATCAAAAACTATGCAAACAGGTACTTGAGCACGAATTCTTCGCTCATTCCAAAGTTATACATATATGTTATAGATGTATATTTAATAGAAATGAATCGAGAAAAAAAAATGTGTACGTACGAGTGGCAATTATAAAATTCCATTAGTGATATGTGTAAGCGTAGCGTGGTGTATCAAAAAACAAAGGTGCTGCTGCACTGCATCGTACATAAATTGTGATTTTGTGTATGTATATATTAACTCTGGTGTTGACGAAGGTGATTTTTCTTATCCGCAATCAACAAAGGCTATATATCGTAATCGGCATGAAAGTAGAGCGAATCTGTAAATTGAAATACAAACGGAAAAAGTATTCAATGTTTCTTGTATTTGCCCCTACCGGGTATATTTACCTGTTCAAGCATTTTCGCGAAAATAAGGTGGAGCGCGACTTAAGCAGAGAGAAATGTATGTATGAAGAACAGCATTTAATGCGCAATCATAATAATGAATGAAATGCCGTTTGTTATAGAAAGAAAGTAATATAGAAAAAAATCGCAAAGAAACACGCACACCACTGTCTTAGGCATTCAAGAGAAATTCGGAGTCTCTCTCTCTCTCTCATTCATTTCGTATCGGTAAATTGGGCCAAAAAAAGAAAATATCCATGATAAACATAAATATGAATATGAACATGAGCACGAGTACATAAATGAAGAGAGTACGCAATTGTGAATGTAACGACGAAAGAAAGCACACCATTACTTCCGAAACAATGTTTTCGTTGTTTTATTTCATTCAATTTTCTACTGCAATCATATTGTCGTTTCTGTCGGTATCTCTCTTTTGTTCGTCTCACTTCAGTTGCGTTTGGATTACTGTTTACATCCAAAGTGATTGGATTTGATCATGTATTTATGGCTTTGTGCGCTTATTGAATGCAATTTCAGATAGTTGTCTTACAACAGTTAAGTTAACCGTTTTACTGGTGTTTCTACAGAAAACCATTTGACTACGACCGCGTAACACATTAAATGCCAGAATCGTACACAACAAGGTGCGTGTCAATGGCTCTTTTTTCACAAATACGATTTTTTTTTTCGTTTGAATTTTTCATCATTATTAGTTTTGTTCGTTCGGACATTTGGCTTTCGAAACCAGAATAGAAAAGCGTGATTAGAATAAGTCATTAAAATGTGATTTCTTTTTAGCTACATATTTATAATTTATGACACATTTTCTAAAAGAAAACAATAAATACTTTCACGACCATTTGGCTTTTTGCCATTAACATCTGTAGTGCAAAAATCAATCATTATTGAAAGAAGCAAACATAATAGCGTGTTATATTCGTAATACTAATAAGCATTTTTCGTGATTTTGTTTAGAATGGATGGAAGTGCTACTATACTACAGACCGCAGTGAGCCAAAGTAATAGCTCAACTAGTTCAAATTCAGAATTGGATAAAGATCTGGCTGAAATAGATTTAAATGGAAGCATAACCAATGGCGACCCAATCGAGGGAGATGAAGAGAATGGTGGAACGAGTAGTAATGGTTCAGTGATTATTATCAACAAAACTAACACACTAAAAAAACGTTTATCGAGTAGTAGAACACCAACGAGAAAAGCGAAACGAGTCCGTTTCTTTCGGAATGGCGATAAATTTTATGGCGGTGTTGTGATTCCTGTATCAAATGAACGTTACAGGTAAATATCTTTCGTTATCTATATGTTTAATTCAACAGAAAAAAATCAATTTGATTTTTTCATTTTTTTCAGATCTTTTGACAGTCTGGCTGAGGACTTGACGCGAATTCTCGAAGATCGTGTGTCAGGTGCTGTGCGCAACATCTACTCAACATTAGGAAAGAAAGTGTGTTTATTTTTTACTATAAAAAAATCGAAAGCCGGAAAGAAAGACTCATTACTTTTCTTTTCTATTTTTCAACAGATCACAAGCTTGGATGAGTTTGATGACGCGCAAAGCTATGTCGTTTGTGTGAATAATGAAAGTTATAAGAAACTGGATTACACTTCTTCTCCACTTGGTCAAAGTAATAAAACGACAAATCGCTTAACAAGATCCCAACGACCGGCATCACCACTAAAAATTGGCTCTAATGGAGCCAACATCAATGGATTCGATAAAGTGGACCTGAGCGAACGTGATAGCGTTGTGCATCCACGCATCGTAACTCTCATTCGAAGTGGAACAAAACCACGAAAAATACTTAGGCTTTTATTGAATAAACGAAATAGCCCATCGTTTGAACATGTTTTGACAGCAATTACCCATGTGACCAAATTAGATACGGGATGCGTTAGAAAAGTTTACACACTATCCGGAACACAATTACAGACGTTGGCCGACTTTTTTGGTGATGAATATGTATTTTTTGCATATGGAAGCGAACGTGTAAATGCTGATGATTTCCGATTAGAAGTAGAAGAATTAAAGGCTGTACAACAGACAAGAAAAACATTGCGCACAGGAAGTGCACGAAGTGGCCCCAAACCGCAGATGCCCATTAAGAATTCCGTTAATTTGCATGATACAACATTTGAATGTGACGATGATACAGAGTTGGTATCTAGCACACAGTGTGATGATTCAAATCCGCTTGGTTTACCAGAAATCATTCAAAATAACTATACATTGGGTCCGGTTATTGGTGATGGAAATTTCGCTGTTGTACTAAAAATCAAACGGAAAAGCGATAAAAAGAACTTTGCCTTGAAAATCATCGATAAGTCGAAATGCAAGGGCAAAGAACATTATATTGATGCCGAAATAAGAGTAATGAAAAAATTGAAACATGAACAAGTGATGTCATTACATTTAAACTTCGACACGCCAGCCAATATGTTTCTCATATTAGAGTATGTCAGCGGTGGTGATCTGTTCGATGCAATAACACGTGTAACTCGTTTTTCCGAATCTGAGGCACGTTTAATGATTAGACATCTCGCATCGGCTATGGCTTATCTACATTCCTTATCGATTGTTCATCGAGGTAAGCTAGAGATCTCTTCATAGTTTTGCCATTCTATCAATCACGTATTTCACTAATTTTCTGTGTATAACCATTTGTAGATATTAAACCGGAGAATTTACTTGTCGAATTAGATGAGGCAGGACATATAACACAACTAAAGTTGGCTGACTTTGGTTTGGCATGTGAAGTAACGGAGCCGCTAACGGCTGTTTGTGGTTTGTATTTTTTTTAATACAATAATTTTGAAAATTCATAGTTTTGAGATTTTTTCAATGGTTTCTTTTTCGAAATTTCTTTGAAAATAGGAACACCCACTTATGTTGCGCCCGAAATATTAATGGAAACTGGATACGGGTTGAAGGTACAATATACGATTTAAATTTCAAAATATTTCAAAACGGATGAATATCTTAATCTCAATATATATTTGTACATTATCAGATTGATGTTTGGGCGGCTGGTATTATTTTGTATATTTTACTTTGTGGTTTTCCACCATTTGTGTCACCGGACAATGAGCAAGAGCCACTTTTCGATGCTATTTTGTCGGGTGTTTATGAATTCCCAGGTAATAAAACATTTCTTTTCATCTGGAACCTTTCATTGCTGATATACTGATTTATTTATTTTTTTAAATAGAACCATATTGGAATGACATCGGACAAGAAGTTCGTGATTGTATCGCAAATATGCTACAGCTTGATCCAGATCTTCGATTTTCAAGCGAAGACGTACTCGACCATCCATGGACACTCAATACAATCAGCACCAATAAACTAGATGAACTAATTGATCTGAGTTGAATGGTGAAAACACCACAACATTGAAAATTGTGGAAGAATATATACTTTTTGCCACGTTTGTATAAAGAAAATGTATACGTCGGCCGATGAGTAAAATGTTCCATCATTGTTTCATTTTTGCGATATGTATTTGTCACATTATTAATAATACATATAAAATTATTATTTATTTGCTAGTTTATTGAATGTTTGAGATGCATTTCATGGAGGGAAAAATATTGAATAATGATCAAGAAGCTTCCTTTAAAAGTGTATTTATTTGTTTGGCCAGTTTAAGGCAGAAAAGACATCGATATTAATATGATTTTTTTATGTTTTGGTATGATGGTATTTGTATTGTGCATAAGCAAACTTTATAAATTAGAAATTAGAACATACGAAAACAAAATATTTTCGTTTGAAAAAAAATCAAGCATATCCAAAATTTAATTTAAAAATAATTATAAAATGAATGGATTGGTTTGAAGAAAAAAGAGAATGATGTGTTGTGATTGATTGAATTGTATACTTTATAATGCTTTTCATCTATTTATTTTGGCATAGGTCAAACATTCGTATTTCCAATTGTATATTATTGTCTCAAAATAAAATGAACCGTTCATTGTTATTGGTGAATAACGTTGGCTTCAAACGAATAGGAATTTTTCTCTCGAAAAACATCTATCCAAGTTATTCCGTATCCGATCAGTTCTATCTAAAACACAAATTCCTTGTACACGAAACCATTCTCTCATACAATTGATTTTTTTATAAAATTTTACACATTTACGTCTCAGCATATTGACTGCTTTGGATCCCAATTTCATTGACATAAATTATTTAAATAGCGTATTATTATTATTATTATTATTGAACAAAAATACTTGTAAAATACTATCCTCCCTCAATTCGAATGGAATGAGATTTATAGTGATAACCTTATTGTTATTTGAACATAATGAGATAAGGAATTTGTAGTTTGTAATTAATTTATAAACGCAAATTTATTTGCCAATGAGATTCATAACCTGTACACATACATCCAGAATATAAGTGTATTTAATTCAAGAATATTTATGATGAAAAGACATTTTATACTATACGGATATGGACGATGAAAAAAGAAGACTTTTTTTTCGAACAGAATAACAACAAATGCAGTATTTATTTAGGCATAACTACACTTTAGTGAACTTTCTTCAAATGGCTCTATTTTTTTTATATGATATGCATACGTAGTAGCATATTCCATAGCAACATGAATTTTTATGCGGCAGCATATTTTTGATGACTTACATCAGCACATATATATATCATATGAATTAATGTCTGGGTGAAATGCGAATTAGTGTTTTGACATAAATTCGCGTTTTGTGCGAAATAATGTTTGAATGTAAATTGGGAATTAACGTCTAGACATAGATTCACATTTTTAGCGAATTAATGTCTGAATAAAACTGCGAATTATTGTCTGACCCAAATACTGCAAGTTGTCCGCATTGTGTTTTATCCTCAGTATGTTCTGCAAAATTACTGAGAGGGTAACTAAAGTGGCCTGGCATGGCACTTTACTGTGTTGACCAATAGAGTAAAGTGCCAATGAGCCTCTTGAATTACCCTCTCAGTAATTTTGCAGAACATACGCGGATAACTTCGCTAGACATTAATTCACTTAGCTTTTATGTTGTAATTTTATGCTGCCGCACAAAAATTGATGTTGCTATGCAATATTCTACTACGTATGCATATCATATAAAAAAAATAGAGCCATTTGAAGAAAGTTCACCAAAGTGTAGTTGTGCCTTTATTTATGCAGATGCAACTGATGAATGGGAAAATAGTTGATTGTAAATTTTGCGCTTTTTTGTTATAATTTTGTAAAACCACTTTTTGGCATTTTTTATAAAATCAAAAGAAAAAACTGTTATTTTGCAAATAATTAAAAATCTTGAAACACATCATTATTATAAAGATGCACACGCACATATTGGGCTCTATTATCTATCGGCTATTATTAATTATCATTGAATATTAATCTCACAAGTGAGCAAAATTAAAAATTATGAAGAAAGTGGAAATAAATCGCTACTCAATCTCAGAAGAAATAACAATTAACATTATAAATTGCGATTGTTTGCAGAAATTCAATTGTATTAACAATTTCGGCAAAAAAAAAAACATTTTTTTTTTTCAAATGGCGCGATTGAAAAGACTCTTTATTCATTTATATCAGCAATTTCTTTGATTTTAAGATTGTGCAATTATTTTATAAACATATGAATACAACAAATTAAATCAAAATCTGCAGAAAAAATTGCTGAGTTTTAATCGTTTTGCGTTGAAGTTTCAACGAATAAATCTTAAATTATGATAACGGTACGGAGAAATAATATTCTTGTGATTGAAAAAGCAATTTTGTTTACGCTGTGAGCGTTTGATTGTTTTCTTGTAAATGCCAAATGCATGAGCAAATGCTAAAATCTGTCACTAAAGGATTGCTCTCTCTCTCTTTCGCACACATCTAAATAGATCAGCATGTAATTGAGTATGTGTATTATATTTGCAAGCTCTATAAATGTATTGAGCGTGAAATGATGATGATTTTGGTATGTGTATCGAAATATCGTGTAAACAATATTATTATTAGTCGGCTGAGAATAAACAATTAAAGTTTCGGCGTCAATATCACATTCAGTGTGTGACAGCAATCGACAACGATTTACTTTGACAGAGAGAGAAAAATGGACCAAGACATACTCACCATTAAATTGAATTATTCTAAAATAATTTTGGATAAGCCACAGGCCCTTGCTGATCATGAAATGAAAGAGGTAAGTTTACTTTAAAAAAACATGTGCTACAACATGTGTCCGAAATTATCAATGTCAATGATTTTTTCTTAGCTTATCAACGCCATAAAGACCAAAAGAAATCTTGATAGCAATCGACCCGCATCGGAAACGAAACGGAAGAAAAAAAGAAAATGTAAATCACCGGAATTGTGTGAATTGGAAAAAATCCAAAAGAAACTATTCGAAATTCCGAAAGACCAAAAACGAAAACCGGTACCGAGAAGACTCTTCACACCAACGCTGGACGATAATATTCTTATTAGTTTTAAAAAATGCGAACAAAGCACACAAAAGACGAAATCTACAGTGATTTTTGCACGCCGCAAGTAAATATTACATCTTACTCTAGATCTTACCGATTATCTTCGAAGCCATAGACCATTGATAATGATATGTAGAACTTTTTCTGTTGACTGTAAATAAGTAAGTAGTTGATGTAAATGCAATACATCATAAATGATTGTAATTAAATTGTACATTTTCTATAAAAAAATATATTTTTTACACGCAACAAAATATGTTCAATATTTATTGAGAATATTAGCTGTTTTGTATTTCAAAATACATGTCATCGTGACAATTATTAACCATTAAATTTAAAATATAAAACAAAAAAACATGAATTGACTTTAATTATCCCAATCTTCATCGCCCCAGGCAGCTTCGTCGACTGTGTCGTCATCCAAATTAGTTGTAACAGCAAATCGATTTGGTTCTATATCTATTTTATTATATTCTATCGATGAAGTTGTTTCCATTGTAGCAGTTCCGAAGTTGCTCAAAAGTGTTATTGTTGAAGATGGTGCTATGACTGGTGCCATATCTTTGAATAAATCGTCAATTTCGTCATTCGACGGATTGTTTATCGGTTTAATTTCAATATCTTTAATATCCTTTATGAAGCTCTCCGTATTTTGATTTGTTGCAGTACTGTTTGAGCTACTGACTGATAGATTTCTTTGGTAAGTTGGCATGACTTTAATTAAACTGTCTGAATTTTCTTCAAAAACTTTTGGTTCTGTCTGTATTTCATTAGATTCCCAGTCACTCCAGCCATCTTCGTCAAGGTCAGCTTCTTCATTTGGCAACTGAATATTGTCTTCGCCAACGGCAGCTCCGTCTGGGGACAGACGCTCAGGCATTAATTCTTTTTCACTGACATTTACCGAGTGTGAATTTACTATCGAAACAAAAGTATCACTAACATCACCACCACAATTGCTATCACCGGTATCCGTCGGTAAAGGACTGCTATTAATTAATATATCCGAACAAATACCAATTCCATTCATAACAGGTGTTATCGATCGCACTTCAGCCCATTTTACAGATGGTGTCAAGTGGTTTTCGCCAGTACCAAATGGTTTTCCGTCGGAGAAAATACGACAACGATTACTGCCAATTACAACAGATGAACCCAAAATTGCAACCAAATCAGCTAAACAGCGTAGCGTTGCTGCCACCAATTGGTCGTTTGTATCTTTGATACCAAGCAAAAGTTGAGGCAATATGTGTTTGGTTAATTCATCTTTCGATGGAAAATGATCCATATATGCGGCAAAATATTCTAGTAAAACCAAACGAATTTGAACATCTCTCACTAAAAATAATTGTTTTATCTTGGGCGCAACATATTTTGTAAAATTGGTTGGTGAAAATATCGGTGTGATTGGAGCTGAATTTGATTCGCAATCAATACGTGGTTGCAGTAGAAATGGTAAAACACATAATTTAGCAGTCTCATCCAATAAAACGATTCGTGATAGTATCAAATCCATGAGTTCGGTTCCAATTACACATTCGTCAAATTCACGAAGCCGATCGACCAAGCCGGTGAAGAATGTCTGCTTTTCCATTTGATTTTTCAACGGAATCTCTGATAAAAATGAATGTATTAATATGAAGTCTTGATTAAAGTAGGAATGTTGAAGAATCGCTGACAAACTTGGTCTTGCTTTGGCATTTGCATTTCTCAAGTGTTCAACGCAAAATTTTCGAAATTCAGTTGAACTAGTTTTTCGATTGCTCAGTATTTCTTCACAGAGAACACCAAAAGCAAATGATTCAATTGCCTGAATTGTATCACGTTTGGTTTCATCTTTATCCAAACAATTTATGTATCGATACGGCTGAGATCGTTCGAGTAATGTATGATTAACCTCTTTTTTAGACCATAAATGTTCAAAGCCACCCAAGCGCCAGGATCCGTTTGAATTGACATAAATCGAAGACGTACATACATTCAAATGACACATATTCGCTTTTTCAACCAGAAATATTAACGCACATAAAATATTTCGAAGACCAAGACAAATTTGTGTGTCATTTTGTGTGGCCAGTACCAATGACAATGGTTTACATCGTTCCGTGGCCAAATAATGTACAGATCCTTTTTCCCATGATGTGATGAATCGTAAAATTGATGGATGACGGTAAAGCATGAAATTTCGAGTTGCACGTTCCAGTGGGCTTTTATTTGTCCATAACTGGCCTTTTACAACTTGTTCACCTTGGAATATTGTTATCGCTGTTGTTGGTTTGTTTTCGTTCTTCAATTCACCATTGTAAATAGACCAAAAATCTGTTGAATCGATGGCTTTTTTATCCACTTCCAATCCTTTTATATGCGATTGATCGTTTCCCATAGTTAGAAAACGTTCCGTATCATTAATTTTAAGACTGATTTTCAATTTGTAATTTTAAGAAACACACATTTTTTATTTACTTTCAGCCGTTTTTGGTGACGTAAACGTCAATTAATACTGTTTTACAGTGATTTGACAGTTGTTAATGTAACCAATGTATATGTGGTGCTTACACCATTGAAATCAAACGATTTATTCGATGGTGATGACTTATATATTTGCTTTGCATTTCCAACCTCACTTTTTCCTACATGAACATCAATTCTACGGCAATTGAATTTTTACATGAAATGAAAGTCAATTATTTTAATTTTTTATTCCAAATGACAATTTCTTTATTACTTTAGCTTAATATATTCGAAAATAATTTTTGTTGCATTATGCATGTTGGATAAATGAACTTTTCTTTGTTGTTTAAATGAAATTCAATTTCTTTTCGGCCATAGTATGGGGCTGACACAAGCGTTCGGAGAATTCTTCGGTGCCAAGGAAATTGCTGAAATCGATGGTTTCATCACGGCCAGTAATCACATCCAAATGAAGTCGGCTTGATGGCAAGAATGGCAAACGTCCAACCTTTTTATATGCTTGCATTTCCATCATGATTCGCATTGGTGCAGCTATACCTTCGTTACGTCGCAACATTTGCAAATTGGTCTCAAGTTCACGCTGTGCAAATGTTTCTTCAGATGCTTTTAATGGATGGTCACTGAGTGATCGAGTTGTTACCTTGATTTTATCAGCCATTTCTTTTTGTATTTTTAGCAAAACAATACTTGTGTTGAATTTTCGGAATTGAAGTGATAGTTCGGTTTGTATTCAGTATGACAAATCACTTTTTGTTGTCTTTCCATACAAACATAAAGGTTGTCTCGGTTGAGATGTTTGACATTTCTCATATTACGTATTCTGTATTTTTACAAATACGCATACGTATACGTATCTAACCAATAACGTAAGTAATAAAATAAATTTGCCGACCAATTTAAAATGGAATCGATTTTTTTATTTTTCGGGAATTTTTTTATAACATTATATATTTCTCATGCTTTAATTTGCTTTTGAATACTTGATCCAGTTTACGGCAATTCAAAAAAAAAATACTTAGAATACGTTTAACGCACAAATTAACAAAATAAAATGAAATAAAATATAATGTAGATGAATTCATATGGTGTAATTCAATGTGCAGCAATGCTCAATGGCTCAATTTGGTATGGATCTATTTTGTTTTTGATGCTCGTTCGGGGAGAATTCGGGTTGGTTGCAATGAACTGCGTGGCCGTTTCGTTTTCGGTTCAATGCTGCCGTAATCAGAATTTTCTTTTTCTGATGTTTCTTCAAACAAAGCATTGGGGTTGTAAAGCTTACGGGCTCGTGAACGCTTTGTTCGTCTTTTTGGTTTCTTTTCTCGTAGCCGCCTCTGTACCTCCTCATATTCCAATAGTTCTGCGCTGGGCGGTTTTCTAAAACGTGGACGTTTTCGGTTCACATCACGGGGTGCCATATGTATGGGCTGCATTGACATTTTGATTTCTTCTATACGCTGAAATTGACAATAATAAACATGTTTTAATTTTTTTTCAATGAATTGAAAAACCAGTTCTATCACCTTTTGAAACCGTTCGTTTGCAGTTCTTGGCGATAGTTCTCGAATAATGGATTCATCCGAATGAAATTCAATTGGCTGTGGTAATGATGGTGTAGCCTGAATGTTTGTTTTTTTAACTTTTTTTGATGTTTTACTTCGACTTTTATGTGCCAGATCATTTGGTTTCATTCGTGTTAATTTTAAATGCGGTTGCCATTGCCACGACATATAGTCTATTCCAGACGCATCAATCTGGCGATTCATCTTTAGTTCCTTCGATTCGGCCTGATTACTTGAATGAGCTGTGCCTTCAACCTGAATTGATAGAATGGAATATTATTATTATTGCTGTTTTGAGGTTTTCCAATGACTTGCTTCTCTGAAACCGCATGGTCTTAATTTAATTTGATATTACCTTGAAACCACTGAGACTCTTATCGTCATTCATTTTTGTTCCTTTTTCAGTCTGCAATGGCTGGGAATAGTCTTCGATCGAATCATCACTTATTTCGATTATGTCGCCGCACTCGGTTGCTTCATCGTCAATTTGTATGGGCTCAAGTTCAGAATATTGTTCAATAACAACGTAATTGTTGTTTTCTACTTTACTTGAATCATTATAATTTGTATTGACCATTTGTTGAAGCCGCAAACTGTGAGAAACAGAAACTTGATTCGATAGATTCGGTTGATTTTCGGATGTTTTGTCGCTGACAACTTTAATCGGTGTGCTATGATTGTTCGAACTCATATTCTTAAAAATTGACTCTTCCAACACATTTGATTGCACTTCGATACCGTTGGATTTTATCATTTCTGCTACAAATAGAGACGAGAAAAATAGCAGACAAGATCACCGTGAATATTAAATAGTACAATCTCAGTTTTGGATATAATCTCAACCGAAGTTATTGTTGCACCGAAAAATCACTGTTTCGTTTTTGACAGTAGAACATACAAAAATTTCGCGCTTTTACACGAAAAAAAAAATACTGTCAAAATACGCATTTTGAAATGCCATTCAGTTGAAATAAAACAACAACACACGTTTCAATATATATTACGACATATTTATACAATTGAATCGGTAAGAATATATTGGAAATAGGTATCGATATCACTTGCATTGAAGTATATAGAAATCCTTAATCATGTCAATATCCATACCTGATCTATCCCACTTTTTTCTGAAATGCAGTGAAATAGAATAACTGATAAAGAAGTGCAAAATAAGAAAAACTCGTTTTAAAGCGCACACTCTAAACACTTTTGACGATTCTCCTTTAACAAGATTGTTTGTTGTGCATTTATATGAGTGTGTCTTTCTTCCGAAACACTTGAATCGTCATAAGAATCAAAGCAGACGGCACACAAGTTTGTGTATAACAACATATTCATTGAGCATATATGTATGGCAACACCAAAATTGTTAGCACAGTTCACATTGCCAAACTAAACAATTCAGAATTTAACATTGATTATCAACAAATATCAAAAATACATTTGTTTCTCTCGAATCGTTTAGCACGGCAACAAACTAATTGAAATCAAGTTTTTTTTTCACAATTGAAAAGACATGAAGAAAATGTCGCTCTACGGTAATTGTTTATCGTATTTCAAAACTATCAGTTTTACCCATGTATATGTGTCGCATGCACATACAAACGAAAGACACTCCGAACATTAAGTTGAAAAAAAAAAACGTTCGCAGAAAGTGTGTTGGTCGAACAACAGCCAAAGCAAGTAGCTAAACCGTTGTTGCACCGATTTGCTTTGAACTTACACTTGAAACGCAGCAATGACAATCAACTTAACTAGTTAGCACGACATTTAAAAGTTTTATTGTTTATATTGTATTGGTGTAGTGGTCGGGACTTTTTAAGCGACTCATCACACAACTTGCAACTGATGGTGTTTATCGAGACATTTATAAATAAAATAAATAAATAGCAGTGTTTTCTTCTAAACAGATACTATTCGATCTTGAAGAATTTTTGTTACATCAAACTAGAATGATATTGAAAATAATGGGAAAGCGCACGTTATATTTATTTGTGATAGTTTTGTGTTGTTTATTTCAATTGGGTTTGATGCAACAATATCGCAGAAAAATTCAAAGTGAAACACGCATAAAATTGCCAAGCGACATTGCATTTACGCACGAAAGCAATGGAGATATTGAGGGTGAAGCTTGTTTTAATTTGGTTCGTCATACAAACGGTATTTGTACGTTGCCGAATCAATGTCCAGAGGCGATACGTGATTTTCAAAAGGGAATTCAACCGCAGATTTGTAATTACAAAGGTCATTTACCAATCATTTGCTGCCCACGTTCAAAAAAACCGGTCAACGTTCCCATCCAATTTCCCATATCGTCAACTTTGAGACCTGCAGCACAACCGAACATTCCATTAACACCAATACCAACGGAAACCGTATCATCGTTGCCAGTAAATCCACCATCACCATCACCACCACAACCTTCATCACCCAATTCTGACAAATCATCACGCGTCAGTGAACAGAAATGCAAACAATATATGAAATTAATGATTGAAGAAAGTGTTGTTACTACATTATCACTGAATCCGGAAAATCGAACCGTACAAAAAACCAAATGTGCCAAATCAAGTAGCGAAGGATTTATAGTAGGTGGAATGAAATCTGAAGCAGGTGAATTTCCGCACATGGCTGTTATTGGGTGGCAACAAGATGAAAATGGTCCAATCAATTGGAATTGTGGCGGTTCGTTAATAAGGTATTAAACATTAGATTGGACATACAATTTTATGACAATATGATGAATTGATGAATCATATTTTTATTTTATTTTCAATTTAGTTATCGTTTTGTTCTCTCAGCGGCTCATTGTGTTTCCTGGCGTGGAATAAAACCGAAAATTATTCGATTGGGTGCACAAAATCTTAATAAATCACATGATTCTAATGTTGTTGATTTTGGCATAGCACAAGCAATGCGTCATCCGAGCTATAAACCTTCATCAAAATACCATGATATTGCTTTATTCGAATTGGATCGAGACGTTCACATAAGTGATTACATTAGACCAGCTTGTTTATGGCAACGATTTGATGTTAATTATACGAGTGGAGTTGCAACTGGCTGGGGATTAACTCGCGATCGAGGCCGTCCATCGGACGAATTGCTTAAAGTTCAATTAAATATCATTACAAATGAACGATGTGATGGGTTTTACCAACGATTTGGTGCTTTGAAAAATGGCATAATCGACTCACAATTTTGTGCCGGTCATGATACCGAAGAAAGAGACACGTGCAACGGAGATTCAGGTAAATACCTAATTTTCAAAACTAATAATATTAAGTAACCACATCATTTACATAATTTTCAATTGATTAATGAATGCAAAAATTAAATTACAGGCGGTCCAATGCAAGTTGCAACACCGAACTCAGACTGCACATATCATTTGATTGGCGTAACGAGTTTTGGCCAGGGTTGTGGAAATGGATATGGCGTTTATACACGCGTTTCAGAGTATTTAGATTGGATTGAAAGTGTTGTTTGGAAAGATTCAAACTAATTATACGGAGTAGGACATGAAAATTCAATTGATTTCATCTGATTGAAACAATTATTTTCATTTTATAAATTTAAAGATACTGAATATTCTTTTTTGACATTTACTATTTTATGGTATGCATAATGTTTGCATAAACTCTATTTTCAAAGAACAAAAATTGTATTTTTTCTTCAAAAAAATAAATAAATAAGAGAAAAAACAAATGTTCGAACGATTTCATTAAAACGAAAAACAGTATCGGAATGCTATTATGAACAGACCTTAATTCGATGTATGAAATACGTAAAACACAATACGAAACCGCATTGACATTTCGTAGTCGAATGTGATCTGTCAAACGTCAACTTCCGCGTACCAATACGTACCATATCCAACGTGTACTGAGTGCCATATTGAAAACCTTCTTTTCGTGTCACCATTGAAACCGCGAACACATATTTCGTGCTGGTGCGGTGTTTTGAGTAAAGATTATTTAAAATGGTGAGCATTAATCCAAATAATATTAACTGCAATCAATAGTGGGCAGTGTGCTGATTTCAAATCTATAAATATTTTAATAGTTTCTCAAGTGATTCCCCAAATTAATTTTGATTAAAAATTTGATTTTTCAAAATCCATTCTTTTTCACCATAGCTATACCGTGTAACCTCAAATATGATCCTATTGTATTCAATTGCACCAAAGAAGTTTAGGTGGAAAAATTAAGTGAATAAATTGTAATATTGTGTTTTATTGTTTTATTTCACAGGGTTTCGTTAAAGTCGTTAAGAACAAACAATACTTCAAGCGTTACCAAGTTAAATTCAAGCGGCGCCGTGAGGGAAAGACCGACTACTATGCTCGTAAACGCTTGATTTTCCAAGACAAAAACAAGTACAATACCCCCAAATACCGTTTGATTGTTCGTTTGTCCAATCGCGATGTTACTGCCCAAATTGCATACTCACGTATCGAAGGTGATCGCGTTGTATGCGCTGCCTACTCGCACGAATTGCCGAAATACGGTGTCAAGGTAAGTACAAAACATGTGATCTACAGTTATATGATTTTTTTCTGCAACGATTACATTCATAATTTTTTGTGTTTACTTTCATAAATAGGTTGGTTTAACCAACTATGCTGCATCATACTGTACTGGTTTGTTGGTGGCTCGCCGTATTTTGCAAAAATTGGGCTTGGACTCACTTTACAGTGGTTGCACCGAAGTTACAGGTTAGTTATAACCGTCATCAAAATCATCTAATATAATTTTACAGAGCAATAAATATTCACGCCGTTTATTCTCTTTCAATCGTTTGTAGGTGAAGAGTACAACGTTGAGCCATTGGACGATGGTCCAGGTGCTTTCCGTTGTTTCTTAGATGTTGGTTTGGCACGTACCTCAACTGGTGCTCGTTGCTTCGGCGCCATGAAAGGAGCTGTTGATGGTGGTTTAAACATACCACATTCAGTCAAACGTTTCCCAGGATACAGTGCTGAGTCAAAGAGCTTCAATGCTTCAGTTCACCGTGCTCACATCTTCGGTCAACACGTTGCCGACTACATGCGTACTTTGGAAGAAGAAGACAACGAAGCCTTCAAACGTCAATTCAGCCGCTACATTAACTTGGGCATTCGCGCTGATGATGTAAGTACAATTTTTTACTATTTTTCTTTGATCCATCAACGCAACGATGCAGTTTGTGTTCATACAATTAAATGTCATTTTTTTATGCTTTACGTCCATTTCCTAATTACCGAAATCACATGTCTTCGTACAATTTCGGTGCCGAAAATGGACTACAGCAACCATTAGAAATAATCTGTTCGATGTTCTTTTATCCAAATATATTGAACGTCCTGAGATTAAATCACATTCTCATCCGCAATAAAAAAAAAAACATATGAATTTGGTGTAATATTGAAAATTAATGCATATTTTGTATGTTATTCTATTTTCAGTTGGAAAGCATCTACAAAAAAGCTCACGCTTCCATTCGCGCTGATCCTTCACACCAAAAGAAGGAACACAAGAAACCCGCTACCAAGAAACGCTGGAACGAACCCAAACTTACACTTCAACAACGTAAGGATAAGGTTGCTGCACGCAAAGCGGCTTTCATTGCCAAGCTCAAGGCAGAAGCTGAAGCATAAACGAACCGTTTGCATTCGAATTGCATCTAGCAAAAAATATGAATTCATATTAAACAAGTTCTTTTTATTTTATTATAATATCCATTATATATAATGCATATATATCAATACACAAATAATCACGATCAATGTGTTTATTGAATAAAATAAAAAAAACATCGCTGAGAAAAAAACATTAAATAAATTAGTTAAGTTCTTTTTGGCAATTTTAATTTATTATATAAGAAATAAAACACAGAAGAAACATTATATTGTTTCATATAACTTAAAACGTCTTTTTTGGCGCACATCACTCAACTTTTCATCACTCAATGCGGATTGCATTCAATAAATGGTAAAGTATAAAATTAATTTTGCATTTGGTTCAACTTCATCGGCTGCACCACGGTAATACTTTTCTTGTGATATTTTTCACACAATTGATTTTCAGCATTACTTATCGATCTGTTTTGATTGTTTTTTTTTTTGTCATTTACTTGTCTTCATCCTTTCAAAATTTCATACCGAAATTCGAAAAGTTGAACAACTTTATAGCAGCATATCTTTTCTGAATTATCTTCATGCTCAAGTATGCGTATGGTTATAAGTGTCCAATGAACTGAGGTTATATCGCCTTTATCTTCATTTTTACCTTAAGATTAAAAGTTAAAAAGTTCCGATTATGAACAGAATTTGTATTTCACGAATAATTTAATATTTTTATGAGCTTTTCCTGTTCGCCTCGATTTTTGTTTCCTTTTTCTTTAATTCGGTAACCGAAATTTGAAAGGTAATTGGAACAATTTGAATTTTATTTAAACAGAAACCAACCCATGGATTGCATAATCAAAACATTCGATTGCTACTTTCACTTAGAAATTTTCTTCTCAATTTAAGGCTCATTTGCGCACAAAATGCATTTTTAAGTAAAATAAACAGACATTAGGTTTGAGCTATGGATATAGCGGCCGCTATTTCATAGGTGCTATTCATAGGCGCTATTTATCTCGTTTTAATGCATTTATGCATATTGTGCGTTATTTTCTACATCTCTCTCGTACTCACATTCAAATGTACAAAAGAATAGTAGGCTATGATATTCCTACTCGGTGTTACACACAGCACACGAATTAAATAGCGCCTATGAATAGCACCTATAAAATAGCAGCCGCTATATGCATAGCTCGAGCCTAATGTCTGAAAATAAATAATGAATATGGCAATAACTAGCGAGAATTGTGAAAGACCTCTCTCACTTTCTGTCTGCACTCATCAAAAGCATTACTTTTAAGGGTATTTTATTTGCATTACTTTTAAGGGTAAATCCATGAAAAAAAAAATCCAAATTACTGTAATAAAACGACGGAAAAAAGAAAAAAATCTTTTTTGTATTATTCTATATTATGAAAATTCGGTCAAATCCGAATGAATCAGGGTGACTTGGCTAGCTTAATCAAACATCAAGCAATATTCAAGGAAAAATCATGAGTTCAATATTTTAACTTGATTTAAATTTCGCTGGATCGCTTTGGTTCGTTAACAGAAAGGATTAATAACATTGATACAGTTTTCAAAGCCATAAAAAGATTGGTGGAGTAATGGTGGAGTTCTTCTTGAAAGTCCTACTATTTTTTGTGTACAATAGTATACTGATTTGATTTGTGAAAATCGAACATTCGAAAAAGTTTATTAAAATGTTGGTGATGTGATTAACTTTCTAAAATAGTGGTTCAATCAACTGGTGGTTCGGGACCCGCTGGGGTCCGCGCAGTCTTCTAAAATGGGCCGCTAGCATATGAGTGTCCAATCAATTTAAAAATTAAAATTTAACGAACAAGGAACCATTTGTATACTTCAAATATAATTGTTGCATCAAAGCGTAAATTAAGCTGTTTTGTTCAGTAGAGTTTTTTTCCTAATCGTGATCCTTGAGTTCGCCCCAACAAAACATGATAGTTTTAAGATCATTTCACTTTGATTTGCGGCCAAATTTTGATTAAATCGATTTTTTAGCTAAAAACTTTTTAGGAAATAAACAAAATAAAAAATATATACACCAAAGCGATAGTTTTGACTGTTTGACACAAGAATGAATGTCACTGATCATGAAAATGTGAATGTGGAAACGTATTTACTTTTTATAAATCGTATAATATGTTAGCAGGCTTTGTTTATATCAAATTGCAGTACGGCGAAACGCATGCTGTTGAGTTTGCCTTACGGAATCAAGTTCTTGTGAATGTTTTCATTGTGTTGATATGCTCACGATGTGATGCTGATATGCGATGCGTTTTCTCTATTCGTAAAAGTCTTTGTTATGAAGTGACTGGATGTGTTTTACTCCTACATCTATATCTTGATGAATTCGGTTCTAGACACGATGTTCCCTCCCAATCAATTAGTTTGAAGACTAAATAGTAAATACATAATGTGAGATAACATATGATATATTTGCATCACATTCGAGCAAGTCACTTTCGAGTATCTTATTGAAACATATACCATTTTTTGTGCATAATTTGTGCCTAACAAATCCACATCGCACCGAATTTGTGCATGCAGGGGTAGCTCAGTAGTCCACTTCACTAATATTCTCTAAAACCACACAATGAGCGAAAATCGATTCGGATTAAAGAAGCCATAAGAAAACCATAGATTTATTGCCTAAAACGATAAAAAATGAAATTCGCATATAGTTGGCGCTGCATTTTTCTGTGACGATGAAAATAACACCAAAAATAGAGTTAAATAGAGTGCGTAACTCATTTTGAGGGGTAAAGCCTCTACTAGCACCGCAAGTGCGAGTAAGCGTACTCGAATACTTGTTTTTGTGAAGATATAGTGTATCTTATGAAGTGATAAGGATTAATCAAGTTTTACATTTATAACCCAATTTTATTTTGAAATTCAAACTTCAATTAAAAGTACATTCATGCAAAAATGCTTATAATCACTTTATTGGATATTTTTACTAAAAACCATTATTTTTTTACTTACTAATAGCAAAAATAGTGAAATTTGCGTGCTGCAGCAAAACCAAATGCTTTATTCCAATCGCGTGTTCTTTTTAATTCAAGCATTATGTCCATCATGTGATTCAATGGCAATGCTTTATTCATTCCACATCTACGATACTGTTTCAAGGGAAGACGTGCATGACGAATGATAAAAAACCGATATCCATTGCCAAGAATTGAATCTTTTGCTTTGGCAATTGATAATGGTTTTTTATCACCGCGATTAATAATGCTGCTAATTACGTAATGATCATCGTTATTGTACTCTCTCGATGCGTTTGGTGAATCGGGCGTGAGTATGACGAGTTTTTCTTTCTCGTATAATGACTTTATTGGATATTTTTACTAAAAACCAATGAATTTTCACTCATGCTTCGTAAGCTTCGATCGATGAAGTTAATCAGTCCAAGTTCATCGGTCTGAATGCACAATTTTTTAAAGGAATCTTTAGGAATTTGTTGCATTGCTTTCAAGACGGCATATAGTTTTGCATGGTTCGGTGATTGCCAGCGGTCAACACTTCCTTGTGAATTCCTATAGATGACGCAATATCAACCATGGCTTATATATAGTAAGCCATAGACCACTCGTTTGTTTACATTGTTGAATTTAATCATTTGGTTTTAAAGCAAACTCAAATTAAAAATTGTCGTGGAAATTTCACAAATTGATTTTTATTGGGATTTTAAATTGTTTAGGAAACCGATAAATTTATATAACAAAGAAATATTACAAACAATAGTAACCAAAAATCCAAATTGGAACCACCCTTTTGCGGTTTTATGTCGAAAACAGCGTTGTGCGATAAAAGCACCGACCCATCCACCCAACAGGCTAAGCAAATGAAGGTTAACTTCTGATACGCGATTTTTTCGCGCTCTTTTAGGTCTCATAGACTCTTCTTTATCGTATTTGTACACAAAAATGGTGACTACATTCAAGAGAATATACCACACAGCTATATAGCTCCATGGAATATAATCATCAAGAAATTTCTGGATATTCATGATAGATTTTAATATTTAAAATGGCAGCACAAAGTTTTCTAAAAAAATAAGTTAAATACGCATTAATTAAATTACTTTTGTTAAAAAAAATAGTTTTCACAGTATGAAAGACTCTTTTAATATTGAATATTTCACAATAATATTTCATTCTTACTTATAATGTCAGTTTTTTCACTTTCTCTTTCTTTTAAATTTATTCTTTCGGCATTTATAAAAACAAAATGATTGTTATGAAACAAAAATAAAATAAAATCTATAAAATATACAAACCAAAGTAATTAAATTGTTTGACGACAATCATTCGATAACAAAGGAAGAAATGCGTGTGAACTTAAATACACATTACGAGGTTTGTATATATCAAGTTGCGGTGGGGCGTTACGCTTATTGTAGCGTTTTCTATACGGATTCCAGTTATTACGTTCCGAATACGCAATGCGTTTTGTGCCAATATACTTATTTGTGCATTGTGAATTCTTTTTTAGTATATAAGACCATACCGTGTGGTCCATACATTGCATTTCTTTTGGTTGTGTAAAAAAAAGCATATCGTAACCAACACGTAAAGAATTGAATGCGTTGGTCGATTTTCGCCAAGAAGAAAAAGAATCCATATCACTGTTAATATGAATAAAATCGATGGAAATTCAAAAAAAAAACGTTCATTTGTATTATTCGGGTATTCGAGGCCGGGTGAGTTTTTGGCCTGGTTTTGGCATCGAAATCCAGGAATAATTCGGGTGACCTGGATGGCTTAATCATCAAGCAATATTCGAGTAAAAAATGGCGCATTTCAAAAATCTTGGGTTCGATCTTTCTATTTATCAGGAACTTGGTTCAAATTTCGCAGAGGATGTACATTGATACAGTTTTTACATTTAAATATGCCATTTTTTGTATAAAAAATAAATAAAGTCGAAAAATACAAATCCTCAAATTTACTTAAAGTTGAACAAGTGAACAAATCAACATTAGAAATTATAAGATCGTGCTCAAAATGTTCATAGAAGAATTTGTGAGGCATGCTCATTTTTCGCCATAAAAGGAATGGTAGAGTTCTTCTTGAAAGTCCTACTATTTGTACACAATAGTTTACTGATTTGATTTGTGAGAATTGAACATTCGAAAGATTTAATCAAAATATTGGTGAAGTGATTTACTTTTAAAAATAACCAAATAATAACTTTTTCTAGCGGTCTATCCGATTTAATTATGAATTTTTTAAGATTTGAAGCCGTTTTTATGCTAAGTTTAACTAAAAATGAGTGTTCCAACAAGCGTCACTCCAAGGAAAGAAGTATGTTACCCATGTAGGAAAAAAATATCGTTTTTGCAAAGTAATGAAACGAAAACCGCAATAACACCTTTTTACTTGAATTTGAATTCTAAATTTGAATACTAAAATAATGAAGTGACTTACAATATCAAAGTGTTGAAAAGACTGAAATAAACAAACATGATTTTCAAAACCGAAATGAAACGATCATATTTTAATAGTTCAATGATTTTTATTTTTTGTATTTTTTTGTTTCGCTTTATTTTTATTTTTTTTTATGAATTTGAAATTTGTATTCTGCAGTGTTAGCTGGTTTTCTTTTTCACTGACTGTTCGTCTCATACAATTCATATTTCCATAGACAATAAGGATAGTTATTACAGTATCATCGTTTATCGTCAACATCAGTAATCGATCAATAATCGGTTTAAAAATTTGCGCAATCTATGTCAAAAAAAGATTCACTGTTATTAGTTTAACTGAATTTTAGTTCAGCATTGTGTCCGGTTGCAAAAGACTCTCTTATGAACTAAAAAAAGCTAGCGAAAAATGTATCACTGGCGCATCTATTAATGTTTGTTTTTTAAAATGTTACATGTTCGTTATGAATTTGAAGCAGTGTGTCTTGTCTTGTTTTGTCTTCAAAAGTGAGTTTTGTTTTATAGAAAAAGAAATTGGCGAATTTCATTCATCTTCCAACATTGAAAATAAGTTCTTTTCTTGTCATTCTGTAACTTACAAGTTAAAATCTGCCACTGCATATAGCTTATTAAATCTCCATGCAATATCAGACAGCGATTACGTACCGCTTTATCGTGTATGAAATCTTTGACAACAAATTCTATTTCCACTTTAAGTTTGAACCCTTAACCTATGAGTTAAATGCTCATGTATTTGAACATCATCTGGCCAATGAACTTACTGTCAATTGTTTCATATAAAATAAATTGGGTCCAAATGTCTGCCAAAATTTACAAATGTCAGATTTTCATTTCCAAGTTAAATCGAGAAATTGCTTATTTTCAATTTTGCTGAGAGGTTCGGATGATCGCGATTTGGCTATAAAACAATTAGATTGTTGAAATTGTTTTGCTGCGTTTAATATATAGTACTTTGAGTCACGGGCGGCTTGTTTTAGTTTAAAACTTTTCGTTAGCTTCAAAATTGTGTTTTTGTAACAATGATAATAACTTGTAATATACATTTGCACTTCACCAATCAATATGTACACATTCTCGATTCTCAGTTTATTATTATTTTTTAATGCAAAATGTAGAAATAGGTACGAATCATGCTCATTTAAAAAAAAACGGTAACAGTTTTACATTCAAATGGATAGTGATAATAGATGGAAAAATAGAAGAGATTTTGATGCATTTTTTTTTTCAATTATTTATTACTTGTTTTTGTTATTCTCTCAAGAAAAAAAAAACGTGTTTAAGCTATTTGCTTTTTGGACGTAGAGAATTAAATCGATGAAATAGTATAATTTACAGTTCGTGCAAAATGAGAAAAAATAACAACCAAACAAACTAACAAATTTCATTCATTTTAGCATTAGAATGTGCACTAAGTTAAACTGAAACACTTATGAAATTTGTCCGTTTTCCTCTATATCGTTTTTGTTCTGTTTTTTTTTTTTGGTATCATTCAAATTTTCTCCTGTTTTTTTTTTTCTTTTCGGCCATTCTGATTTTTTTATGCATTATAGTACAGAATTCGAATAGAAATTGACATATTTCACTGCGAGAAGTGCATCGATTTACATTTGATTTTGCGTTTTCTTGGTTTCAACCGTTCTCTTGATCGGTTGGATTATGTTTTGATGTTTTCGGCATTTTTTTTAGTAGATATCGTTTTTATTTATGTTCTTTTCTTGCTGTGGCATAACCAAAATGGCTCACGATTGATGGAATTCGTTGCATTTGGTAAGAATCAATTACTGTTACTATCATAGATCAATTCAGGTCCCTGTCTTCTAAGTACTTATATTCAAACGTAAAACCTTCCTTCTTGCGTTGGCCCCATTTTTCGTAGTCGAAATAAATGTAAGTGCCCTGATAGACATGAGAAAAAAAAGACACAAGAAAATGAGTTTAATTTTGATAACATAGTGTATTTGTATTATTAATTTACCTGTTCGAATTCTTCATTGATGATTTTTGGTTCCTCATGTCGTTGGAACCACATCATGTACTTTGTATGGAATCTCCAGCTTTGTTTTTTCAACGCTTTTGCCGCCAAGAATTGCGCCTTTGTTCCTTCCATGTAGTAAAATATAAAAAATCTACCAAGAAAGTCAACGTTAAAATTCAAAAATCGATCAATTTAAAATTTATCTTTCTTTAAATACTTACAGAGTTTCCGTAGAAAGACGTTGGAAAAATTCAAATGTATCCGAATGTGGTAATTGATTCTGCGAAAAGAACACAACATTTTTGTTATAAAATCAATTTCATTTGTTTTTCTCATAGAAATATTCGTTGTTTGAAAGTGATTCTTTTTTAAAAAAAAAAAGATTTTTACCTGAGGATAACTTGCTGGCGTTTGAACTGGTTGTCTTTGAAGATAGGTCCGAAGTCGTTCTGAATCCATGGGAGTCGGTAAATGGTATTCAGCTGCTTCCATCATTTGGAATTGTAGTTGGTGCTCTTTTTTCAGCGGGCATGGGCCAAGCGGTGCAACACCTAACAGCGGTGGTATATGCGCTTCATTTGTACCGGTTCCAATGACATTTGTTTTTAGCAAACTATTCGCATTTATTGCATTGTTATTATGATTGGACCCACTATGTGGTCCATTTGTTTGCATATTTGTGTCGTTGGAAAATAACTGCACACGGCTATCCACAAGCGTTGATGCTAATGATGTACTCGTTTGCAAATTCGATGATGATAATATTGAGTTGTTATCGAGACCAGTTGCGCGATTGATTGCTTCTTGGGCAATCGTTTTGAGCGTTGACATCGAATCCGTATTGGCCAATGAATTCGGAACAATTTGCGGTTGCTTAAGATTTCCCAACGCTGACGAAATCTGTGCAAAATAAAATCGCACCCGATTAAATGATACCGAAAAAATTTCAAGCTTTGCACAGAAAATGAAAAATACATTGATGAGCGAAGTTACTTACAATGGAATTGGTCGGAGATACTGAATTCGTAATCGAATTGTTTATGGTTGTTGATGTTGTAGTTAGGTTGTTATTTGTAATGGAAGTGAAAATCGCATGACTGTCAAGTGCACTAGGGACATTGTTGCCGCTCGTTACCGATGTCAGCAAACCCTGGTGTTGCGATGTAACTACACTATTGCTACTGCTTGTATTGTTATTTTGAATGTTGCTTTGTCGTACAGCTCCGTTTTCGGCATTCGATTGCTGAAAATCCAAAATACATATTAGTTCAATTCAATGTCACCCTTTAAGTGATTGTGTATCAATGAATATTATGTGTACCTGTTGTTGTGATGGATTTATCACAGACGATGCTTGATGCGAGGCAGTCTGATTCGTATGACTCGTTGCCGTAGAGATAGCTGTCGATGCAAATGCTGAATATAGTTGACCTGTTGTGAAAAAAAAAACAAAAGAAAATGTGAACAACTGTCGCCGGCATAAATCGACGAGTGTGCATATTGAATTACCTTCGTTTGTTGTGTGCTGTGATGTACTGTGTTTTGCAACGGCAGCAAACGCAACGGAGGCAGTTGTCGGAATTATGCTGTTTTGTATAGGTTGTTGATCTCGTGTTAAAATGGTTTGTTTATTTGCATGAGAATGGTTTTCATCACGCGCCGAAGATGATTGATTTTGTGAAGAGGCACCGCTACTGACCGTACTAGCCGTTGATGTGACTATAGCGCTTGAAATTGTTGACGGTGTCGTTGACACTCCAGATGTATTCAGTTGTGCTGAAATGGGTGTTGCGGGCGAATTATTATGCGATTGATTCTTAATAGGCGTTGAACACACAGTCTTGCTTTGTGTCGACGACGTACTATTCAGTGTGGAGTTCAGATCCGATTTGTTGGCGCGAACTGCCGTCGGTTTTACGGGCTAATCAATACAAAGGAAGAAATATTAAAGCCAAAATGCATATGATTCTAAATTGATTTCTAAATTTTGAACTTACTGTTACTTTACTTCCAATGGTCAAGTTATCGCTTTTTCCTTTCTTCTCATTGAATTCCACGGAGGTTGATTCATTGATGTGATTGAAATTAGTCGGCGAAACAACCGGACTTGAGCCAGAGATCAGACTGCTTGGTGAATCGCCTGTATCGTTGCTGTTATTGCTATCAGTCGTTGATGGTAAATTGCCACCGGACAATTCTACCTCATCCAGGCCGATGATGTCGTCGTACATGTATGAATTTTCTTCAAAGTCCGGCTCTTGTGATGATTCAATATAATACTCCACATCGTCTTTAATACGCCGCACTTGTTCCACTTCAACACTGTCATTATCAAGCATACGAAGCAGTGTTTCCAGTTTTGCTATGTGAAATTTGTGTCGTTCAAATTTTGTTTTTAAATCATCCATTCGATCTTGTTTGTCTTTGTCGAGTCGCTTCTTCTTGCCCACTACTAGAGATTCCATCTCACTTTCATACAACTCGATTTGTATCTGAAGAGCACTAATCGATGTTGTTAACCACTGTCGCACCTCGTCTTTTACACGTTGAGCAGGATCCAGTTTTTGTGCGGCACCAAGACCTTCTTTTGAATAGGCTTTCGTTTTTGTTTCTCGTTCCACCACTTTGAAACGTTCCATTTGCTGTTGATGAAATTAAATTGAATTGTTTTTTAAATGTTTGAAAGTGAAAAACATGAGAATTAAATTGAAAAAAAAAATGCCTCACCGTTTCGATAAGCCTTCGATTTTCGAGCAGGGAACTTTTATCTTTGATCTCAGCGCTGGCAATCCATGATTTAATCTGATCGCGCAACCGTTGCAACTTTTTGATTTCTTTTTTAAGATCCGCTTCATATTTCTCCTTTTGGTTACTATTCGTAGCATTGTGGACTTTCTGCCAAATATCCTCAAATGTATCAACTCCTTCTGTTACTTTTTTCAGGCATCTGTCTATTTCACCTGTTCAAATTGAAATAAAATATCGTATAAATTCAGTGTTATTCAACAGAATTAAAGCTAAACACTTAGAACCAAAAATGACAAACATTTCACTTTCCACGACATCGTTTTTATATGTCTTCTTTAATGAAATCGATATTATTTTAACACTTTAATTCGCGTCAATTGAAATGTAATGTATAACCGATTATTGTTTGGAGATCAATTGACTCAAACAAAATCAATTCATAATGATCAATCAATAATTATGCTCAATTTTCCCTATTGAAACTACGCCGTTGAAAGACGATTTGACATATACACGTACTGGATTCGAATTGAAAGTGAAAGAGTTTAATTTTATTTGCTCGAACCGAAAAAAAAGTCAAAGCGGCTTTTAACCGCATTGCATTGAATAGAAGTATATAGTCTACGACGTCTATATACAAACACAAGAGTGTTGACAGTTAAGCCAAATAACCCAATACAATTGAGTGTAATTATGTCAATTGTGCAAATTTACAAGAACTTGAAAACGATGCTCATTTGTTTTGTTTCAGCTTCACATCGGTGTGCACATAAGCGCGCACTCACACACACACAAATGCTGGTTGCACGTAATAGCACTGCTTCCTAATTTCATATTACCAAAACGACACACAAGTGCAGACACAGCGAATTACAATATAAGAAAAACACACCAATGAAAAAAAAAGAACTAACAAACCGCAATGGTAATCACAATTCACATCAAAGCCTTATAATGGCTTATATACTAAATGGATATGTTTAATTTTCATCGACGTAATCGAAATATAAACATTTTTAATTCACAAATAAAAACTGAATTAAACACTTGTTTTAAATGGTCAGAATCGATAACCATTATAAACAACACAAGATAAAATGCAAGATTATTCCTTACCTTGCAACTTTCGCGTCGCAGCCATAGCTATGTTAAACTTTTGTATAATAAATACTCAGACATAGTCTACTTATCCACGACAAAATAAAAAATATTATATGCGTTTTGTTGCAGTGACTTATCGAATAGTATGTATACGCTTATTGAGTAAATCGCTGAATTGAATAACGAAGCGAAATAGAAATTGTAAATATTTTGGGCCTTAATTGCGGGAAAAATCCGTAAATTTTGTCGAGGGAGAAAAAACAATTTCGATTATTTTCTACAAAAAAAAATCTGCAGAGAGATGATATTACATCCAAGATGGCTGACTATGTGTTTCATGCGCAACTAAAATGCTTACTGACAGTTCGCGGTTGGACTATTACGAATATTTGAACCGCTCAACAAACGTCACTCTTCAGTGAAACGTAACATTTAAAAAAAAAAAATTAAATGATTTGTTATAGAAAAAAATTTAAATCACTTTACGATGCGAAATGTTCAATAATATCCAGGATGCAACATAATTTATGCATTTGATTTTGATATTCAATTAAAGTGTATCAATGAATATCTCCCGGTGTTCGCATTCAAGTGAAAGATTACGTGTTACCACAGTAGTTTATTCATAATAGCTATTCCATTGACCAATGACCGTCATAATATTTTGAATTGAGCTAACGAATCAAATGTTAGTATTTGCGCAATGTCTTGGAAAAAAAATGCCACTTTATACAACCTATAATTATATTTTATTAATATTTTTATGAAGTCTCACTTTTAATTACATTGTATTTAAATGAAAAACATATAAACTACATTTCGTTTGATTGTTCACTACCATAATCATTTCATTTTCATATATTTTTCTATGTGGGTACTCTTGTTTTTGTTGCCAAGATAAATAATTGAATGGTGTTTAATTTTTATGAAATTTAAGATTTTTAAATAATTATTTAAAATATTGAAAAAGCGAATTTCAAAAAAGCATCCCCAAATGCATGAGGTTATATATAAACAGAATATCGAATGCACTATTTTGATTTGTCTTATATATCGGTGTTATGCGTCAAAGTCTCATCGTTAAGTTGGTAAATACTGTCTATCTCTCATCTTATTTTATTTGAGTGTGTATGTTTCTGATACATTTTGTACATTTATTTTAACGGTATATAATAATCATAATTATAATGTATATATTTTATTTCATTTTATTTGCTAAAAATTCATACATTCAGAATGCATTAACACACCAAAATAGTATTGTGTATTTTATTTAATGTCGAATATCGATGAGATTCGTAATGCAATAATAATTTGCCGCATGTGGGGGAAGGATCGCAAAAAATGTTTTGTTTTGATTGAAATCAACAAATCTGAAACCATTTTTGTCACTTTACATTCTTTTAGACCAATGCACAAACCCGAAAATTTGCTTCCAAAAAGATAGTCATCATCAGTTTTTCTTATAATTTCAATTTAAAAAATAAACACTTTGATACCTACAATATATTCAATCAAATGTTCAAAAATAGCTATTTCACACAAATTAAAATGAACATTGACAAAGATAAGACGATTTTAAAAAAGATATCATAACATATTTAAATAGATTATGTGTAGTCATAGCCAAACTGCGTATTACAATTAAAGGTCATTTATAAGTAAAAATATCTAAATCTCAGAATTATCTGATTTTATCTGTGTAGTGTACACAGAGTGTAACATAAAGCCACCGCAGTCTGTCACAGTAGCCTATGAATACGAATTCATGTATAACAAATTGGGGGAAAAAATTTCGTGTTTGCTTGTATGTACTGTACTAAAGCGGGAAAAAAAACATTGGTTTAGAGATTCTCCATTTGCTTCTGTTCTAATTGATTTGGACAAATGGTTAACGATTATGAGGATCATCTGGATTGACATGAACTAGCTAAAGACATGGCAGATATGCCGGACTGGAGATTTGACATCGACCCTTTGTAATTTTCCGAAGATAATACTTCAAAGAAGAACATCAACTGAGCCGGTATATCACATGTAGATGGACAAATCCATTGCAATACATAGCTACCGGTGTGCGATAAAACGTGCGATCCCTGAAAATTAAAATTAAAAACGAAAAGAGATGGGATATTAGCTAAGAAGATATCATATTATGAAAATATTTCTCACCTGAACACTCTCTTTCTGATGGCAGTCAAGTGTCGGTTCGACACGGAAATAATCCTTCTCCTGCACGAACCCATCTGATTCGAAAATTGAACATAGCTTATCTGCAATAGACAAAACAATGATATTATTATTATTATTTATGTTTTTATCTCTTAGCTAGTTTTAAATTCATTTGGATGCAATAGATCACCTGGAACAGTTAACAAAGGTTTGTTCGTTCGATAAACGGTAAACTTGAGATTGCTGCGCAAAACATCAAAGTCCCAAGTCAGAATTGAATGGGGATCGTTATTTTTGATGACAACTTCATGAACTTGACCCGGTTTCAAGTCAACCGATTGATAAATGTGATGTCCATCATGTGTCGGCGAACCGATACCTTCTTCATCGCTCAGTGACTTATATAAAGACTTTGGAACAATTCCACCCTCGTGTAACAAGGTCTATTATTAAAAAAATGATTAGTTATCAAATGGACATCTTTAGGAAATGAAAGAAAAAATCATATCAAAACGATGAAAAAAAAAGAAACAGCAAACTGGTTCTAGCAGATGATTAAAACGAAATCTTGCAAAAGTGAGATATCAACTGAACTAAATTAAAAAGGGAAAAAGCTGTTGTTCTCAGCAAATTTACAACACCTCCACAGTTACAAGTAGTGTGTGTATGTGATGAAATCTGAACTTCATTGTCGCTATATACTGGAAACGTTACTACCGTGCAAAGCAATCGATTTGTTGTGCCTCTGATGAAAATTTATGACAAACGATAACGTAAGGAAAATGAACCAGTCTGGTCCATAAACAGTTTCGTACAATGATGTAAATTGATTGATGAGTGATAAAATCAAATTCAATGGTCTCCAGTGGAATATCATGTCTTGTTTTTCAATTTCGTGACTTATTTCTGTATGTGCAGCACACACAACATCAAACTTTTTTTTTCTGGGTGGGAAACACTAAAAATCATGGCTTGCAAATGAGATTGTATCCCACTAATAACAGTAATGAACATAGCGACATCGTGAACGATTTTAAATTAACGGTCAATAATTGTGTGATAGTATTTAAATATTGTGAATGTGATTTACCGTTCTGAATTTCTCTAAGCCTGAAGTTCTATATATATTTTAAATGAATGAAAAAAATGACGTTTTTATTTTTTATACAACACACACACATGCCTCAACAGAACTCAACGCACCATGATTGTGATATTGTAATGTATATATGTGTTTAAACAAACAAAATTGATTGATATTTTTGCTTTGCGGGCAATATGAGCGATAAAAATTATACATTTAATTTGAGTCTTCTTACACATTGGCATGGTATGAAATAGCAACGTGTGTATAAATGTATCGGCACCGGATCCATTGCTTTTGTGGAAATGTTATGCTAAAAACAATTGGTATTTCTTCGTTTGATTAGAGAAACATTGAATTGGAATGTAGTGGTTTCACATTTATAGAATTTAAATTGTTAATTTTTTCCTTTCATTTGTGTTTGAGTTTTTTCTTATATTTTTAGTCAATGATAACATTCAGAGAGATTAAATGACATTAGACACACTATGTATTGAAATAAAATACTTTAACTTACTGGGCAAGGTCCACCTAGAAAATTTAAAAATAAAAATATATTAATATTTTTTTTTTAAATAAAAATGTTGTTTTTTTATTTAATTACCAAGAAAGTCGGGTAGTATCCCCGAATCGATGTAATGTTCCAAGCCATCGTTTATATTGACACAGTCTGGGCCACCATAAAATAAGAACTTTGAGCGAGTATTTTCATCTGAAACGAAGCAGTTTATCAAAAAGGAATTTTATCCACGTTCATAGAATATAAAACCGAAAAAAAGTCAAGGCAATACTTACGTATGAATGTACTGACTATAGTCCATGCGATGGGAAATACACGTGGTGCTCTCACAATGAACACTCTGCCTAATGTTTCTGGATAATTTTTCTCCACAGTTTCGATGATTTTGAGTAGCGCTTTTACGCCAGGCCGCCATAAATGACGCATCGATAAACCTTCCAAATCGCATAACAGACTCCAATTGGTAACGGCTTTCCCAGTTTTATTCGATGCTTGTTCAATCAATTGCAAACCTTCTTCACAAATATGCAGTGCATGTTTTAAAAGAACTTCCTCGCCGATAGATTTCAACAATCCTTTAACATCCAAATGTCCCAATCGCAGTATGTAAATTGGACAATTTTGTTTATCGGTTTGATGCCAAGCGCCCAAAAAGTATTTCGTAATCACTGGTGGTGCTTTGTATTCGTTGAGCATTTGATCGATATTATTTTCTTCACGCCATTTCAACGATTCTTGTAGCATTTGCAGAGATTTATCCACATTAAAATCTCGAGCACGTAAAAATCGTAGAAGAGTTGAGTACGATGGTACCGGTTGTGTGCCAGCTAATGACTCTTTTATCTTATCATGAAGTTGTAATAATTTTGACTCTTGCATTGGTTCCATCGATCCTAAATGTTTCAGTATGTAATCACCGTCGAGCATTTCACTATATTCTGATACGGATGGTTTGCGCGAACAACCGCCATTCTCTTCGGCATCGTCACCATTTTCATCGATTTCAGATGATGCTGGCCAACGATCAACATGTGTGATGCCCTCATTTTTCAATTCTTCAATGAAATACTCAATGATTTCGCGACCTTTCAACGTCGTTTGTGTATACTGTTTCATGCCAATCTTTTCGATGGAATGTTCAAATCCAAAAAAGTTTTTTATATCCAATGTGGCCGTTTGATCGAAGCACGTCCAATCTGGATTCTCCGGATGCGCATAATAACGGCATCGTTCAAATATTTCAACTTTCGATGCATACGTTTCATTCACCGCTTCAATGTTCAGCGAACGTGCTCGCATATCAAGAAAATTATTTTGTATAAAGAATACATGATCCAATCCGATTGCTTTCTTCAAAAGGTATGGCGCATCAACGGCTAATTTACAACGACGACTCGTATTTTTTATTGCTCCACCATCTTTGATCTCTTCTTCGATTATAGAACAATCCAGCACGATGGGCATTTGAGGACATTTTGGGAACCTTCGTTCATACGCCTGTACTCGAGAAAAAAATAAATATATTATAAACAGAAGAATGTACTGTGCATGTCTTAATCGATACATTCTAATATCAAGGTTGTGTAAATTACGAAAAAAGTGAACGGTGGTCGGCGTTTGTCATTAAAAAAAGAACATTTAAATATCGGAAATAGCACATTCAGCCCACTCATAGACAAACATAGCAAAGACATTTGTGGTGTAATACGTTCGAACTTTAATGGCCTTATTATTTTCCATCTCCATTTAACGATTGAGAGTCCAATCGCAGTAAAATGTTAAAGAAACACTAAACTAAAAATAGATGTCAAACAAAAACACTTTGTCACAGGTAATGCTCCCCTTGCCATAATCAAATGTCACGCATTATGTTCAACACAGTGAACGTGAAATCAATTTTCCAGCCAGATCAAAATCAATTAAAAATTATGTGTTGATATTAGATACAAGTTGGCTCAATGCTTATTTATAATTTATGAATCATAAACATATGCGTTGATTAATCGCATAAGGACCATATCGAATCTATGACACAATCGGTTAAATGCATTTGAAAGCAAAAAAAAAAACAGAAAACGGAATGAACCTGTTGTACTAGCAATGGCGATAGTATTATAAATAATATTCGTAATCATAGTGAATACCTAACCATGGCCAGACTGCCACCCAAAGATAATATTGAAATTTAATTCGTGTCGTGTATTTACAATAGAAATAATCGCATTTGGACATTGTTTCCGCTACTTCCTATGTATTATCTATGAGTTGGTTAAATATTGTTATGGTTATCAAAAAAAGTGTTTATTTGTCTTCTTTCTTTTGATAGAGAACAATCAAAAGAAACAAAACAAATCAATTAAAATCACAGATTGAAGCGACTTTGTCCTGTTATACATTACTAAAGATGAAATGAATAATCTAGTGAACAAAACGAATTTATTCGTTTCTAATGTGGTTCAATTATCAGACACAAAGTACACCAAATCGATGAATGTCATGAAACCAGCCCACGGCAAATTATTGATTGCCTGTCAATTTGGAAAAAGAAGTGGGAGTAAAACAAGAATCAGCGCATATTTAATTTTGTATTTCGTTAATTATTTACACTTGTTTTACCGATAACGATAGCATCGTAAATTCAAACGACTGGCGATTCAACCACAATCGAAACACAACCACGATGGATATTTTTAACGCTTGTGTTACAACTGCTAACATTCTATTTTATTTACCGAACAAATAATATCGATCTTAATGCCACTGTGAATGGCAAGAGTAACGTGTCTTTCAGATGGTTCCAAATGGATGGACAGTCACTGGAAAATGAAATGATTTCTGTATATTTTAGTGAATGTAAAACCTTCATAAACTTTTTCCATGAGTAAATAGAATTTGTTGTTATTTTGTTATCATACTTGTCATTGGTTTTTTGCTCATTTGTTCATACACAAATGCTTGTGGAATCTATTGGCATGAAAATGAAGATAAGGTCGTGGGATAGTGGACCGGAAAAATTCGCATAAAGTACTTATCTTTTGGGAAAATAAAAAATAAATTATTTCTACAGATAACAATCGTATAAATCGTAAAATGTGGCATGTTTAGTGCGTTCAATGGACCAAAGTACATAAAAATCTAGAGGGCAATAAATGTTGAATAAAATCTGATGATATTTGCAGAATTCGACAGCGATATGATTACTTTTAATTGAGGAGGAGTCATGTATGAGAAGGAAAAAACCAGTTTTGAAATATTTCAAGTTTTGATTTCAGCGCACTATGCATGAACCGCGAATAAATACGTCGAGCCGTTGAAATTGATGATTTTTATTACGACTCTTGTGTGATTATCAACTCTAATGAGCAAATTAGATTCCAACAGCAACATTTCAATACTTCAATTCAATATTTTAATTTGTATATCAGAAAACTCTTGTAATAAGGAGAATTGTTGCATACGAAGCACAAAATAGTTTCGCTTAATTATTCATAAATTTTATCTGTCAAAGGACAAGGTTACAAATGTTTATCGTCAATTCAAACGGTGAACTCATATTAAATGAAATTCGTTGTAGAATGAACAGAAATCATGTATATGTCAAAATCACACAATCACACGCCAATAATAATTGCTTCAATAGAATAATATTTGAATTCCGGAAATGTGATTTTCTTCTTTTTCGGCGGGATTCATAAAAAAATGAATCTCATAAACTCAATAAGCAACATAATATTGCACAAAATACGAAAAATTCAAGGTGAACTAGTTAACGCATTAAAAGAACACATCCATCGCAACGTAAGAGAATCTATTTCAATATATGTATGATTGTATATGTAACATATACATTGGAATGTTCGAATATAAATAACAAACGCGTCGACAGAACGTGTGACCATAAAGCAGAAACTAAAGAGCTTCTATCGTGAATAAACAGCTGATTTAAATAGACAAACAAAATTTCTCTGTTTCTTCGTCACAGTCAGCAATACTGTATGCAAGAGAAACGACTGGAGCTAAAAATGGAAGTGGATGTGCCTGTGCATATGTGGCGAAATAAAACTGACGTAAAAATACATTGCTTAGTTAATCGACTAAAGTACTCCATAATAAATGAAATGCGAGCACCTCACATGATATGGATATCGAGACAAAGTCACTACGGAAATGTTATTGAATGCGATTCGAAAATGAGAAACGATAATCATTTTTTTCAATATGTGGTTAAGCTGGTTTTATGTTTCATGATGTGGGAGAATGATTTATAAGAAAACCATACCAAAATATAAATTGTCTGGAACGTAGAAAAAATATAATTAAATATTCATAAAAATTATGTGTGTATCGATTTTCGATTCCTGAATTTGTACGGAACAAAAATGCAACTGGGCATATTAAACGAAATCGGTAAGGTTTGCACTCTAAAATTGTTTTTTTTTTTTAAAGCTCGATTGCAACAAGTGAACTGTGACCGTGAGCCATGGCTCTGTGCATTTTCTGTGTATGTTATTGCCCGTATTCTTCGCGCAAGCATGCAAACACGTAATTTAATCGAGCCGATTGAATAATGTATATTTCTTTGAGCTTGATTTAATATTACCGTTACAAGAGTTAATCCACACAAATTACTAAGCAAACCCTGTGACAGAAACTGTGTGTATGCATTGAAGACGTTGATTACGATGTTGGAAAGAAAATATCTATTATTCAATAATTTCCAATCAAAGCAAAGAATTTATTAATTAAACAAAAGAAAAATCAACATATATGATTTGTTATGTTTTGAATTAACTTCATGACTCGTGCACTAAATTTGTTTGGAATGTTTTCGATTGTCATTGTGCCAATTAAGTGTTGAGCATTTGAAGTGATTGTTCGATAATAATTGGCCCGTATAAATACACGAAACCCCGATCCATTTAAATTGTTTATTAAAGTTAAATCAAAATTATTTATATTTATTAGGAAAAACAACACAATGAATAAAAATATGTTACCTTCATCACCAGTTCGAAAGGATACTTATAAACTCTGACTGGACTTTGGAATTTTTGCACCATTTTTATAAAATTCCCTTGCTATCGATTCTGGTTTAATTTGTTTAATTATATGTTGTCGGTATTGCGAACAACGATTATTTCGAGATTGCACTTGAAAATTATGAAATTTAGTTTGCCTTGGAATTATTTACGTTTTAAAATACTTTTAGAAATTTATAAAATACAACGCACACGATAATTTTTTTCTATTCACTAGAATACTTATTACTTCGATATAAATTTTTTTCTGATGAGATTCGTTGGATCATTCACTCTGTTGGTAATGTTTCGTCTCGCCTTATTTGCAAAATTCAATAGAAAATACTGCAATTTATGAGATAGAAATGAATCAGAATAAATTATTCCGATTAAATTTTGATTTGTTGAATTTTAAAAAGACATTTATAAGCTTTTTTCTTTTATTTATATTTTTTTCACATCGAGACGTAGTGCAACCATTGTTTTCATGTTGCACCTAATTTTCCAACTGTGAATGTCAATCGGAGTCACTGTTGGTTTATTGTAATGTATTCTATTGCTTATTCAGATTTCAACATTTCATTTTTCGATCGACAGTGCGCAGTTTGTCGATGTGTTTGCGTCTCAATACATACATACATTTTTTTTGCTCGACTTTGAATGAGAATTTGTCAGATGTCTGAATCGGTTCATTGTTTTGTTACGAACAAAAAATGGAGAGCGTTCTTCGGACGACCGAATTCACAGCTGTTGTGTTGTACAATATGTCGTGATAATCACGAGTAAAAATTACCAACCGTACTCCACTGTTATTTATATCGTGTTGTGTCGTGTCGTGTCGTGTAACTTTGAAAATACAAATTTACAAATACGTCCGTTACGTAGCGCTATGGGTATTGAATGCCCATATTCGAATTGTAAATTTTTTTTAAAGACGTATATTTTGTTTTATGGATTAGTTTCTTTATTTCTTTTGATTATGTATGGAAACAAGATGACATTTGTATTCTTTTGTATTATTTGTAGCAAACGGTTGGTCTTCATTTGTTTCTGTGCATAATTTGCATTCGTAGAGGAATCTACCTGGGTGCTTATTGGTATTGATTACGTGTTTTCGCAAATTTTCCTGAAAAAGCACATTTAAAAAACGTTAAATCACAATAAATGTAAATGGCACGAATTAATATTGAATATATCTTACCGGATTATTTGAGACATAATCACAATGTGGGCACTGATATGGTTTCTCACCGGTGTGCGTGCGAATATGCCGTTTTAAATGACTTGAAATTTTTGTACGAAAGTCACAATGTGGACACAACAACTGAATGACATCTGTTTGATGCTGAGACTTGATGTGTCTGAAATGAATATTTTTTTATTCGAGCCAAAATAGATTGATAATTTTCTAATCAAACCTGTTGAGTAATGCGTTCGTTTTTGTTCTATAATCACAATTTTCCACGGTGCAGCAATAGTTCTTTTCATTCGAGTGGGTGCTTTTATGAACTCGTAATTCAGCTGCACTTCGTCCGCTAAATAAGCAATTTTGTTCCGGGCATTTGAAACTTCTAACGGTTATCATCTCACGATGACAATGCATGTGTTGTTCAAGCAAACTCCTGCGAAGAAAAAAATATTTTTTTTTTCAACAAATGAATCCTTTTAATAGTTATATAAAAATTGATGAGCACATAAATGCTATCTCAAAGGATTATGTCACATAAAGATCGTGTGCAAATGAATGACGAATTCCCGAAAAATTCAAAATGATATGTATTTCAAAGAAATGGAGAGGAATGTTAAATGAACCGAAAAAAACTCCATCAAAGGATAAAGCTTTTGTTATGTGCATATTAGTTGCCATTTTGATCAGATATTAAAAGGAGAAAAAAAACATATTTTCGTAAAAACGAATGTATACTACAGCATCGGATAAAAAAAGAATAGATAAATAACATTTTGGGTCGGTTGGTAACGTTCTATGTGTATTGAAACACGATATTCAGACTAAACCTATTTTATGCGTATTATATTATTCGTTACAGGGTGGCCAAAAATAATATAATTTTGTTTTAACTTACAAACTAAAGTAACCTGTGAAAAACCATGTCATTGAAATTTGTGACAGATGTCTTTTTTTGCATTTTGATTCGAATGACGTTAAAGTAATCTTAAATCAGTTAATATTGTACACCCTATGTCAACCTAGCTATTTTGTCGAACTAAAAAGGTCAATTCGTAGCATTCTTTTTATTTATGTTTAAATACACTTTTTGCTTGTGCGCTCATGCTAAATTTATTCGCCGACAAATATATTGCCTTTTGTTTTTCCTTCAATTTATGAGATTTGTTCGTGACGATTATTTTTTTTGATTATTATTTTGATTACTATGAAAAAAAATAAACCAACATACATGACAATGTCATGACATCATAAGATGTTTACATAGATTGAGTGGTAAAAAAGTTCAATAGACATTCCTTTGGAATGTTTTTTAATGTACTTATTATAATAGATACATGGGCTTTTTTTTATAAACAACAAAATAAATTAAGAAAAAAAAAAGAAATTATAAATGGGCAAAAAGTAACATGTTTTTCAAAGCAATATTTTCGAATACATTACAACAAATTTAAAAATATTTGGGTATTTGAATGCCAACCACTCAAAAAATTCGAAAACAACAGCACGCAAAATTCAAAAAATTTGATTAAAAAATGAATTTCTTTAATTCATGTGTCGAGGAGCATATTGCTACACAAAATCGTAAATTGAGCATTTTCATCTGAGCGGGTTAGAGTGCTAACCACCGGAAAATTCTTTTATAATTACATTTTACTGACCAATAAACAAGTTGTAGCCATACTAATGACTGTATGTATCTCGCACATGTATTTTTTTTCTCCTCCAACAGAAATTACATGGACAATGCGTGGATTGAAATCAGCCGTTGTCTTTAACAGAGCCGGATAGTGGTATTTTTGAATTTAAACGTATTGCAAAAATGACATACTAAATGAAGGGAAATCTGAGTGTGAGATCAACGGTCGAAATTTCAAACAAAAAAGATAGACTAAAAATATTCAACACAATTTGATAGTAAAAATTGCAAAATACAAATCGTATAATTAAAACCGTCTATTACCGTATCAATTTTTAAAAAGAATTATATTTTTGTTTTCAATTTCGGACGCTTTTTGTGATTTGATTTCTTTGCATGGACATCAATGTTCATCAAAAACATTCTTTTATTCAAGTAATAAAAGACCACGATGCAAGTTCTTCTTGTATCTTTGTCTCCTTGTCTCATTTCCTTTGCTTTTGTTGCATAAAAAAAACTTAAGGATGGAAACATCTCACCCAGAAGATAAAGTTTTGAACAATATTTTGTAATTCAGATTCGTGTTTCTATCCACTATTTGCATTGGATCCGTATTTTAATTTGGCTATTGTGCATTCGGTCATTGTTGCAAGTTAAACTTTTGTTTAAACATCAAGAGATTCGTTCTTTGCGCATTCAATGTTGTCTATACTTCACAAAAATGTGCCATGTACAGAGGGAGAGAGAAAACGATAGAGAAATACAGAGAGAGGAGGATGGAAGGTGAGGAGGGTTCATTTCATAAGCATGCAGGCAATGGAAATTTTGATATTCGCTTTTATGCATGGAATTTTCCATTTTGACGATTGCACGGGAATTTAAAGTTTTTCAAGTTTCACTGTTTTCGTTGTCTTTGCCACTTCTGTGCGTTATTATCATTATTCCTCTTTTCGTTTTTCTCTTTTTCTTCATTTCAATTTTTTTCTACGTTATGTTTGCTCTTCACGTTACGGCTGCAGCTTTTTCTATTTGCGACATTATTTTTCATCCTCTGTATTTAACTCTTTGCGTTTTATGTTTTGTCCATTCCACTGCTGTCGCTGTCCTCTTTCTCGCTGTTTTCAATTCGAGTTTTTTTTTCGGGTGTGATGCCGAATACCTACTTGAACTGTGTTCCCTTTATTTTGTTTAACCTGACGTATTCACAATTCAGATCATTTCATACAATGAGATTCTTTTCTGTAGTCATTTTGGTCCTTTGGCGTTTGAGCTGTATGTGAGTACTACTATATGGCGCATACAAAAGAAGAATGAATGAGAGAGAGAAAGAAAGCATACACTGTAGCATACTCAATAATGGGTGTATGTGGCACTGGCATTGGCACTGGCACGTTCGCTTTTATTCAGCTTTTCAGTTTTTCAACTTGGCGACTTGCATGAGATGTGATTCTCTGTGTGTTTCTGTGTCGCATGGAATGGGTGGTATGATATTGTAAGTGCAACGAATAGACTATTTGGAGTTTGGACTAACGAAAATGCCATCGTAAGCGCGAAGAATTTCGACCACATAAATAAATGTATTGTGCGAATTGGACTTTTTTTTTCAGTTTAGCTCTTTTCTCCTGCATGTGTGCATAGTGTATATGATTGTTGTTTGGCGTACTTAAAATTTTTACATAAATTCTTATTCTTTATTTATGAACGTTAAATGTGTACAGGAAGCCGCAACTGAATTTATATTTTATCTTGCTGATGCTCATGCTACTACTGTTTTTCCTATTTATCTTCGTTTTTTTCCTTCTCTCTTTCATTCATGCACCTCTTTTCGTTGTGTTCGTGCGAGCTTTTTCACATTTTTCTCTTTCTTCTTTACATATATGGATTTTCATAATGAATAGCCCTCGTGCCGTTTTCACAATCAACCGATGTCAACTACGAACGAATCCTCCGCGGCAAATAATAAAATAACGCAGAAAATAAACATAAAGACTACACCACAACAACGATGATACTCACAAATAATCGCACACTAAATGAAAGAAATGGACGAAGGCAGTTTTACAAAATCATCGCAAGTTTATATTCACCGGTTCAAATCTATCCCAATGAAAGAACCAATTTTGACTGTAACAAAATAGAAGCGGCCCAAAAAGTGCATTGCAAAAAAAAATCATTTATATACATATTAAAACCGGTTAATCCAATAGGAAAGAACTTTACCGAGCCCAACCGACACACAGTAAAAAAAGACACCAAACGACAATACACAAACACACATACACACTAACGACTGAAAACAAAAGAGACGAAGAAGAAGCGAGATTCGAGCATTTTGCAGGTATATTTCTTTTATTACTCTACAATCATAATCCCGATCTACAGACAATCCATTACACTGGTCGCTTCAGTTTTTATTTATTGTTGTTGTTATTTTCCATCCGTGTGATGGTATTGCATTGCTGCTGAAGCTCTTCTTTTCAATGGATAATTTTTAAAATAGCAAAAAAAAACAACAAAAACAAAAACAAAAAATTACAATTGCAATGGCTCTACAATGTATATTTTAAAATGTTGTAGCTGGAGAGCGTATAAAAGCGACATTGGATGCTAAAACACACGGTTGAAAAGGGTCAACGGAAAATTTTCGAAATTTATTCAATTTGACTGCAGCCATGGTGGAATGAGTGCTGAGCAAAGCCCTTCACTCACACGTACTTTTGTCTCCCATTTTTAAGTTATGGCCTGGCTTTTATATTTCCGGCTCTTTCTTAGTGTTATTCAGGGCTTACTTCGTTTTGTTTACATTTTGGTTATATTTTGCAAGCGTCCTAATTTATTACCGGTAGCGTGCAAATACTATCTCCGAAATATATTTTTGCATTCCAGTAATCGGGGCCGGTTGGCAGGAAAATAATTTTGTTTCATAGCTGCACGTGCAGATTTTGAAGTAGTTCACGCGAAAACTTACCCAATGATCTATGCAGTGCATTCAAGTGGCGAACGAATTTCCACACTCATTTGCTAACTCCACTCTCACTCATTGGACGCGCATCTCCAAATTAAAATCATACAAAGAGTTGGAATTCTCATGTTTTGGACAATGTGAATTTTGTGCATCATTGAAGTACATGCATATAACGGAGAGAATCGGCTATACAAATCCAATTGAACCAATTGGAAAGTTCGTTGCCTATCCAAAAAGAAAAAAAAAATCGGCTCACATTGCACTGGTGATCAAATGGTTTCGATCACATAAATATTGCTTATAAACCGAATGCATAAACCAAAATATACAATATAATTATGTTTCACTCCATGTTATACTTTTAGGATTTTGGAATTGTACTAAGCCGAGATTGGACATCGATGTGATGCATATGTTGGTGATAAAATGTCTCCGAATGCATATATGGAAAATGCAACACTGTTTGTTTGACAATAAGCAATGGGGGATCGTTTATTGGAATCAATTGAACACAATTTGAGTTGAAACATACACGAACACCTTTTTCGATGCAATAAGATTCGATTGTTAAATGACTATCGCTCAAGATGAATGGATTGTACGCATTTTAGTAATGGTCACACAGGTGATGCGATTCTTTTTCTGTTCGGTCTCTTCTTGCTTTTAGTTTAGCTGTATTCGGATGTTCGAAATTTGTACTGATACGACATCACCATCAATATTGTTGAGGGTTTATGCACATTTGAACCGAATAAATGTATTCAAAATTGTAAAATTATGGCAATCGCATGCGAAACAGCTACAAACTGCAATATGAAATAACACACATTTATTTTCGACATTTTCCAATATTGCCATGAAATGCCATATGTATTGGTTTGCCTTTGAATCGGTGTTCAAATTCAATCGATGTGCCGCCGACTAAAGTAAGGCAAGCATGCAAACCACGAACATTGTCTTCAAATTGATGATTTCGGAACGCAATGCAGTGACTATGGCATCATTCGGTGTGTGTAATTTGTTTAGAAGTCATTTGCGAATTTCACAAGTCAAATACCAATGTGCATGTGACAACAATATTCTTGCCTATGTTTTCGTTAACATTACGATTTCATTCCAAAATTACGGGTGTGGAGTACTGAATATAGAATTTAATAGTTATCAGCCTTGAATAACTGCACTTCCTAATTGCGTAATTGGAGGCGCGCCACATTAATGTATCTTTCCAACAAATAAATGAAATTTACTCCAGTGGAATACACCGATATTTTCAAATATTCTAAACCGAATGCGCATCGTCACACCATTTGTTAATGCCATATTTTTCGGTTCTATTATATCTTCGCCTGCAACTAGTATGAATTCCAAGTCGCTCTTTTTAAAACATTTTCGGAGCTGTTTTGAAGATTTACGAAGCAACATACGAAAAATTGTGTGGTAGCATGTGTTTTCATTCCGAAAATTATACACTTAAATGAGGCAAAAGCCAGCGCAAAGCGTGTGTATTACATCGACTCTTACGGCATGTTACAGACATAGAGAAGTGTTGTCCTTAATAAAGCAACAACACTTTGCTTCTGCTGTTCGATATGTGAAATTTTTGCCTGCTTTGCATGTTAATATAACGAATATGCTTGTGTGAACTTTGTGCCTGATGCATTCAGTGCATTAACAGTAATACATAATTCGTGTGTGTATGTTTTATAAGAATGTAAATTGCACAAGAGGCGAAAATGGACTTGATATTAAGTTCTTTGCATTTTGTTGGTTTGAGCAAGGAAAATTGCTTTCTGGCTTTTGAAAGCAATTTTGAAGCAATTTTCTTTAATTTTCTTTGTGAACGATGGTTAAAAGTGTTAAGCGTTGCTGTGCAATTTCTCGAGAAATGAAGTGTGTTTTCTTTAATCAATACATTTTTGTGACATTTCAATTTAAAAACATCAGCAATAATATGTTCGAGCTAACCTTATTGATATCTCTCAGTGTTCGAAGCAAAAAAAAAATAATGCATACTCTCTGGTGCAATGTATTGAATTTGTTGTGGCGCGAATGCTGGCTTTTGTTGAGATGCGTTAGCAAATATTTTGACATGCCACCGCAAACACTCACATACATAGATATTGGCTTAACATATGTTTTATATGTATATGCATATACACATATACTCGAGGCTAATACGCCAAGCTATTACCGACAAATTGCTACAAGCCATTTCGCCTAACTGGGCTTTAATTTTGAATTATTGAGACGGTTATCGTTTTCTCTGTGTATTATATTTTGGAAAATGTACGCATTACTCACAGCTAAATACTCAAATAAACTCACTCTCCATGAATGCACATAAACACGTTACTTTATTTAAATTTGAATCTATCTAGATATAAATGTGTTTTGGTGGCTCGTCTGTTAATTCTGATACCAGCCAAGTGGGAGCATCAAGTGAGCAACAGCAATCATACAATGTTCAAACGTGATATACCCATAACGTCATAACATGAACGAAACCAAGCGGCTAACTCTCTTTTCCTGTCTAGGCAAACAAAGCGACATCAACAGCAACAATACACAAATTGCCACGCATTGAGCATTGCACGCGTTCAATGGTTTTGTTATTGTTTCGGTTTCTCACAGAAGCAGTAGTAACAGCAGCGTGCACGCTTTGCTTGTATCAAATATATGTGCTAAATGAAATACACTAAAATGTGCTATAAAAACACCTAAATAACGGTAACACAACCAGTTACATGCAATATCAAACGATGAGCGGGAAAAAGGGACCACCAGCCAAAAAAAAATAATAAAAACAAGTGCAAAAAGGCAAAAAGACATACACACAAAAAAGTCTATATAATGTTGAGTATTAAATGCATGAGCACACTGTATTTTCGGTACTTAATTCGACAAGTATTTTATGTGGATGTGCGTCGGCTGCAAACGTATTTTATGCGTGTCGGTTAACGTTTGCAAAGTTGTGCACAACTTCATATTTTGTAGGATTGCGTTGAGTTTTCGTGTTTTATTTTTACTTTGTTACAGTGCTACGAACAAATTTAGAACTTTTCTTCTTCGATTACATTTCTTTGGCATGAGTATTTTTTTAATGTGGCCATCGTATGAATGAGTAAAAGAAATAAACAATACTTAAAACTTTTTAAAAACACATATTATAAAATGTTGCATTCAATGAAAAAGGGATGAAAGAGAATCGAACTTACTTTTTTCGAAATCTTTTCTCGCATATCGAACAACCAAACAATTGCTGTTCATTACTGTATGGCGACGATGAACTTTTCTGCTTTAATCGATTCGCCGCTGCCGTTGATGACGGCTTGTTCGGTTTGGATTTCTTCATCTTCAAATGAATGCGTTGAATGTGCTCTTTTAGATTGGCTTTGCGAGTAAATTTCATGTCACATTGATCGCATTTGAAAATTCGTTCATTCGTATGCATACGTAGGTGCATTCGAAGTGAATTTTTTCCAAATGTTCGATTACACATTGGACATGGCATTTTACTGTCATTACATATATTCCACTTATGCAGCATTTCATGAAATATACATTCGGCCTGGTATTGTGTTCTGTATTTAAAAAAAAAAAAAAAGAAAAAAAATTGGTCTACCTCTTTTTTTTTTGTTTTAAAAAATGTTTTACACGAACCGAAAATCACATTGTTTACAACCCCATAGAACTGAATGTTCGGCCTCACCCCTTGGGTCTTCGTCTAGATTCAATTCGGCCCCATGCTCAATGATCACATAATCATCTGGCACCAAAGACTCTACCGTCACAGATGTATCGACCGTCATTTGATCATTTTGCTGTGCAACTACCAATTTTGTCACTTCAACGTCTTGTGTAATATCAGTTATTATAGGCAACTCTAGAAGTGACATTGGATTTAAGCTATCGCTTTCATGGCACATATCCTCATTTGGAGTTCTATCATCCGTTTTGCACACTTTGTCGCGTATATGCCGACTTAACTCTTGTGGTAAAATAAACTTTTGTCCACAAAAATAACACCTGCAAATAAAACAATTACCAGCTGTTCAATACAATCATAAAATGTAAATGAAGTAATACTTCAACTTACGAATAACTGTGATCCGGATGCACAAATTTTAAATGTTCTTTGAGCAGAAGTAAGTCATCTTGCATTTCACCGCATACAATACATTTACGTTTTAATGATTTTTTTGCTTTTATACGAGCAGCTTTGACTTTATGTTCAACAGAGACACGATGTCGTTTGGCCGCTTCCAATTCACTGAACGATAGCTCGCACGGACCACAGAAATATGATTTCGTTGAATGAACAATTGTCGTGTGTTTTTGAAATGCAACAATCGAGCAGTAATATTCGTTGCAATCGGAGCAATAATACTTTCCTTGATATTGATCTGATGCCGTACCGACTGCACGTGAATCCGTGCAGTTCATTGCATGTTTTCGTAGTTCAATGTTTAAAGAAAACTCTTCTTTGCATTTTTCACATTGAATTAAACATTTTTTACGACAAATAATTGGTACCGACCTATTAATTGCCATTACTACTTCCTGATGTTCCATGCCGACCAAGTGTAAGCGCATTTCATCATTAGTAATGCATTGAAATTTGCAGAAAGCACACCAAAATCTACCATTAAGATCAGAAACGGTTACCAAATGCTCATTTGAATCCCAATGACGCAAAAACATTTCCTCAGTATTTGCATAGAATCTACATGGCTGACATTGATAAGGTGATTGAAGCACAATGCGATTCATATTATCCAAAATGGTGGCATAGGATTCGGTTGGATTTTTAAACATTCGTCTGTAATGATAATGACTAATAAGGTGCTTGCCGTAAAGGAATGTTCGTAATCGCATTTTACACACACCACATTTGATGTAATTACGTTTGCGAGTACGTTTTTTGTTCGCATCAAACGAATGCTCTGTGATGTATGCAATTTCATCCTTTCGTTTCCGCTTTCGGTTTGTTTGTGTTTCAAAATTCGTGGATTTCTTTCCAACAATGTGTTCAATGCTCGGCAATGGCAGTGACACTTGTTCCAATTCATTTTCTGGTTGAGAGCGTTTTGTGTGTAATTTTGATTTTAAATGTCGTTCATAAACGATTTTTGACGAAAGTTTTCGATTACATGATCGACACCAAAATTGTTCGGAAAATGTTTCTGAATCGTGCCGTTCTTTGTGCTTGTAATCTAATTTGATGATTTTTGTGCCAGGAACCCATTTGCCCTTTGTATGAGTCGGCGGTGGATTATATTCGTCTGAATTGTCAACCAATTCTTCATGCGATCCTGTTGTCACTGAACCTAGTGCTAATTGATTATTTTCTTCGGGAATGTCCCAACGTTCGTACCATCGTGATGCGGATTGCATTGAACGGTGATGTCTTTCCGATGGTTTCCATTTGCCTCCGGTATGTGGTGGAATGTCTTCCACATCTTCAACTAAATCTTCAACGATTTCATCATCGTCATCGTCAAAATTGTGGTCGGGCGGCGAACCATGGGTGTACTCATAATTGTATTGCGGTGAATCGTAGACATGTTTTTTATTTCCGCTAATGGCATTCACTGCTTTCATAAGCTTATCAGTTCCACTCGTCGATGCACCAGTATTGATCCAATCGTCCATGTGCTCACTGTGCGACAAACCACCCGGATCCGATTGCTTTCGCTGTAACATTTTATCGGTGCCTTTTATTAATGAAGATGCAGAAGTACTTCCATCGGCCGAAACATTTGTTGCAACGGTTTGTGTTTTTGATTTTGTGCTACTCTGCAGATTGAGCAAAGAGAAGAACACATCAGCACCCAGACCATAGTTGTAGTCATAACTTTCGGAAAGCGATTTATTTGGATCGATTTTGTAATCGCTGGCTTTTTCCGATTGATGCATTGGCGATGGTAGTATGCCTGTATTTGATACAACATCGTGTGAATCTTCATGGTCGGGGTGTACGGATTCAATCTCATAATTAAAGTTAAATTGCTTATCGTGCTTAACAGATGGCGGTTCAGTGAATTCAAAAGATCGATACGAATGATTGGTGTCGATTTCACGGTTCAACGAGGCAGCGGACGAAACACTTTTGTTACATTGACTTTTTCTATGACGAACATAGTTTTCCAAACCGACTATGGTATGACTGCATTTTATGCACAAATGTGTATCTTCATCCAAATCTTCAAGCATTTTTTCAACTGCAGAGAAAATAAAGAAAAACATTTAATTAGATTGATCGAATTTTGATGGATAAAAAAAAACCAATTCACAACATCTCATTTTAATTAAATCAGAAGAAAAAAAGTAATTTTTCTATATATGTCGTAAGTGAAAACGATTCATTAATTAATTCAAATGGAAATCTCTTCCATCATCCATATTTATTTATTACAAACACTGCACAAATAATGCATGAAATTCATCAATTGAGAAAATAAATCCCTCTTAATTACAATGCCAATTGACCGACCACGAACAAAAACCGAAACGAAATTAACTTAATGCTAATGACATCTTCATTTTATCAATTTCATTCATCTATTTATGCCGGTTTTTCTATTCGATATATATTTCATAGAATACGTGAAAGATGAAAACAAAAAAAAACTAAATACCTTTCAGCATCCAAATGACTGATGGTCAAAACCAAATTACAATCGAACCAAGATAAAAAGGTAACGTGAAATAAAATCGTGCAATTCGTTTATGTAGACAGCTGAGGAAGTAATCCCAAACGAGTAATTACTTAACAATGAAATGTTTGGTTTTGCTTGACCAATTGTGTACCGCATTAACGCTGAATGCAACATACGATTCATTTCATTTCCTTTAATTTCTTGATTTCATCTCGTCCATTACCTAACATATTTTATCTATGGTTACAAATGACCGTGAGCATGTTTGTTATTTGGAAACGTGTGCAAACAGAATTAGAAAGAAAGAATTTCTTGATAGATTAACACTACTAAGCGCAACTTAAAGTAAAAAAAAAATCAAATATGCAATAAAATCAGTGCTAAAGTGTCATTGGAATCTCCAATTCGTTGTCCATTCGATCAATCATAACATCTTATTGAACATTTGCGAATGTGACATATTTGATAAATTCTGTCATTGGGTTTGTGTGAATGAATAAAACGCGACCCTTATTCAACCATCGTTAATTTCCAAGGGTAAAAAATATCCTTAACGTAAAATCATAAAATGTGGATTATATATATAAATATGTATAGTTTGCTGTACAACGTAACTAGTCAGTTACCTAGTAGCTAGCACATCGGGAGTTCGGAACACATAAATTTCAGTTTGTTGTGCATATATTTATAATTATGGATTTTATTGCCGTTAATAATTCTTCGGATAAGTATAAAATGTCATGCAGAGGAAAACAGGACAGCCGTTCGACACGAACGATGCAGTGGTGGCTGTGTTGCAGCCATTGAGTTTGGGGCAATTATTTTCTTTTTCAGTTGTGCAGTGCACTTTATCATTGGCAAGTTTCACATCGAATGAGATGTTGAACTTCGTCTTTCGATTTTCCTTTAGCCATTATTTTGTTCCCATTTTGTTCGTTGGTTTATTTGGTTGGTCGGTGTGCTGCTGGTTGTTGCACACAATTCACAAATTTCACGAGCGCAAAATTGTCGATGCGAAAATATAAATTTTGGTTGAAATCAGTACCAAATGCTTGCGATGTACGATCCTTTGATAAATATATTTTCCGAACGCTGTGAGCGTTATGACGAACTCGGAGCATATATTATATGATTTTCATGTTCTTTTTTTCTTCTCCATCTTCTCTCTCTCTCGTTTCCTTCATTTCATCTTCCTCTTCGACCGATTCAATAAATATAGTGCAAAATTTAATGCAAAAACACACCATGTTTCACAAGTTTTAACTAGCATTGCGCAATTCCATCAGAACATTTCAAGCCACTGTTCACTGCGATAGTAAAAATACTTTCGGGCATAGTGTATGTGTGTGTATGGCACACAAAAAAAAACCCGAGCACACAAAACACATTTATTTGCATATATGGGAAAATGTACGACACATTTCATACATAAGACACGTAGAAATTGCTTAATAGAAGAGCAAAATCCTGTAGTTTGATGAATGGCCAAAAGTTTTGTTTAATTGTTGGGTTAAAATTGTAGTCGGGATTTCGTTTTTCGCTTCTCACATATCTCACAATTCATGGCCCCGGTGGCTGTAAATATGTATAATATTCATGTATGTATGTGTGTATGTGCCAGTATAAAAGTGGAAACTTTGAATTTAACAACAATTCATATGCAGCTGAAGCTCATGTGTGTGTGTGTGTGCTCGTCAGAACTCAGGAAAATGAAAATGGTCGAGGCTTTAGTTCGCTTGTCATAAATAGTATTTTGCAGTAGAGTTAAAAGTTACTGCCACTGGATAACTGTTGTGAGCTCCTGAATATATTTGTATGTGCTGCATGTGTGTGTGTGAATGTATGCGCTCATGTGTTTGTTAATATATTGCTTGATGTGAACCGACGAAAAAGCCATAAAAAACTAAGAAAAGCGATTGTGCAATGACGAGGAATGGGTCTGTCTCTCTGTTTCATGAAAGGTTATTATAAATACGGCATAATACGTATGACACTCGCACACATGAACAAGTCCATTGTCTCTACGTCAACCGTACCAAACTTAACCAATGCACAACTAGCCACTCACTTTGCACTCACACTCATTTTATAAATCATCTTGATTTCAACATACAAGCGGCCCGAAGCCTCGGAAAACGGATGATTATAAAACTCGTGCGGAGACACCAAACGACACACACACACAGCACACAATTTTACTTGAAATGGAACAGGGAAAATAGACACGTAAAAAAAGAACAAGAATTATATTATATTATGATTTATGTCAGTGCAAACTTAAATACTATTTTTGGCTTACTTTAGGAAAATTGTCTACTCATACATCATATACATAAGCCAACTGAGCAAAATCCACTCATCCCTTTGGTTCCAATTTCTGTGAACCTGAAACAGATAAGCGACACAAGCAAAAATTATAGACAAGAAAAGGTTTCACATTCAAATGCCAAACAGTCTTTTCAACCAAATACACATATGAGATATTTACGCGATATGAAGTTCGTCTTTCGATAAATGATACCGCAACTGCTCAAATTCATATACAAAGAAGAAGAACAACAACAAGTCTTGATGGCTGCCCACTTCTTGTGCAGTTGGATTCAAATTCACACATCCCCTTGCATCACAACACTTCATGACAACATTTCATGTAATCTAATTTTATTATATGACATTTGTGGCTTTTGCGTATGATACATTCTTTGAAATTTATGGTTGATTTAATTTCGTTTGGTTCGTGCTATTGATTCATTCAGACACAGGTGGTGTCGCTCAACTGATGTTTTCACATGAGTTTAATTTTATCTAAAAAAGTGAAAAAATTCATTCTTATAAAGTTCCCCATAATATCATTCGTTCAAGCAACTCATCGCCATCTTTTTAATGGATCGAATCGTAAAAATTCGATGCTAGTTTTCAAATTTTTGCCGAAACCTTGCCTGTATTTAAAAATTATTTCATTAAAGTTAACTATGTGGTTCGATTAACCTTGCAAATGGTTTCATTATCATTAGAAAAATAATAAAAGAGAGAGGTGAGTGTGTAGTACACACTGTGTACTATACAATCAGATAAAAATACGGAGAAAAACGTTTCCAAAGTGTTTAAACGATATTGTCTGAGCAGCTAAACCTCACGAAATTCTTATTATACCATCATCATTTCTTGTTGAAGCATTTACATAAAAAGAACAAATGGAAATGGTTGAAATAAACGATAATAAAATGTCTCCCTCTTTTATTGTACGACAGTCAAAATTGGCATGGCAACAGAATCGATGAAATGGCAGGCGTTCATCGTAAATAAGTGTGAATTATTTTATGTCAATATTTGACACACAATTTATGTGTAACGAGAAATTCACTACGAATTTCGTAAAATCGAACGTGTCTCCGAGTATTGCATTTGAATTCATCACTCACCTCCACCTCCGAATGCCTTTTGATTTCCGCCCTCATCGTCAAACGAACACATTTACAAACAAATCGCACGCATTATACATAAAATACATTTATTTAAAATAATAAACATTAGCTGGAATGGAATTGAAAAAGAGTGAGAGAAAATGAGAGTGGCGGCAGAATTAAGGGAGCAAATTTATGCTTATGTATTGAAATTAAACCGAAATATGTATGTGTAAAGCGTTCTTATTTAATGGTATTTTTCATTCGCGCCAGTCTTTTCTATTTTTTACTTTTTTGTTCGCTACTCTATGCTGACGCATTCGAGATGTGTTAGTCAAAAAAAGCTGCGAGATCTGAAACCAAAGATATGTTCAATCGAATGATATACGATCAAAGTGTGTAGCGCTGTGAAACGTTTTTATTCATGTTCGTGGTGTGGATGTTTGCTTTTGTGTTCGTCATCTCTTCACTCTGATTCCATCAAAACAGATCGGGGTGGGATGGTGGTGGGTTGAAAGTTAGCTAGAGAGACACGGTATTTTGAATTTCACTTCTACCTGCTAATCAAAAGTAATGAGATTCGTAGCATATTTTGGTAATAGCATTGCATGTCAGTGCCTCATCTCGGCCTTTCATTCAGCCGGAACATTGTATGCGCGTCATCGACCCTTCGAAACCAATCCTGACTACGTGCACAGTGCGAATATGCCAATGCTTCACATTTCACTCATCTTCAAAATGGTACGCATATTTTCTGCTTAGTTTGTTGCCTCTTCTTCTTCCACATTTTCGTCGTTTTTCTGCTTGATTTTGGCAGGGTATCATGTCTACTTTGACGCTCCTTCCTACTTTTCTTTCGTCGTGAGTTATTGTTATTTGTATTTATTCTTTAACAATATTAGCTCAGCGTACATGTTTTTTCTTCTTCTTTGGCTTGATCCCATCATATACATCATTCGAATATCTCCCCATTTTATCAAATGGCTGATGGAAAATGCGAAACAAACCAAATGAGAAGCGAAACGTCTCGACGAAAAAGATGGCAGTGCGTATGTATTTGTGTTTGAGTGACTGAAAGAAATGTCGAATAGAAAAAGAGACAAACATCAAACGTTGGTGCATTGTTCAAGAGGCATTTGCTCACACAATAACAGCACA